TGATGATAAAAAGAGCCAGCTTCCAAAAGTTATTAACTGTGATTTTTAAAAAAAATTTTCTCTCTCTCTCTCTCACGCCCAGACATGAACTTATGCACATATATGTTGATTGTCTTTACATCATAATACTATTTCATATAATTAGATATGGAATGAATAACATTCAATACAAAATGAACATGTCTCGTATATAGAAACAATGGTTTAAGTGATAAAATATTTGCTTTGTTGTGCATTAGAACCACACCAGGCATTTAGTCATATTACAAAATAATTTATTGAAGCATCCAGACACTTTACCACGTGAGCAAGCAGCTAGGCTCCTGATTGGTTAACGTGGCGCGAATTCACGCCAAAGTTCAGATTTTTCAACTCGGGCGGCAGACGTGAATTTGCGTCAAACGCATGAATGCACAATTGGCACTAACTAAATCATTCGCGCTTAACGCGGCAGACGCTCAATTCGCGGCATTCGTGCGAACTTAACACGCGCCACGCCTCATTCGCGCCGCAGGAATTTTTTTTGCGCGTAACGCGTCTTTGCATTGACTTATCATTGAAATCATTCGCGCTATTCGCGTCCGGTGTGAACGTAGCATTAAAGTATTCCGGCACTGTGCCGGATCTCCGGCGTGTCCAGCTTTAACGTGTTAAAATATTTAACGCAAACGCAGCATCCTTTCTTTCTGTCATCCTTTAGCTAGGGTTATGACCATGCTCTTATTCACGCAAATGCTTTAAACCACTAATGCGTGACCAGACAAAAGAGGACGTACAGAAAAAGAAACGCGCCAGTATCGAGTTCTCTTTCGCGCTTCAACGAACAATAACGCACATTTATGCCAAAACGTCAGTTTTGTCCTCACAAGAACAGTCTTAAATGAGTGAAATAAAAACTTAAATGGAAGTGAATAGTAGTGAGAGAATGAGATGCGTGAGATCCTGTCAGCAGCGGCAGATCTTAAAGTGACAGGAGCCATTAATGAATTCATTCTGTATGTCAGTAGAGTCATCCTAAAGAACCAAGGCCGTGTGTCCACCAAAGCGTTTTTAGCCAGCTGAAAATGCTATACGCTCTGCTGAAGACGCCGTGCTTTGGGCGCTTGAGAGCGTTTTGGCAGCACAGTGTTTTTTCCGTTGAGACGTTTCGTTGCTATGATACAGAATATATGCAGCAGTTTGAATGTTTTGAGAGTTGGTCGGTGTGGTTTAGTCCCGCCCCTCCTCCTCTGTGATTGGACGGCTGGGTCAAATGTGACAGTGATGAGCGCTGCGTTTTATCCAAAGTTGAACATTTTTTTTAACTCCCAGCGACCAGTAAAAACGCTGGGCGCTCGGCGCTTCAGCGTGAAAAAAACGCTCAGCACCTCGTCACGCTCATGGCGTTTAAAAAACGCGGCGCTCCCATTGAAAACAATTGAAAACATACGCCAGGGGCGTGGAAAAACGCTTTGGTGGACACACGGCCTAAGGTAACAGAGAAAGCTTGTAACTTTGATAAGGATTAATCTATATTTCATTTATAATTTATGCAAATGAATATCCTTATTCAATTTCTGTATGCTACAGGTAAATGACATTTATTATGGGTTTTATATTTTTTAAAGCCTAATATTTAACATTTTTGTGGAAATCATTTTCTTTGAGACATCAGTAGCTATAATATTAGTGATACTGGCTTTCATTCATAAAAAGATATGATATGATACAGCTGTAATACTTGCCAAATAAGCCCAAAAGTTATGTATTTATTTATTTATTTTTTTCACTTTAACCCCTGAAACATATTCTAGTAGAGCCCAAAAACAAAATCAAGACTTTGTAAAAGGGTGTAATATGGCCTCTATAACACTTTAAATCCATTGGCAGCACAATGTAGAAACTGTAATAGAATCCAGATTCTAACATGTCAGCATCCCTGTCTCCTCCAGGACCTCAAGTTGTCTACAGACACATGTCGAATCTACAGTCTCTACCACTCACTGCATCATTATAAATATCACACCTTCTTACACTGCAAGAAAGAGGTAAGAACTCCATTTCCAGAGTGAACAAACGCAGACACGAACGCACTATTAAAACTCTGGTGTTTTCTTTTAGACGAACACTATAGAGCAGGCTTCAGAAGATCCTGGACAAGAGGAGGTTGTTCAGCAGTGCATGGCCAATCAGAGCTGGCTGGAGACGCTCTTCAACTCCTTCTTAGAGCTGATGGCCCTCAGCACCAAAGCTTGAGAGGGAGGAAATCGAGGAGGCCTCAGTGTACAAAGAAGCTGGATTTGTTGTTGCCCTCCTCTTCGCTTTTCCACAAATTCTCTTTTAAACGGCTCTTGCGCAGCGGCGACAGAAGAGGACCGGGCGACGAGCCCAGCCGGCTATAACTCCATTAACTCTTCACAAACGTCACCGAGGCCGCAGACCCGGTGCGGGAGAGCTCAGACGAATGGACATGACTAAACTGAGAGTGCCGACTTTACTGAATTCACTGAATCCCAAGGAAATGGTACCCAGAATATACCATGGAATATACTGTGTGGAGTCTTTATACTTTTTGAATTGACTGATTGACCGCGGGAAATGACTGACAGGAGGAGTACGCTTCGTGTCGACACTAGGAGGAAATCTGTTACTGAATTTTACACGAATAATTTTTTAAGACTATAGCAGTTTTATTCTGGCTTTTTTTTCCTGAAACGAGAGCGAGAGAGAGAGAGAGAGAGTGAAGGTTCTGTTTTATAAACGAAAGCGGACATGGGAAGATGCGTGCAACGACATGTGATGACATTCAACGCTTTAGTCTACACGCGTCAAACAAGTGAGCTAAAGTAAAGCATTTTTTATTTATAAAGACGTTTTTAACAGGAGTTCGCACATACTATTCAAACAAGTAACGCTTCATAACGGTTAAAATAATGTTTGTTCAGATGTTATAAATGGATCTTATTGCCACATTCTGAGCTGTCTTCCTTTTTGCTCATCGAAGGTGGGTAGATACAACGGAAAATGTCTTATCGTTTTTATCTGTTACGGACGAGAAAAGAAAGAACAACTATTTCATGCTACGCAAACGGTATTATTGCAGTGCATTCTACAGAAAAAAAAATCAAATGTTGAGAGTTGAAAGTGAGAGTGAAGCATCAGATTCCCATTAGGGAGGGATAATGTATTAGTACTATTTAAAATGGAAATTTGTTTTTATTTGTTTGTCTTTTGTCTGTATTCTGAGTATTATTTTGGAACAATCTAATACTGTGCTTCTTTCAAAAGTAAAGCCTTTGTGTAAATATTGTACAGCTCTTGACAAAAAGCCCCCCGGTTCTTCTGTACATGGACTATCCCTGTATTTGACAAACAAATAAAACCGTCAACAACTACTTTGTCTCAAATAAGATATGCTTTTTTTTCCTCTGGGTTTGCACTTCACTCCAAGTCAGATTTACTTTGTGACGGGAGAATTAATGGAGCCAGATCTGTTTCTCCCTCTCTTTGGCTTCAACCGAACTTTCTTCCCTAAATGGTTTGTTCTTTTCCTTGAACTTTTGACCATGACTTTATTACACTTCCCCTTTTTGCTGTTATTGTTTATTATTTCTGTTGCTTTATATTTTATGATCTATTCATCTTCGGTTTAGGCCTCAAAACGGCAGGGTTTTTCCAGCCTGGAACTTTCTAGAAAAGTAGAAATTTCTAGCTTTTTTATGATAGATGGTTCAAATTGTTTTGGAATATTTTCAAAGTATAACCAGAAAGTACAATTGTGACCTACAATTACAACTACTTGGAAAATATGCAGTCAAAAAGTACACTGGCACTGAATTGATATTTATTTTGACCCTAGAAATCTAAAGACATGCTTGCATTCTTGGTTTTGTATACAATTATAAATTAAAGCTGGTGTGTTACAACAGATTAAAAAGTTTTGATTGGTTGATATTTTTGCTCACAATTCTGATAAGTCTTAAATAATAATAATGAGGAGTAGGAGTTGGTGTGCAGATGGCAGGATTATTCGGTGATTACAGAATGAAAGCGCTGCTCTGAACAAAATGCCCTGTAAAATAAATATAAACTGATAGGTGTACTGATCAGAAATGTATTAAAAGTCCATACAACATCATCATAAGAACTAGAAAAACCAATCTTTATTAATCTTAATCTTTTTAACCAATCTTTATATAAAGATGATGGTAACACTTTACAATAAGGTTCATTAGTTAACATTTGTAAATGCATTAACTAACATGAACTAACGATGAGCAATGCATTAGTTACAGTGTTAATTAATCTTTGTTAATGTTAGTTAATACAAATACAGCTGTTCATTGTGCGTTCATGTTAGTTCACAGTCCATTAACTAATTTTAACTAATACAACCTTTGATTTTAATAACGTATTAGTAAATGTTGGAATTAATAAGATTAATAACTAAGTTAATTGCTGAAGAAGTATTGTTCACATATTGTACATGTTAACTAATGTAGTTAACTAATGTTAACTAATGAATCTTATTGTAAAGTGTTACCAAGATGATTCTCAACTACATTATGAAAGATTATATAACAATGATTTGATGTACTATTTTGATCCATGTAAACATGGCTATTCCCATTGCAACTGATTGGCATATTAATGTGTTCTTGGCAACATGTAATGCAAAAAGAAGAGTAATGGGATTAATAACTTGGCAACATTTTCAGAAGTATTTCATATTTCGTAGGAATATTGATATTCATTATTTTATTTCCCTCACTGTCTCCCCAGAAGTCCTACCGCTACCGGACATGTTGGAAATCGACAGAAAGTCCTATTCTGATGTTTTACTAAAATGTCTTCTACAGAGGACAAAATAAGTCTATGGGTCTCATGAAGATAGATTATATTTGAAATGTAATTGATTTTCACGTTGTGTTATCGTTCCAAACCGACCAAATGACAGATATTGGTCGCCCTCGCCATCTTGTGGTCATCTAGGGTTAAACAGTTCCCCTGTACACGGAGTGACGTGTACAATGACGTTAAAATGGAAAATCGAAACTGACATGGATTTCCCGAGTAATGTTCAACACCTGATCTCAAGGGACAATAAAGTGTTCAAGGTTTGAATAAAGTCCGGTATTAACGCAGAACTGTCAAGCGAGTCTGTCTCATAGTCGTGATATCTGAAGAGCTCGCTGAAAAACACAACAGGCCACAGCACACACACTGTCGATGTAACCTTACACGGTAAGTGACGATTAAAAGCCATGGTGTTTTTTCTTATTATAACCATGGTTCATTATTTGACTCACGAGATAACATTATTCCTTATACAGAATGTCTTCCCTAGATATGTCATGTTAAAAATTAAAATGTCCACGGCGATATGTAAGAAAATGTTTATACTGTAAAGTTCAGTCAAAAATATACACTAGAAAGGTGTTTTAGGTTTTGCTGTATTTTAGGGGTGTATTAAAGAAGAGTTGTGAGAGTTTGTAAATGAATGTCGGGATATTTCAGCATGTTCTTCTGTCTTTGCAGGCACATTGATGGTTTAGTTTGGTTTAGTCTGTGTGCATCATTCATCATGACCCAACCAAAGCCGCTCTTCGTTCCCTGGCTGTACCAAAAAATAGAGAGTGGAAGTTATCCTGGAGTGTGTTGGACCAGTAAAGAACTTCAGCAGTTTAGCATTCCTTGGAAGCATGCTTTGAGACAGGACAAAAACAGTGATGATGTCCTCATATTCAAGGTGAAAATAAGCATTATTTGTCATTATTAAAGATCCTATTAAAGATAAAGATAGATTATTAAAGATATTAAAGATTAAAGAATATCATTAATACAAGTTTTTGACCTCAAGGGCATCCAAGATGTAGGTGTCTTTGTTTCCGCAGTAGTTTCGATTTTTATATTTTTAGGTCAAACCGTTGTCTGTCAGTCATATAATGCAGGTCTATGGTCACCACCTCAAAGAGCTTGCACAGAGGATAGTTCACCCAAAAAGGAAAATTCTGTCATCATTTACTCATCTTCAAGTAGTTCCAAATCTGTATGATTTTCTTTCTTCTGTTAAACACAAAAGTAACCAAACAGTTGAAGGGTCCCATTGACTTCCACAGTATTTTTTCCCCCATCAACTGGTTTTAAATGATGACAAACTTTTCATTTTTGGTTGAACTATCCCTTTAAAATAATTGTATTTAATAATAACACTAATACTAACAGTAATAGCACTTTTAGTATATTATTGATAAATTGTATATAGTGCATGCATTAGATCTAAGTAGATCTTTATATGTAGGCTAATTTCATAACTGCTTATGTTGTCTTTGAATGTCAAATGTACTGACAAGCATTTATGCTAAACTAAAATATACTTTAATGTCATATCCACTGAAACATCTATTTATGTCATAGAACGGTTGTCATGCTATATGAAACAGCTTGACAAACTTTTTAACCAGATAGTATCATTATTTCTGTATTACAATAATTCAAGTGATCCCAGAAGTACTGGGATAAACATTTATAGTTCGGATATAAACACTGATGTCTATGGTAGCGATCAAAATAGAGTAAATCACCTGTTAAAACCAACTTGAAGTGACTGATAAAAAATGGATTTATTAATGAATAATTCATCCAAGAGATTTGTTCAAAATCACTGATTCATCCAGTAACGAAACAAGTGAAGTCTTCATGAGTGAGTCGATGAATCATTCATTCAAACCGATAAAAAAAAAAAGATTTTTTAAAATATAGTCTGCTGCAATAAACATTTTCTAAGACCTTCTAGTAAATGACATGTTATGTAGTTTAATTGTCTATTCAAAATCATGGGCAAATCTTGATCCTTCATTTAATTATCAATTTATCCAGATTAATGGTGCAGCTCTTATGCATACTCTCTATAAGCACACTTAGATTTGAATACAATTTAATACAATGAAATACGTTTATTTTTCACAAGAGGACACTATAATTGTAAGGGTCATTGTCTTCTAATGTCTGTCAGGCATGGGCTCAGACCAGCGCTTCTGGAGACAGGATAAATGGAGATCCCTCTATTTGGAAGAGGAACTTCCGAAGCGCTCTTCGTGCCAAAGGCTTCAAGATGGTACTTGACAACAAGAATGACACTGCGGATCCGCATAAAGTGTATCAGTTTCCGTCTGATTGTCTTTCTGCAGGTAAGAAACGATACATTTGTGGTTGATGTCATTAAGAAGATTGATCATTGAACCTTTTCTGTTTTCTACCCTGACCGCCTGCAGGATCGGAAGGGTCTCAAGAGACTGATGTGAGTATCTGTTTAATCAGTTATTATGTGCTTGTCAGGCTGGGTTTTACAAAAAACTAGGGCTGTGCAAAAATTAATTGCGATTAATCGCATCCAAAATAAAAGCCTGTGTTTACATAATATATTTGTGTGTGCTGTATATAATTATTTTGTATATATAAATACCTATGCATGCATGTATATATTTAAGAATTATTTCTGCTTAAATTCTATATAAATACATAATCTATATTATATAAATATAAATATTTTATATATGAATAACACATTTTCTTAAATATATACATGCATGTGTGTGTATTTATATATACAAAATAATTATATACAGCACACAAATATATTATGTAAACACAGACTTTTATTTTGGATGCGATTAATCGCAATTAATTTTTGCACAGCCCTACAAAAAACACATTCAGATTGACAACCTGTACAATACTGTGCACACACTGACTTGGGAAATTTGTTTCCCATTCTTTAGTTTTCTCCAGAACTATATTTGGACGAGGAAAGCGTGTTCTCTAGTAAGCAGTTTTTATTCCCAGTCATGCATTTGTCATACAGGTGAAACTCGAAAAATTAGTCAATTAGTTAATTCATTTCAGTAAACTTAAAAGGTAAAACTAATATATTATCTAGACTCATTACATTCAAAGTGATATATTTCAAGCCTTTATTTGTATAATTTTGATGATTACATCTTGTGAAAACCAAAATTCAATTAATTTTTATTATACCCTATTATGAACCAAATTCAAATTTAGAATATTGTGAGAAGGTTTTCAAGCCATTATCATCCAAATTATAACAAAGGCTTGAAATATCTCACTTTGCATGTAATGAGTCTATATAATATAATAGTTTCACCTTTTAAGTTTAATTACTGAAATAAATGAACTTTTGCACGATATTCAAATTTTTCGAGTTTCATCACCTGTATAATAGTGAGGTAGACCTTTAATCGTGATGACATGTGTTTTACTTGTATCTCCTTTATCTACTCTGATCTTTTCTTTCTTAGAAAACCCATCCCAAGGTTTAGAGGGACAATTAACTGGACTAAACCTTCATGAAAGTCCCTCCCGAGGTACATTGAAAAATTATAGGAGGCTGTAGTACAAAGCAAAATATGATATGATATTAACTCTATGGATATGGTTTTACCATTATTTTAGGTATTTGAATCTCTATATGCATAATGTATGCTATTGTTATATTATAATAAACACACACACACACACACACACACACAAAGGATGTCCTGCTTAGTACATTGACATGCTTTGTTCAAATATTATTAAAAATTCAATTGCACTTTATTTTGCAGTAAGAGTACTTCCGTGTATAAAATACTGGGTAATATGAGGTAACTGCCTTAAGGTTTGGTTCACAGGTTATTACCCAACTATTGCAATATAATAAATACATATCATTTACATGGGGAACAGGACTGTTAAATAAAGTGCTACCACAAATTAATTTTGGATTTTGTAAGCGTGTTGTTTTATCGTAGTAACGCAATGACAAGTAAAATTATGCTGTCATACAAAGAAACAAGTAAAACCAAGAGAGAACCACCTAAATATTAATATAATACTGATTAAGTTGTCGAGTAGACAGTGACTGCTTTTTGTTTTTCTATGCATTTACTTATTTGCACAGTCAAATAATATATATATATATATATATTAGGGCTGTCAAACGATTAATCACGATTAATCACATTCAAAATAAAAGTTTGTGTTTATATAATGTATGTGGGTGCACTGTGTATAATTATTTTATATATATAAATACACACACTTATATATACAGTATATAAGAAATATTTTCATGTATATACTGTATATAGATTTATATATAATTTATATTATATAAAATATATATATAAATTACATTTTTTTCTAAAATATACATACTTGTTTGTGTATTTATATATATAAATAATTATACACAGTGCACCCACATATATTATGTAAACACAAACTTTTATTTTGGATGTGATTAATCGTTTGACAGCCCTAATATATATATATATATATATATATAGATGCATATTTACATGGTTGAATCCCCTCCGGGCACCACTTTTGGCCACTTAGTACATGGATTATTGCTTTTAGTTATATAATGATTTAAAGGACAGTAAGTTGTGAATTTCACTTTTCATATTTGTTTCAGTTTGGAATTCAGAGCAGTTATACTTGGGACAACAACTCTTCCAAACATTGGATCCATGTTCAGAACCCCAGTTTACTGGGATGGCCCATTTTCAAAGAGTGGACCCCCCCGGAGCCTTCTCTTCAGCTGGGGGTGCGGTTGGTGGCTTGGGGCAGATTTCACCAACTGATGCAGCGACGGCGGTGAATCCTCATTCTCCAGAATATCAGCAGCCGGCTGCATGTCCACCACATGCTGAAGGAAATCAGGATGCCATTCCTGAACCCAAACTGGGTAGGTAGAACCTGAGACCATGACATATTCTTCACATCAATCACTGGTGTTTAATTACTCAGCTTTTTTTCCATTCATTTCCTTCACAGAGACATGTTTTCGGATTAAGGTGTATTACAAAGGGAAGATGGTGTTAGACAAGCTGGTGGAGGATTCTGGATTCAGACTGATGTATCAGGAAAACATGTTGGTTTTTTTTGTACTTAAAGGGATAGTTCACTTTGAAATTATTTTTTGGTATGTTTTAGCTTACCTCAAGGGCATCCAAGATGTAGGTGTCTTTGTTTCCGCAGTATTTTCAATTTTGATATTTTTAGGTCAAACCGTTCTTGTGTGTCAGTCATATAATGCAGGTCTATGGTCACCACCTCAAAGAGCATGCACAGAGAAGTCCAAATTAAACATGATTTAATGACTCGTAAGTGTAAGTAGACATTGATGGCCTAAGACACGAAATGAGCGGTTTGTGTGAAAAAACAAACAGTATTTATATCGTTTTTACCTATTGTAACCACAGACACGTCCAAGTGATCTGAGGGCGAGGACGCTTTGGTCTGCGCAAGCGCCGGAAAGTGCCGGAAGTGATTTCTCGCGTGTGTACGTCGCTCATTGTTTACACAGAGATTTTAGAAGTGTTACCTTTCACTGTGAAGATCTAAACATATTTAGATATACAGGAAATTGCAATGGAAGACGATTTCGATATATCAACAGACAACGTTGATTTTTTTTGCAACCGCGCTTTTGCACAGCCCAAAGCGCCCGCGCCCTCAAATCACTTGGACGTGGCTGAGGTAAAAACGATATAAATACTGTTCGTTTTCTCACACAAACCGCTCGTTTCGTGTCTTAGGCCATCAATGTGTACTTACATTTACGAGTCATTAAATCATGTTTAATTTGGACTTCTCTGTGCATGCTCTTTGAGGTGGTGACCATAGACCCCCATTATATGACTGATCGACAAGAACGGTTTGAAAAATGTCAAAATTGAAAATACTGTGGAAACAAAGACACCTACATCTTGGATGCCCTTGAGGTAAGCTAAAAGTATCCCTTTAATTTACTGATCAACTTTCAATTAGCATCACTGAATAATGTTATAGTATAATAGATGAATACTTAACAGGCTACACTTTTTTCCCCATAGTGACGAGTCCAGAGCTGACCTACCAGTGGTGAGGCTGCCTCCTCCTCCAGATGATATCCCAGATCAGAACCAGATCAGGCTTACGAACGATATCCTGAATAATCTGGGCGGTCTGGAGGTCAGGAGATCGGATGCTGTGGTTTATGGCCACCGCTGGGGAAACACCAGGATCTATTGGGGTTTGTGCAAACATGAAAAAAGCCCAACAACCAGAGAGCTCGCCAAGAACACGCCTGACCCCATCTTCTTCTTCAAAAATTATATTTCAGGTGAATTATATTAGGTGTTTATTTTATGTATTTGTTTGGGTATGGTCGATCTTTGGTGGTTGCAGATATTTAGTTGATTCTTCTATATCCCTTGGATAATGTGTTGGATGTCTGTTCATGCCATTCCATTAGGTTTGATGGAGTTTATGGAGACAAGCAGGGAATCTCCCTCTTATACTCTTTACTTCTTTCTGGGAGAGAAGTGGCCGGACCCCAAAATGAAACCGTGGGAGAAGAAACTCGTCATGATAGAGGTTCGGATTGGGCAAATTAAATACTATAAATATATATAAAATATTTAAATTTTTATTATTTCATGCTTCACATATTTGTTACATATTATTACATATACTATACATATTTGGTATGCAAAATACCAACATGATCAAAAAATTATAATCTGTTGCACACATCCTTCTGCTGTCTGATTGATAGTTTATACTTTAATGATAAAACAAAGTCATTTTAGTATCATTTTAAAAATGTTGAATGAGTTTTATCACATAGATGTAAGAAAAACTTTGATATTGTTAGTAATATTTCAAGATGGACACTTACTCGACTGAAGAAACTTGTAATGGATTACCCATACATATTTTCTTTTTTTAGAAAAATCATGTTAAAATATATCAAATATGATGCATTAGGCTTTTGAGGAACGTGTATTTGTACATCTATCAATCCTCATTGTATTGCTTTGCGTTATATGTTTCTTCCACCATTAAAACCAAATTAGATCATAAAACCTAAGCATTTAAAATCATCTAACTAAAACATATTATTGAGAGATATAGAGTGAGCTCCATATTCTCACTATATCATTTACATATTTACATTTATGTTGCATTTAACACCTGTTGAGTCACTGCCTCTCATGGCTTACTGCTTCATTAGTATTCGTAATTTTTTAGAGGCTAGTAGTGATTTTTGTCAGAGTATGCAAAATAAAATAATTGTATGATGACTTATTTTGATCTTTCCCATTCTCTGGTTTGGTTAGGTTATTCTGACTTCACTGGAGGGTTTGAACACGTTGGCTGTTTCACGTGGGGCGTCTTCACTGCAGTCAGTGGAGCTACAACTCTCTCTGGAGCTAATGATGGAGTTGTGTTAGAAAGATCGCCTCTGTCCAAGTGAAAAGGCTTGACTCTATTCTTATTTCGGATTAATTTAAATGACTTATTAAAGTGCCCCTATTATGCTATTTTGAAGCCTTCTAATGTTGTTTTGGAGTTTCCTACAATAGGCTTACATGCATCCTATGTCAATCTAATATACTGTATATTACACATCACCTCATTTCTCAGAGAGTCTGAAACTATTCGTTGGAAGATTCAGTCTCTCTAAACTCCCTAAATTACGGTGTTTTAGGGCAGGTCAAAGCAGAACTGGCAGAAATTCCCCCCTCTATGTGAAGCGCTTTGAGTGTCCAGAAAGGCGCTATATAAATGTAATGAATTATTATTATTATTATTGTTTCTGCAGGTCAGAATCGATTCTTTCTTTTAGGAGATATTAACTTTATTTGTGGTGCACTTTGACCTTAACCTAGAAATCTAGACGCATCCTAGTGGCAGCAAAAAACATTTTGCAGCCAGTGTGGTCTAGCAACTCTCCATAGACGTTTAAGCTGGAAAAACAAACTCTGGTCAGGCCAATCACATCGTGTATAGAGTTGGCGGGCGGGACAGAGTTGCGACGGTTCACTCGATCCTCGGATTCTGCGCCGCGCCCACTGTTACAAAAAAGCTGTGGCGAAACGATCAACAATCACATGAAGTAGGGTGTGTATGACACGCCAATTCGTATTTCCATTTTTGGCGTGCTATCAGACTCGCTTTTCAGCGTGTTTATGAACGCCGTTGACTTAACGTTATTACTGTATATATAAATATATGACTTACCTCAACCCCGTCCCTAAACCTAACCGTCACTGGGGTTAATGGCATTTATGACTGTTCCCTTACTATCCGAGGAAAAAAAAAGATCGCTCCCCAGATGTAGATCTACATTTTGCTTCGGTTTCACGCGGACATTTGACGGCGTGTACAGACACGCGGAATCACTCGGACGTTAATGGCGTAGACATACACGCATACACGCGGATAGCTTAAAATGCGTAGAGATAACAGGCCACTTGACTCAAAAGTGGCGTGTATGTTTACGCAAAAGTCATGATGTCATGTTGCCTGGTGCTATTTTGCAGTTCCAGAAAACAATTGCGCCAATGACCAAAAAAAAAAACCCGGTCTAAAGTCAGTGGCGCGTTGTGCGTACATTCAGATGCTATTTTAAGCGCGCATGCTTGGCCATAATACAGAGTGTGAACAACGCGCATACACTGTAGATGATTCTAATTTGGGTGGGTTTGTCTCATCCCCAATGTCACTTCTCTTTCTTTTACGGCCCTGACGAGAACATCGATCTCCTCGGCTGTTAAAGGGTCAGTTCACCCAAAAATGAAAATTAAGTCATTAATTACTCACCCCCATGCTGTACCAACCCCGTAAGACCTTCGTTCGTCTTCGGAACACAAATGAAGATATTTTTGATTAAATTTGAGAGCTGTATAACTACCACATTGGCTCCTAAGGGACTGCCTCTTGACGGCCCAGAAAGTCAATGAAGAAAATGTTTAAATATCCCAAGTGACTACCGTGGCTCAACTATATGTTTATCAAGCGACGCGAATACTTTTTGTGCGAAAAAACAAACAAAAATAACGAGTTTATTCGACTATTTCTTTTCTTCCTTGTAGGCCAGAAACGAGACTTCCTTATAGATTTCCACGACGCATGCGCGAGAATTGCGATCTGAAGTAGTGTAAGCTGGTGTAAGCAGATCGCAAATCTCGCGCATGTGTCGTGGAAATCTAAGGAAGTCTCGTTTCTGGCCTACAAGGAAGAAAAGAAATAGTCGAATAAACTCGTTATTTTTGTTTGTTTTTTCGCACAAAAAGTATTCGCGTCGCTTGATAAACATATAGTTGAGCCACGGTAGTCACTTGGGATATTTAAACATTTTCTTCATTGACTTTCTGGGCCGTCAAGAGGCAGTCCCTCAGGAGCCAATGTGGTAGTTATACAGCTCTCAAATTTAATCAAAAATATCTTCATTTGTGTTCCGAAGACGAACGAAGGTCTTACGGGGTTGGTACAGCATGGGGGTGAGTAATTAATGACTTAATTTTCATTTTTGGGTGAACTAACCCTTTAACCGATTAAAGCGCGCCTGGTAAATGCGCCATTATAATAGTATTGCGCCACGGAACAAGCGCACCTCGTTCATCACGCGGAATGCCACACCAATGAATAATGAAGCTACTCCAGACCAACCCCTTTTAGATTTGCGTCAGGCGCAAGAGGCATTTATCCCGACGGTTAAATAGCAACAGCACCAGATCCGCCCACAAAGTTACTTGCGCTTTGCGCTTTGACACTTGCGTTTCAGATCGTTAAAATAGGGCCCACTGTCTCTTTCTCTCTCACACACATGTAGGCTAGTTATGAACTCTTTAGACTTTTATTGATTAGTGTTTTATTTTTAAAGTTTGTGGGTCGTGTAAAAAACAAAAAAATCCCTTATTTTGGGGATGGATTCCGGGAAATCTCCCTTATTTTCAATGTTCAATGTCGACAGCTATGGAATCACTGGATACGGTTAAAATTTAATGTATCAACTTGCTCCGCTGACTACGTCACCTCCTTCGTTGCTCTGATTGGTTGTAGCGCTATCCAATTGAGTGCAGAGAGAATTTGAAAGACAACCGTTTATCCCACTCATCAATGATGCCAGGCTACTTTGATCTTTGAAACGTTACAGAAATGTTACATTCACAAACGGCTATATTACACACTGCATGAAAGCTAATATTCGAAAAAGCATATTAGGGGCACTTTCAACTGTTTACTTAGTGGCGTCGCGACTCCATGGTTAATTGTATTTATTAAAAGTGTGTGGACCAATATTTCTGAGCAAATTTTCAGTAATGGTACAAGACAATAATTGATTCAGTAGATACAAATACATAAAGTTTACAAAGGGAGTCGTATTTTAAAAGGAGGGATTTCATATAACAAGTTGTGTACTATCATAAAAAGTCTAATGTGCCTTTAAGACTGGTTTTACACTACTACTGTTATCATAATACGATAGTGTCAGATTACCATAATCTTGTCTTTTCACAAAGTGTCTTCAATCTTTTCGTAGTCTGATTTGGATTTTTGTTATATCTTTGACTGAACTGAATGTGTACTGCATTCATATTGGGACCGATGTGTCGTTTCTTTAGCTTTTTCAACTGATATGAACAAGTTTGCACTTAGGATCATTTCACTTTTCAGTCATGTAAAATCTGGAAATGTCAGGGAATTTTACGTGTTTTACAGTCATGTAAAAAGCATGCAAATTAATAAAATCTCAAAAAGTCATGCAAAAGTTGAGGACGTTTCAATTTAATTCACATTTACTTGTAGCACTTTTCACAATACATATAGTTTCAAAGTGGCTTTACAGAAAGATGCATGCTTCTACATTACTTTTCTGAGTGATCTTTACCAGTGTTGACTCTATTAAAGTAATGTCCATATGCCAAAAATGTACATTTCTAAGATAATACAAATAGTGCAGTTAGCTAATATTATGTATTCATTTAGACAGAAACAATGATCTCATTAAAGCAATTATTACAAGTTCTTGATAACAATACATTTCTATAATGAATATACATTTTTCTATTTATACTCTGTTCTAAAATATTTTATCGAAAAGTCATGGTATCAGATTTGTGAGTGAATCAGTAGTATGCAATGAACTGATCAAACGGGTTTGACATTTAATATTCAGCCATGTGGGAGGGATTTTGCACCAATCAGATTTCGGAGTTACCCAGCGCTACACAAAAACTAAAGACCACAACATGTCCCGGAGGGATTCATCTAACTTACATTACACTGATTCTAGCCTCAGAAGATAAAACATTTAACGAGCATGAACATTCAACTTACAAATCAATGGCACAAACAGGGTGTGAGACCCAAAAGCACTCGAGACATCATATTGTCACGAGGATCACATATTGCTGCAGTAGCATCCTCTACCCCAGATACGGCTCTGACAAGAATTGCAAACACTGGTCCCCTACCACTGCCTGTACATCTTGAAAACAGATTTGAAGTATTAAAGGGATACTCCACTTTTTTTGGAAATAGGCTTATTTTACCACTCCCCCAGAGTTAAACAATTGGGTTTTACCGTTTTCAAATCCATTCAGCTGATTTTCTGATATTTAGAAGAATATCAGTAACCAGACAGTTTCTGGTCTCATTGACTTCCATATAGGCTTGCCGCGATAGACGGTGTTGACGGTGTTACCGGTTTTAAGCCCCATCACCGGTGACATCACTTTCCCACCGTGACACCGCGATGTCTTGACTTTTTTTTTTAAAAGTATTCGTTTTTGCTAAAATATTTATTTGAATTAATTAAAAATAATAATTTTCAATTATTTAGTTCTGAAGAGAGCATTATAATTAAAAATGAACTGCGCAACGCGTGCCGTCACGTCACAGATCAGCAAGCATCAGGATTCCATTTAGCACGTGTGGAGACGAGAACGAGTCAAATTACAGAAAAGCAAGATAATGGCGGAAGATTTGGTGTCAAAACGCAATGCAAAAGCGCCTGTTTGGCAATATTTTGGCCAATATATATTAATGTTAATAAATGCCAATTTATAGTGTTTTACTTTTTTTTTAGAGTGCTGTCATTTATGTAGGCTAAGGTCCTTTTTAAAGTTTTTATTTTATATTCGTCTCTTTTTATTTGGTTTTATCTTATTTAAACTTTGTTTAATTTATTTAGGCCTATTTTGTTTTCTTATTCGTTAATAAACGTTTTATTATTTTTTTTTGGGCCCACAGTTTGCCGATTTTCACTTTATTTTTATTCGTTCGTTATGCTAATAAAAGTTCTGTCTATATTTTATTCGTTTATTATTCTAATAAAAGTGCTGTCTAAATAAAAGTTTATTGTCAGCGAGTTTTTTTTTTTTTTTGTCCATTCCAGCAATTGACGCTGAATTGCAATTGACGCTTATTTCGAAAGTGAAAGTATGTCATTTATGTAGGCTAAGGTCCGTTTTGAAGTTTTTATTTTATATTCGTCTCTTTTTAATTGGTTTTATCTCATTTAAACTTTGTGTAATTTATTTAGGCCTATTTTATTTTCTTATTCGTTAATAAACGTTTTATGGTTCTTATTTGTTTGGGCCCACATTTTGCCGATTTTCACTTTTTTCAGCCTATGCATGGGGTTATTTTTATTCGTTCGTTATGCTAATAAAAGTCTATAAATAAAAGTTTTATTATCAGCGAGTTTTTTTTTTTTGTCCATTCAAGCAATTGACGCTTATTTCGAAAGTGAAAGTATAACGCGCACGCATTTAAAAGCTATTTAACCCCCCCGCCCTGCCCTCCACGGTGACACCGGGATTACCGGTGTTGTCACACGTCGATTAACCGGTGGGAAATTTTCCTCACCGCGGCAACCCTACTTCCATAGTAGGAAAAAAATATACTATGGAAGTCAATGAGAGCAGAAACTGTCTAGTTACTGATATTCTTCTAAATATAAAAAAAATCGTCTGAATACATTCGAAAACGGTAAAACCCAATTGTTTAACTCAGGGGGAGTGCTAAAATAAGTCTATTTTCAAAAAAAAAAAGTGGAGTATCCCTTTAATGAAGGAGGAATCCCTGAATGTGATCGAACATAGACTGAATCAGCCAGTAGCTAACACTGATGCTAACTGGAGCTCAAGATCGAGCAGAAAAACCATAATCAGAAACATTATTAGCAAGGATACAACAACGTACTGCCGTAAATAAAAATTTCTGATGTAAATAGGGAACTTCAGAACATTCCGATGAAACGCAAATCGACAAATCAAAAATTATATTCATAAAGAGCAATCAGAAGGATTTCAATGAACTTTTTGAAACACTTAAAAGACTGAAAGTTCAGACATTCATCAGTGGGCCACTCCCAGCAAGAGGAACAAACAGATTCAACCAAAAAACGGCAGGCCCCACCCAGCCCCTCCTCTTCCCCCTCCTCCAGTGAGAGCTCTTCAGCCTCTGCCACAGCGCCAGTTCTCACACCCTCCTCCATCTTCTCGAGGTGAACCAAAAACAACTGATATCAGCTGTCAGTAATATGTGCCGGGTCCCCGCTATGATAACAGTAACTTTCGTAAATGTTTACAAAACAAGCGCAAACCCAGTGTGCCCGAATCTTTCTCTATTGCTGTTCAATTACATGATAGAAAATCTACAAGCTCTACAGCAAAGCCATCTAATCTGGTGCCTATCCCACGCCAAACTAAGATTGCTGTGGGGACAAAAAGTAAGACTGTTAAGTTAGCACTTTTAAACATCAGCTCACTTAAAAATAAATCACTTCTAGTCCACGACTTAATAACCACACACAACCTGGACTTTATGTTTTTAAATGAAACTTGGCTCGAAGACAGCTGCAGTGCAACAATCCTCAATGAAACATCCCCTCCAAACTTTACTTTTATGAATGTCTGCAGAGCTTGTAGGAGAGGCGATGGCTTAGCTGTTTTTTTTAAAAGATGTCTGTGAATGTAAGCAAATGTCATTTGGAAATTGTGTTAAAAGGTGCACCACTTATATGTTCTATTGGTGCTTCTTATTGACCCCGAACCTTTGAAGTGAAGTGTATTAATTCATTCAAGTGTCTTAACTAGATATATTCAAGTGATATTTAAGGGTATGTTCTTTATGTTTAAGCTGTTAAAATGTTAAGATTAATTATTTAAGTTATAAGTATACGGTTATGGTCACCACATCCATGCCGATCTACTCCACGTTCTCCAGGTCATCGTGTTCTTCCTCTGATTCCCTCTCCTCCATTGAGAGGTCCCTGAGCTCTGACAGTGGCACCAGCTGACCCGCTTGGTTCAATCCCATTGGCTGAATCACATTATCCCTGTTTAGGAAAACGTGTGAGTGTTGTTAGAGCAGTGTGTACAATGTTTTGATAAGTGGTTTAAGTTCCTTACTTTGAGAGTTTGTTAAAAAGACGGATGAGCCGGTGAGCTTCCTCTTCTTTCTCATCCTCTGTCATTCCCTCCATGGGATCAGGCTGCTCCTCTTCCACCTGTCCCGTCACTGGGTTCACGCGGTCTTTAACCTGCCGGTACTCCTCGGTGTCGGAGTCAGAGTCGCTAGAGTACCGTGTGCCTGATGAGGAGGCATGTGATCTTTGACCTCCTAGCAAGCCTCTAGTGGCCAGCAGCCCAGCAGCGTTCCCATATCCAGTGTACTTGATGAAACGTCTCACTGAAATATCCAAGAAAAACTCTGCATATTAGGTCTTGGGGGTAAAACTCACGGGTATAGAGTGGTTGAAATGGAAATAGATGAATGGAAAAGTGTAATAAAAACAATAATAATAATAAACGTCTTATCACACTATAAATGTATACATTTAGCTATTGAATAATTAAATGCAAGTTTCCATGGTCAGTTGCAGACAGTTTCCTAGTTTTCTCCTTTTAGGTGCAATCATTGTACACTTGTCAAAACGAAAAGTCAAATTAGATTCTCCAGTTTCTGTCAGTCCCACCCACTACGTTATCTTTAGAACTTAAGGAAGTAATAGTAGATTCATGCTTTTGTGGAGTTGAAGTTGAAAATGTCAAAGCAAAAATCAATCATCTGATACTTTAAAGGGATCCTTTTATACTATTTTACATATTCATTTTTCAGTAACACTTTATTTTACGACCCACAAACAACTGTGTAAGTACACTGAAATTCCGGTGTACGTTTCTGTAATTATAGTGTACTTCCGTGTAAGTACAAGGGAACAATATGTTGAGTTTGGGGTAATAAAGGGGTAACAAACAGATATACACCCTGCAAATAACTTTGTAAGTACACTGAAATTACGGTGTACGTTTCTGTAATTATAGTGTACTTCCGTCTAAGTATAGGGAACAATATGTTAAGTTTGGGGTAATAAAGGGGTAACAAGCAGGTATACAAGCAAATTATTTAATTAGTTAAAAAAAAATAACAGGTACCTATTCTGTTAATATATTCCAGGCAAAAATTGTACGTTGTTTATAAAATGTATCACATTTCTGTCAAAATATGTTCTTCTGCAATGTCACAGGGTAATTTTGACATCTGTGGGTTATATATATATATATACAGTATATACTATGATAAAAATTAAATTTATTGGCTTTTCTTACTAGATTACTTAATGTTAAGTCAAAATAATTTGTTTGCTATGATTTTAATTTAGACCATACCATGTGGTAATTAGTACTTACCTTATACCATTGAATTGCAATAACACTTAAATGTCTGGGCAAATATACTGTGTTATTAAAACGATTTTTTTAATATATATAACAGTAGCTTTCTCTGTAATTATTACAGTGCAAATAGTGTTGTTTCGTATTGCTACATAGTAAGTAGCTTTGTTACCCCCTTGTTCTGCGTAGTTACAGGGTAAGGTAACTCCTGCGGGCTGTAAATTAAAGTGGTGCTTGTTACCCCTTTATTACCCAAAACTTAACATATTGTTCCCTTATACCTGCACGGAAGTACACTATAATTACAGAAATTTACACCGTAATTTCAGTGTACTTACACAGTTGTTTGCGGGTCGTAAAATAAAGTGTTACCCATCTTTCTTTAGTGTGTAATGTTGCTGTTTGAGCATGAACAAGTCCCTCCTATCTCAGTGTCACGTTTTTCTGAACTTCATGGAACACCTTCATTATTATAGTCTTGAGTTTTCTTCTGGGAACGAACACGTCACAATATTCCTCATTTAAATAATACCCAGTCAAGGTAAACATTAATTAAAGGGACGTGGCCCGCTTGAGTTAGTTAGTAGTGTGTTTCAACTGCCATTTATGGGAAGGGGCGTGACATTCCCATCCCAAACACGCTTGAAGCGGTTGACCAATCACAACACACTGATTCGGCTGACCAATCAGAGCACATTGCGGATTTCGGAAGGAAATGGCGACAAAGAGGAAAAACTGCGGACTGCGGCTATAAAATACAATCATTTTATATTTATTTGCAAAAATCATAATAGTAATTCATTTGTCTATACTGTCATCATACTTGATAGAAAACCGGCTTGTTTTGTTATTTCGGTTTTTACATTTTGTGTTGCATTGTATTTTTTCAATTTGTTTTTGTGGTAATTTGGCGTGCAGTTTGAGTGCGGTACCGTTCTCTTTGCAAAGCACGAAGAGCAGGTCGGCAGCGCAGTGTTTGAGCTCAGTGTCCAGGTTGGTCATCAGTCTAACCAGGCGATTCCTCAAGGTGTTGCCCTTCTCAGGTTTAGTGCTGGCATCTCTTAACGGAGGCAGAATCTGTACTCGTGAGAAAACATGCAGTTTGATATAAAACAATGCAAGAGTTTTATTAGACAATTTTGCCTCATGATAACGTAAAGCAGCAGTCGTGCCTGTTGTCTAAGGTAGCGTCTCGTGTCTCTGTGACCTCTGGAGCACTCGCTCAGCAAGTTCAGCACAGGGGTCAGTCTCTCTTTGACCTTTTCACCCTGCATGTAAAACACCACTGCGTTAGAAAAGCCATCGTTGCACATGTCATGCAAAAATATGTGCGAGTCAGATCATATATTTTGTTTGGTCCACTTTTAAAGATTATTTATTCCCTTCTCCCTTCTTCCACCCTCTCTGACCCTATATATATAGAAACTATTTTAATATTTTAAACCGTTAAACTGTAAAAATAACCCTGTTCAACCCTTGTCAGTGCTAATATTTCACTCACTGCGTGTCTTATCTTTAGTAAATCCTGACAGTTGTTTTTCAGTAGTGCCTGTTAGTAAATCTGGCCCTAAATCTCAAAATATCAAGGACAATATGATTCATGATATCCCTTTCTCTGTTGTCTCCATCTTTCTGTTCTTTCCTTATTTCTTTCTTTCACCCTGTTTTTTTACCTGCTCCAGTTTTCTCTCCATGTACACGAGTAGGCTTTGCACACAGTCCATGTTGACTCCGTTCATCTGGTGTGAGTCTGGAGCCAGAGGCACAGACACCAGAACGTCTAGACAACTCAACGGGAGAGCTGACAGCATGTTCACTGCATGCCTGAGAGAAAGACAGATGTGATGTCATGGTAAAATCTGTTCTGTTTTAATTCAATGTTGAATACTGTTGATTATTTAAAACAACATCAGTCTGTAAAAGCTTGTGTTTTACGTAAATTAGTCTATAAATCTTGGCTATTTAACCCTTGTGCATCCTTATGGTCATCACTTTGCCTGTGCTAATGCTAACTGCATGAAATTTGGCACAGGTGTGTATTTTTATTGGAATTTTTGCTATTTCATCACCATTTCCTTTAAAGAAAATCTATTTTGCACCACAAAATAGTTCCTCTCTGCACCTTTTGGACCAAATGTCCCCATTGAAACCCATTAAAACTGACATTTTTAATCCCGGGTCATTTAACTGATGCAGTCTTTTTGTAAGAGGCTTTCATTCTGTTGGCAAGGCTTCAAAATTTACATTTTTACAAATGAAACATTTCAGGTAAGTACGTTTTTCAGGTTTGGCCTACAAAGCAAACACTTGCTTTATTATTATTATTTTTGTTTTGGTTTGTTTTCTGCTTTGGCATATTATAGAGCCAATTGGGTAAATTATGCAACGATAAGTGTGTGAGTGTGTTGGTTTGAATGTCAGAGTGAGGTTGATGTGTGATTTAAACAAAAAATATGTGTGTGAGAAAAACTCAACAGCAAATCCAATCTCTGTGTGCACCAGTGGAGACACCAACCTCAAATTGGGAACACAACTTATTTAGATATTTGATTTTCTAGCAGTTTTAGAGTTCAACTTGTTTCATAAAATATATATTCTATGTAAAATAATGTTCATAAATCATTTTCAGAAACTTAACCCTATATAACTTAAAAATGAGACCAAACTTACGTCTCTGCTCCCAAGCTTCAAATGTTTATGACAGTTTTTTGACACAGACATTTTTGTCCACTATGCACCTGTGTAACTTTTTTAATTGATGCACAAGGGTTAAACCGAAAATAAAATAAAATATTGTCCTTTTGAGAAGTTTATGCATTACATAATTCATATGAGTGAAGATGAGGAGAAAAGCAGACACAGATGCACTTTCAGAAGAAGGAAGAGCCTGTGCTCACTGTGACACTTAAGGCACACACTGGTCAATTTAGAGATATGAGAGAGAAATACTTTGAAAAAAGAAAAAACTAATTCCTCATTTTCTATAGCTTTCACGAACTGATACGATGCAGGTGTTACTAAAGGAAGGCAATCGCGCATCTGTCAGTCAAATTAATATGTTCTTTTTATTAATAGTATTATAATTATTGCCTGCACACCGTGTGTGGGCTTAATGCCTTTTTTAATGTCATGACCTTTAGAATTAAATGCTCCAAGTTTTACTAAATAAATAAAAACACATAGAACACATACAAATTATTAAAAATACACAAAAATTACAATAAATACAATTAAATAAAATTATTGGTAACATACACTACCGTTCAAGTTTTTTTAGTCGTATAAAGTCAAAACCAACAATATTGAGAAATATCATTACAATTTAAAATAAATATTTTATGTTATTTATTTCAATTAACTTTTTTTGTTGTTGCTTTATTATTATTATTATTATTATTATTAATAATAATAATATGCTCACCAAGGCTGCATTTTTTAATAACATTTTATTAAAAAAAATACAGTAAAAACAGTACTATTATAAAATAGGATTACAATTTAAAATAAATATTTTATTTAAATTATTGCAATTATTATTGTATAATTATTTTGGAGTCTTATTTTTATTCTATTTTAATACTGTTTTCTATTATATTTCACTTTGTGTGTGGGTGTGTGGGTGTTTGTCACGTTGTGTGTGTGTGTGTTTGTCACACAATATATGAAGAGTTCAGATGCAAAAGCCTCTAAATGCCATTTGAAATTTTCTTCTTTAATGATGATTTTTATCAAACTTGTATATTTAAGTTCAGTAATTTCACTTAAATAACAATTAATAGGTAATTATCATTGCCATTTAAGTGAAATTACTGAACTTAAATATACAAGTTTGATAAAAATCATCATTAAAGAAGAAAATTTCAAATGGCATTTAGAGGCTTTTGCATCTGAACTCTTCATATATATATATATATATATATATATATATATATATATATATATATTGGTAGGATTTACAAGATCATGACAAACACACAACATGACAAACACACAGTAAGGTTAATATTGAACCGCAGCTTCCAGTGTCAGTTGTCAGTGCACCTCTTGAGGCCAGGGGAGTGAGGTTTATTTGCCCAGCTCTTACTTGCTTGCCTCCGTTACCCTCACCCCATAAATCTCACTCCCATCCTGGTCACGGGTCACGGCACCAATATAACACCGAGCGGAATTTGAACCGCAGCCTCAACCCAGAATATTAATATAGAGCAATACAAACATTTATCAACACTAACCCTTTTAATTCATCTGTAGCTTCTTCCTCCTCACAGGACACCATCAGACAGTAACGCAAAACTGCAGCCAGGTGGCGATAGAGAGATGCAGCTTCCTGGTGGTAGACATAATATGAACCTTGATGTTAACAATTTATATCAATTTATTCACTGCAATGTGGGTTTACTACAGTATTACTACAATCTGATACATCACATTGTTTGTAAGGGAGGTGAGTGAGCATGAGTGTGATTTTGTCTGCATATACCCACCTCTTCAGGTTCTTGAGTGTGTGTGCTGTGTGTGATATTAAAAAGGATCTTCAGAGCCTCCTGAGCCTGCTGTGAGTCATCCACACTCACAGGAGGCGCTGCAGGATCCAGCATGACCTCATACTGTTCCTTCCACTGAACTGCTAAACACATCTCCAGCACTGTGGTCAACAGCGACACTCCTCCCTTCTAAAAATCACCCAAAACACCAATACAATATGTAGATAGCAATGTGGCCGTCGGTCATTATACAGCAGTTTATACTATCAAAAGTTTGAGCTCAGTATGATATCTTGTGAGCATTTATTTGATCAAAAATGAAGTAAAAACAGTAATATTGTGAAAGTTTAGTATTTATTTGAAATGGATAGTTTCTGCAACACCATTTTTGATCCATTTAATGCTGGAAAAAAAAAATCTCACTGGCCTCAAACTTTTGAATGCTAGCATATGATACGAAAAAAAATTATTTATACTTATTTTTTTAATAGTTTTTCAAAATGCAAATAATAGAAGGAGAAAAGTAGATACTTGTTTCAGCTGTGCTCTGAGTTCAGGTCTCAGCGCCGTCAGTAAAAACATGAACCGGAGTGTGTAAAATTGGCCACAAGGGGAAGATGCAGACTGAAACTCTTTACTTAGCTTTTCTGTCAGACCACAGAGGAGACTGAAGAACAGTAGTGGGAGAGAAAAGAAAAAAAGCACATGACATTAGTTTCAGTGAATACAGTGCTCCCAAAAACACTTTAGTAGCAGAAATGTATTCAATTTTCACAATGAATTTTAACCGAGGGGTCAAGCTTTCCCTGGTAAGCACAAGTAGGGCCCATTGAGTTACTGTGTGAGAGTTTTTCTAAAATGAAATGGTAAAATGCTGGTGAAGTGAGTCTCAGAGCAACTCTGGAGATGAAGTTCATTCTTCTAACCCTACTTAAAGGGTTAGTTCACCCAAAAATGAAAATTCTGTCAGTATTTACTCACCCTCATGTTGTTCCAACCCCGTAAGACCTTCGTTCATCTTCGGAACACAAATTAAGATATTTAAGATATTAAGATCGCTCCTGCATACAGTCCATAGGCTTCTTGAGGGACTGGCTCTTGCTGTCCTCGAAAAGTCATTAAAGACATCGTTAAAATAGTCCAAGTGACTACAGGGGCTCAATCTTAAGTTTATCAAACGACGAGAACACTTTTGTGCGCAAAAAAACAACAAAAATAACGACTTTATTTCAACTATTCACTTCCTTCTCCATGGGCCTGTAGTCAGTTAACGTAGTGTGATTGCGTAGAGCTACGTCACACGTAGGCTCACTATTGGCCGACGCTGGTCATGTGTGTGATGCGTGTGACGTACAATAACAGAAGCTTACACTATTAAACTAGTAACCTGACTCGCGCAGAGGGAGAAATAAACGAATAGTTGAAATAAAGTCGTTATTTTTGTTGTTTTTTTTGCGCACAAAAGTGTTCTCGTCGTTTGATAAACTTAAGATTGAGGCCCTGTAGTCACTTGGACTATTTTAACGATTTTAATTTGTGTTCCGAAGATGAGCGAAGGTCTTACGGGGTTGAAACAACATGAGGGTGAGTAAATACTGACAGAATTTTCATTTTTGGGTGAACTAACCCTACTTAATGGAGTGTGAAGCTTTTCGTTTCTTAAACAACCAAGACATCATGGCCACATTCCAAGATTAAAAATGTCAAGATTCATCAGTCTCAAATTGTAAAAGAATGATTGGGAGGGAGCATGAATAATCATTTTCACTCATTAGTCCAGATTTTAAACTCAATGAAAGTCTTTGGGGTGGGCTGGAGGAGACTTTACTTTACAGAGGGATGGACTCTTCGTTGTCAATACAAGATCTTCACAAATGTATGCACCTCTTCATGGAAATAACATTTATCTCTGTACAGTCTACTCCATCCCAAAGACTTTCAAAGAATTTAAAGGGATAGTTCACTTTGAAATACATTTTTGGTATGTTTTAGCTTACCTCAAGGGCACCCAAGATGCAGGTGTTTTTGTTTCCGCAGTAGTTTCAATTTTGATATTTTTAGGTCAAACCGTTCTTGTCTGTCAGTCATATAATGCAGGTCTATGGTCACCACCTCAAAGAGCATGCACAGAGAAGCCCAAATTAAACATGATTGAATGACTCGTAAATGTAAGTACACATTGATGGCCTAAGACACGAAACGAGCGGTTTGTGTGAGAAAACGAACAATATTTATATCGTTTTACCTTGTGTAATCACAGCCACGTCCAAAGCGGTGGAAGTGATCTGAAAAAATCAATGTTGTCTGCTGATATATCGAAATCGTCTTATCGAAACATAAATATGTTTAGATCTTCACAAATGAAGGGTAACACATCCGAAATCTCTGTGTAATCAATGAGTGACAAACCCACGCAAAACATCACCTCCGACGCTTGTGCAGACCGAAGCTCCCGCGCCCTCAGATCACTTGGACGTGGCTGTGGTTACAAGAGGTAAAAACGATATAAATACTGTTCGTTTTCTCACACAAACCGCTCGTTTCGTGTCTTAGGCCATCAATGTGTACTTACATTTACGAGTCATTAAATCATGTTTAATTTGGGCTTCTCTGTGCATGCTCTTAGAGGTGGTGACCATAGACCTGCATTGACAGACAAGAACGGTTTGACCTAAAAATATCAAAATTGAAAATACTGCGGAAACAAAGACACCAACATCTTGAATGCCCTTGAGGTAAGCCAAAACATACCAAAAATTTATTTCAGTGAACTATCTCTTTAAGGTCTAGACTCAGAGTTGCCAATTCATGTGTGAAAATGTGTTTGAATTATGTTGAAATGGCTCATACCTGAGTTCACTGGCTCTCTCTTGTGCCCAAGCACTATTGTAAACAATGTTACACAAGATTTTCATGACTTCCTTCCTGGTTACTTCATCATCATCATCATCTTTTTCTTCCTCTTCCTCCGCTCCTCCAACGCTTCCTCTGCTGTCTCTTTTACCAGGTGAGAGAGCTTTATAAACGCTGCTCCTCCTGCGAGAAGGTACGAGGCTGATGTTTGAAAACGTGCTAGCCTTGCGATCACCACACCAATTGCTCCAGACCGCATCACTGGTTACAGCCAAAGAACCATCGTCTTCCTCACCTCCGTTATCATCCTCATCTGCTCGGCCTAATTTGCTCTCGGAAATGGACAATATGACGTCATCATAGGGGTCAACATCACTGTCGGTGTCTTCTTCTGGAATAGGTGCATTGCTGATGCCGCCCAGGTGGGCTAGAGTGAGTAGTGCTCTGTCAGTGATGAGAGGTCCCAAAACCTTTTTGTCCCTCGAGAGGATTCGTAGGGATCTCAGACATTCTTTCAGCAAACGCCCTTGCGGTTCAGTCTGGAGGAACCTGATCAGAACTGTAGCCAGAGCCTGAGGGCAAGAGAGGGAAATGCAAACGAACAAAGGCTTAAGGTGTTTTTAAGAATGGTTTACGTTTGTATTTATTTATAAAAGCCAAGGTTACCTGTCTCAATATGACGTCTGGGTCACTGGACTCATCGTAGTCTGAATCCGAGTCTGACACATAATCCCGCACTTTATTCTTTCTGAACTGCGGTGACCCCCCCCAAAAAAAACTATTATAGGAATGAACCATTTTGAGTATGCTGTGAATCATGCATTCAATTTGTGGGAGTTTTTTGTTGTTGTTGTTACATGGCAGGCCAACAGAGATTAAGATATAACAGTGATTAGTTTTGTTGGTGCAAGTGATCCAGAAATTGTACATGACAACTTTAACCCCCTGGTAGAGTGCTGCAAACGTATTTTGTAGGCCAACGACAAATCCCTTGACAAATATCCAATAGGATCGGCTTTTGAATTATTGAAGAATAAAAGGTCTGTGACTAACAAAAGCTTATACACATTTTGTTCATCAGGATAATGTGAATTTTATGAATTTTGACTTTTCCTCACAATCACAGTTTATAACTCGCAATTGCTTTTGTGATTATTAAAGGAGTAGTTCACTTTTAAAGAAACTTTTGCTGATCATTTACTCACCCCCATGTCATCCAAGATGTCCATGTCTTTCTTTCTTCAGTCGAAAAGAAATTAAAGTTCTTGATGAAAACTTAACAGCATTTTTCTCCATATAATGGACTTCAATGGGAACCAATCGGTTCAAGGTCCAAAAGACACTTTAAGTGCAAACTGTATAAAGGGCTTTAAACGATTCCAGGCGATGAATAAGGGTCTTATCAAGCGAAACGATCGCTCATTTAAAAAAAAAAAGTTTGAACAAATCTTTTCCCGAGTCAATTCGTTTATTTCTTTCCTTGAATGAACCAAATGACACGAAAAAAGATTTGTTCATTTTGATGGACGAGTTCGAACAGGAGAGTGACGACACGAACGTGCATCACAGAACAGAGCAAGGCGAGCATTTGAGCTTATAAAACTTAAACTTTGTTATTTTTTTATTAAATGAGTGATCGTTTCGCTTGATCAGACCCTTATTTATCATCTGGAATCGTTTAAAGCCCTTTGAACAGTTTGCAGTTTGCACTGAAAGTGTCTTTTGGACCTCGAACCGTTTGGTTACCATTGAAGTCCATTATATGGAGAAAAATGCTGAAATGTTTTCATCAAAAACCTTCATTTCTTTTCGACTGAAGAAAGAAAGACGTGGACATCTTGTGAGTAAATTGTCAGCAAAAGTTTTTTTTTTTTTAAAGTGAACTACTCCTTTAACACAACGGGACTTAGATGATTTTACCTGTTCGATGTGATATAGTTTAATGTCTGACAACCTCTGTAGTGCCATTTAGCCACTTGTTAGCAAACTCATTTTACATGGTGTATTTTATATATCGTAGAATAAAATGCTTGTGTTCACCAGGGACCTTATTTCAAACATAATTGACATCATGGGGTTTTGGATCAACATAATTTTTTTTTTGATCCTGGAACAACATTCCTGTCCGAAACCCTATCCCAAAACCGAACCCTACCCATAACTTATACCCAAAATCAGAGGGAAATGATGTAGAAAGACTTATCCCTGGTTGTAAGCAACATGTGAAATCACGTTCACCCCTTATGGGACTGTGTGTTACTTAGTTCCTTATCAATATTTTCAAGCATAATTACATACAAACTTTTATTAGGTTTTTCATTTGAATATATATTTAGACATTATCAAAAAAAAAAAAAAAAAAGAAGCTTTGTTTTTCATATGCCCCGTTCATTTACTATGTGTTCAGTTTGGACTGTGAGGATCACAACTTAGTGTGACTTTTTTGCCTAATCAGGTCCGCAATTTATGCGTGTGTGTTGAAGTACCACAACATTTTGATAAAGTGAATTTTTGTTTCCTTGTCTAAAATGACTACCAGAGGGTTAATAATGATCAGTATGTTGGTAGCCTTAATGAATTCAAGAATTGAGAAAATAATACCTCTTCCAGCTCCTGCCTCTTTTCAGATTAAACAAGCAGCAAGAGACAGAAAAACATGAGAATCATTAAAACCACCCACAAGGTAAGACAAGATGTTTTTCTAAGTGTGCGTTATGTGTTTGGATGTTTTAACAAGCAGTAACAAAGCTGAAGGACCAGTAAAGGAGAAATACATCCCAAATAGCAAGGCGATACAGACACAATGTTGAGTTTTCACCCTAAAGTTTTCATGAAATCAAATTAAGCAATTCCTATTTTTTATGGAATACTGAAGTGTTTATTATGTGCCCTCACCTGTCACTCACATGAGACTGACCAATACTCAAACCACAACCATCCAATCAGTGACTGGAAGTTTTTCCAGAACATCCCTGATTTTATTCATTCATTTATTTACTTATACTTTGTTTTTTTTAAATTTCTAGTAATAGAACGTTTGTAACATTCATAACGTAACGTTTGTACCAATATTCTTCAATATATCTTTTGTGAAATTTCAACATTGTTTCAACAATTACTGAGGATGTAAAAAATTACGTTAATATTGTAATGTTAATTCAATGCAATTAACGTAGACACATCAACACTGACTTACTATCTGGAATGGAATTAGTAGGGAGCTTATGGTCTAAATATTAATGAGCTACAGGTCTGGGATCAGGTCAACTACTGCAGTATCAGCAAACTCAGGATATGCGGGAAATATTGTATGCCACAAAGTTTACGATTACATATAGTTAATATTTCTTGGTAAATTCAATATAATCTCAGATGTTTATTTGGGAAAAATCTATTAGAAATCAAAATATAAAATACATGAACTATAAAATAAATGTGGATAGCATAACATAGACAATTTGCTCGGGGAAGAACATTTGCTCGGGGAATTCATACATAGAAATCCCTGAATTTGAGAACATTTTAAAGGTACACTATGTAACTTAGCATCCCTCTAGCGTTTAAAAACAAAACTGCATCCATTTTGTGGAAGAACACAGTTTTGGTTGTGCTTCGGCTCTGCTTGACTGTGTGTATGAATATGACCCTGCACAAAAAGATAATGTTTTACAGTGAACTCTCTATACATATGTCAATTTATCTTTAAAATAAAATACCTTATTCATCTAGTCTGGGTTTCCCCATGCTACCTTGCCACAGCACGATTTTATTCACGCTGCTATAGGCAGCCTGGACACCATGAACCAAATTTTCACCTGAGATAGCGAACCAATCACAGAACAGGGAGGGAGCGGCAAGACGATGACGACGTATATGCGACACCGAAGCAGTTTGTTTATATCTATGGATCCATCGTGGCAGTGGACGTGAAGTTACCTTTTGATACAGCCTTTGTGTATATATAAATCTCCTAAATCTCTGACCCATCGTCTTTTTCCTCGTCTAATTTTCTGTCGCTCTACACACGTCATCTGGTATAATTGATTCGCAGTGTTGTGTACTCAAGACTCGGACACGGTATCAGACTCGGTCTCGAGTCCATATTTTAATGGTCTCGGTCTTGTCATGGACTCGTGTGCATTTTGACTCGGAATTGACTTGTACTCGATCATATTAGTACTCAGAATTTTTCCCGAGTCCACTCGAGTCCCATTCAAATTATGTCATGATTATTGCTGTATGTTAATATTTCTTTAAATTGTTTTATTGAAACGTCAACGTGAAAGGACCCAGGTCAGATGTGATGTGGAGGCTCTAGCTCATCTATATATTGAAAATGTCTTCCATAACTCAGTTTGCATATAAGAGCCACACAGAATTCGTGTGCAGTAATGTTATGTGAAAGAGTACTTACTGATTGTAATAATTTTAAGTCATAATTGTAATAAAATTACCTTTACACCACTATGTGGCCTTTTTACCATTAGCCTACAGTGTACATGATTCCATGTTATATTTGGTTTACTGTTTGAGTATGGTGCTAATTTTATTGTTACCACCAAATATTTTACATATTCTTGAAGATATCTTTAAGTCTGGTTTCAGACCCAACCTTAGGTTATCCAACCTCTCTGGTCTTGCCTCGGACCAGACTCTTTGGTCTCGGTCTCGACTCGGACTCGATCCTCTATGGTCTCGGTCTCGACTCGGACTCGATCCTCTATGGTCTCGGTCTCGACTCGGACTCGATCCTCTATGGTCTCGGTCTCGACTCGGACTCGACCCTCTATGGTCTCGGTCTCGACTCGGACTCGATCCTCTATGGTCTCGGTCTCGACTCGGACTCGACTCTCTTTGGTCTCGGTCTCGACTCGGACTCGACCCTCTATGGTCTCGGTCTCGACTCGGACTCGATCCTCTATGGTCGATGCTCTATGGTCTCGGTCTCGACTCGGACTCGATCCTCTTTGGTCTCGGTCTCGACTCGGACTCGACCCTCTATGGTCTCGGTCTCGACTCAGACTCGGCCTCGACTCGGACTCGATCCTCTATGGTCTCGGTCTCGACTCAGACTCGGCCTCGACTCGGACTCGACCCTCTATGGTCTCGGTCTCGACTCGGACTCGATCCTCTTTGGTCTCGGTCTCGACTCGGACTCGACCCTCTATGGTCTCGGTCTCGACTCAGACTCGGCCTCGACTCGGACTCGATCCTCTATGGTCTCGGTCTCGACTCGGACTCGGCCTCGACTCGGACTCGATCCTCTATGGTCGATGCTCTATGGTCTCGGTCTCGACTCGATCCTCTTTGGTCTCGGTCTCGACTCGGACTCGACCCTCTATGGTCTCGGTCTCGACTCAGACTCGGCCTCGACTCGGACTCGATCCTCTATGGTCTCGGTCTCGACTCGGACTCGGCCTCGACTCGGACTCGATCCTCTATGGTCTCGGTCTCGACTCGGACTCGATCCTCTTTGGTCTCGGTCTCGACTCGGACTCGAGTGTGCTGGTCTCGACTACAACTCTGTTGATATGATTTTCTATGAGCCCATTTGATAGACATTCGTAGCACCCAATAATACAGCTCTGGGCATTCGTAAACCACGCCTCAAATACGAGAAAATGAACATGTGATTTCCAGACCACGTCTCATTCTCAATTTCAGGCTAATTTTCACCTGTTGTGTAATAAAAACGCCACCTTAGGTTTGCTTTTATAACATTTCAAATCCACAAACACAAGCCAATGTTGATTCTTGTTTTATTACAAGCTCTGTTGCTTTCTCTTTTTGCCAACAGACTCTCCTCTGTTCGGCGAGTTTTTAAAATGGGTGATCCAAGACGTTCAAGAGATCCAAAAGGGAGGTTCAAGATTCAGCCCGTCAACCATAGCCGCGTTTCCACCGCAGGAACATTCTCCAAGAACTGGGGACTTTGGTGTGTACTCGGTGTGTTTCCCCTGCAGCAATGCATGAAGTTCTGGGTAAATATTCCCCCCTCAGAGTCCTAGCTTGCGAGACCGTACTTTTTTTTTTAAAGTTCAGGAACTTTCAGAGGTGGGACTTGGGCACCGAACATGCTGATTGGTTGAGTTCATGCCGCATTTTGATTGGTTGACTCCACGCAACATTTTATTTCAACCAACATCTGTTGCAGTAACAGTTAAATCAACAATGGAGTTTGAAAAATACAACCGATGGACTGACGACGAGGTTCAGTCTTTATTAAGCCTAAATTCAGAGCATGAAATCCAGCAGGAACTGTAAATTAGCGCAAAGTCCGACAGTACGTCAGCAGACTTGTAGGAAAGTCTATCCCTTTAACTGCACTTTCATGTTTCAGCACTAGAGGGCACATGTCTTTCACTTTACTGATAACGTCCCCTTTAAGATCATGCACTTTATACACCGCACGCGCTGGGTCACGATGAGCATGTAAACTTCAAAGCTGTGTGCGTTCGTGCAGAAAAGTGAGTTTATTTCTTATTTCCTGTAGAAATGTGCACTATAATAATGTTGTTTATATTATTATAATGGTATATTAATCTTGCAAGTTGTATGTGCACAAGATAATGTTATTCGATACTCTATCAGAAATGTTATTCGATGTCAGAAAGCTAACGTGCTAGTTCCTCATACAGTGTTATAATGTGTTGTCATATTAACATTTAAAATGTTAATCTGTTGCCATTTTACAGTTATTTGACATGCTACACTATTATAATCGTGGAATTGCTTGTAAATTGTTGATTGTTGATCTTCTGTTCAGTATGAAAATATCTGTAGCAATTTAACAATGACTGTAATATCATTTTGTCTAATTTGTAGGCTACTATTATCCTTTGTTTCAGACCACACACACACACACACACACACACACACACACACACACACACACATATACAAACATCCATGTACATGTTATTTATGTGCCCAGCATATTAAAGTTTCGGATGTAACTCTCCGAGCCCTTACTCTCTCACCGAAGTCACCAGTCTTTAAGGCCTATCTAAACAATCCAGAGTTCCATCTCTACAAGACTGTTTGCCTAATCATAGTGTGAATGATCTTACACTACCCAGACCGAACAAAGCTCTGTGCGTGTTATTTTGACGCTAAAGGGTGCCATTTGCGTTGGATTTAGACGAAATGTCAAAAGCGTCACTATATGATGCCCTAGGATGAGAATGCGTTGGATAATTTAGGTAGAAACACAGCTCATGTCAACCTTTCTTACTCGTTGTGACGACTAACCTCATGCCCAGCCACGCAACAAAAACCATCACTTATAATAGGCTTAACATAGTGAATCAGGGTAAGACAAAAACATGTTTAAGAAGGACTGATGATGTATTGACTCATTGTTTAAATGTTGTTGACATAGTGTACCTTTAAAGACATTGCTGAGATCTTTTCTGAAACTTGGGAGCTATTAGTTTCTTTTTCTTGTTTAAATATAAAAAGAGACCTCATTGTCCTTTCCTGTGAGTGTGTGTATGTGTCGAATATCACTCAGATATCCCTTACTTTTCTTCTCTCCCGCTGTTCCAAATCATAGAAGAAGCACTGTGCGTACTAGGAGTGAGTGAGAGAGAGAGAGAGAGAGAGAGAGAGAGAGAGCAATTAGAAATGAGCAATTACATAAAATGTGAGCTTTGAGTGCACAACTTGTGCAAAGTGGATTGTTTTATAATGACATGTTTTGTCAGAGCAAATGTTATACAGTGGTTTTAAAGCCACTGGACTGAACATAATCACTGTTAATTGTTAGTACCTCTCGATTAAATTGCTGTAGTTCTGCCTTGAGTCCTTTCTGATCGTCCTCTCTGATAAACTCAATAATCCTCTCCACATTCATCGCTGCAAGATAAACACAAATGCACGCACATGCACGAATATTAAAACATTCTCCAAAAAAAAAGGCAAGGACGAGGTACAGAAATCTGAGAACACATGAACACATATCTAGAATAATTTAAACTAGAGAATAAACACAATTTTAGGGGGTTGAAAAATCCCAAACAAAGAAATGTTTAAGCAAGGAAAGTTTATTTATATAGCACATTTCATACACAATGGTAATTCAAAGTGCTTTACATAAAAGAAATAAAAATAATCACAAGAAATAAGAATAATTAAAACAGTTTAGAATAAAAAATGAAATAAAATACAGTAAAAACAGTGAAACGTATTGTTTTAACAGTGAAACGTTTACAGTGATATGTAAATGAATAAGATATAGTTATTTGGTAACACTTTATTTTACAGTGTCCTTATTCCATGTTACATATTACTGTAGTAGCCTGTAGCCTACAAAATTATGCACAATTACATGCAACTAACCCTAAACCAAAACCTATTCCTAACCCTGACCCTATAGTACAGTAAGTACATGTTGTAAATTAATATTACTCAGAAATTACACTGTAACACACACATTAAAATAAAGAGTGACACTTTATTTTAAGGTGTCATTGTTACAGTGTAATTATACATTTAAGTACTGAGTAATATTGATTAAATACATTAGGGAATAGGATTAGGATTTGGTTGGGGGTTAGTTGCATGTAAGTATGCATAATTTACTGTTATTAAATACATATATGTTACAAAAATACTGTAAAATATAAAGTTTAACCATATATTTTAAGTTTCCCTTGTTACGGTGTATTGAATAAGTACTGAATAAAGTAATAAGTAATATGTACATATACGCATGATTTAATTATGGATAGGGTTTGGTTTAGTGTTAGCTGTAACATAAGATGTGTAACAGACATTGTAAAATAAAGTGTTACTGTAATATTTGCAACTTTTGATACAAATTGCTACAATGATAATATAACTTGTAATAAAACAATACAAAATGCAATATAAAAAAAATACTTAGAATTATTTCCACGAGTGGCATTTAAACGTTTGTCATATCTAAAATTTTCAGACCAAAACACAAATATAAGCCTGCATAATAATTAAATTGCAGATTTCTATCCATTCCAACTAAGACAAGTGTCTTCTTCATCCTCTCACCTGTGAGTGTGTCTTCACTTGAGTACGCCATGCAGGATCCAATGTGCTGGATCTTAAATTTCTATTAGATTTGAATCACTTGCTATTAAACTACAGATAGTTCTCTTTACCTCCAGGCCTTTTATCCACTTGTCTCTCAGTCTTTTTCACTCTCGGTTTACTATGCCTTTTTCCCTGCCCCCTTTTCTCTGTAATCCTGCATTGCATTAGTTATGCTCTAATCCTTTAATGTCTTTCCACTTCATCACGATTCACTCGGCCTATAAATAACCCCACAGGAGAGCCAGTCGATGGTGCAGTGGCATACAGCAACCACTAGGTGGCGGATCAGTTGAAGACAGTGACATGACAAGGGTCAATTTTATCTTCATAAAGTACGTAATAAATCATCTATTGTCTTTCTTCCTCTAGAAGGCCAAATTGTTTTTGCAATTCTGATTTGTGAATTTCAATATGATAATGCTTATCAAAGAAAGTACATCAAGCACGAAGCTTTCAACTTTGTGGGCGGGTCTTGGGCTCTGTTGCTATTTAAAGGGACACCAGGCTGGAATCGCGTTTTTGAGAAACAGCGTCCCCTAGAGTCGCTGTGGAGTACTTGTTTTTAACGTTACTTTTGTAAATACCACTCACGCAGATTGACATGTTACATAGTAGCGTTTCAATAATACATTGTGTTTAATTTGTCTTTTAATGAGATCTAATATATGTTAGTGGTGAAAATTTTCACTTGATTAAATCAACCCGATCTCACGACCAAGTCGTACGAATTCGACGAATGATTCAAAAGTGGCTAATTCGTAACAATTCATACGACCTCACTCGTACGAATTAATACGATTTTGCTAAATCGTACATATTTTACGAATTGGCCAATTCGTATGAATTCGTACGAATGACCTACCCCTTACCCCGCCCCTAAACTTAACCATCACGTGGGTTTAGACAAATCGTACGAATTAGTACGAGTGAGGTCGTACGAATTAGACACTTTTTAATCATGCGTCGAATTCGTACGAATTGGTCGTGAGATAGTGTTGGATTAAATACATAGAGCCGACAATTATCCCCATTTCAGCGTAATATAGAGAGTCTCTCAGTGCCCGCAACAGATTGAAGCGCGTCCTTTTGAAGACAGAACACTGTATCCGGGCCACTGATCGCAGCGGCATGCACTTTGGTCACTGGATTTCAAAATCAACACATTTCAGATCGCCTCTTATTTAACAAACGAACATAATGAATGCTCTACTAGAGTTACCCGGAGATGTTTTATTTGTTTTTATTGGTACATCCGTGCCGCACGATGTTTCAATGGGGACACATAACACCCGCAAATTATGCCTATGCTCGTGTATGACTCCTCGCTCGGTCAGTCTGCCGTTTCCTTTTTCTCTGTTCCTCGGACAATGCTTTCCTAGCTTTCTACTTCTTATATGCCGGCTCAGCCATGACAATAGTGTGACAAACTCCATCCCTTTCTACCTTGTTCTTGGATGGGGGTGTGTAGGTATGTGTGCAGTGTCTTAAAGGAATATGTTAGATCGCAAGAGCTGATATCACACAATACTTCCTGGCGCTGAGGAAGTTAAAAGCTGAAGTTAAAAGTGAGATTTTTCTGCTCACAGGCACCAGTGGGGGTCGAGACGGCCACCATTCAACCCGAAAGAAGTCGTATAACAATTTCAATAAGCTGTTCAGTTTAGCTAAAAAAGCTGCATAGTGTCCCTTTAAATGGCGGGAATCTAAAAGGAGTTGGTCTTCATTATTCGGTTTGGTTTTGCGGCAAAGAGCGTCATATCATATACGACAATTCACCATGACGTCACAACAACAATAGACGTTCTTCCGGGTGGCAAAAGCCGAAGCGTCCCTATGGCAACACTAGTAAAATGCATGGAGGGAGACACACCGCCGGCAGAAGGCTAATCTACATTTCAACAGTTGATTCAAAAACAGACGTGGTGGAAATTCGGACATAGTTAACATGATCATTAAAGCTTAGATTCTTTGATCTAGAGACGTGCACTCCCAACGCACTAGACCGTGGCGCGGGACTAGATCTGATGGCCGAGTGCAGGCGGTAATGCACTCTGTGTGTGCGGATTGCAGGAGAATAAAACAATTCGCGGGACTCCCGCAAACTAGAAATATCTATGAATAAAACAAATAAAAACTAATACATTTGTATTCATCTGTTGCAGAAAAGCAACAAGAATAACTAAAACCAAATAGAAATGATTTACATGGCAGAGTTTCTTTTTATAACGTGACTGCAGCGATGAGCGATGTAGCCAATCACAGACATATGTGTTGATTTATTGAACGCATTGGCCAATCAGAAGCATTTACGATGAAGAAGCATTTACTCACCGCTCAAAAGAAAGTAACATAGAAAGTAATAGAAATAACTAAGTTAGTTGAGAACGTTAGTTATATAACGACCCACGTATTAAAATGGTTGGGTTTAAATCGGGCTCAGGCTCATAATTAGAAGACGACATGCACTTTTGACGACGTCCACTCGCTTTAACCTCCTCACCCACAGGTTCTGCTGGATAGATTTACTTTTTTCTGAAGGAAATCGATAAAAAAAAACCCTACACCTTTTGCTGTATATCTGGTGGCGCAACCCCAAACACAACATATTTTCGCCATAGATTCAACTTTGATCAACAACAATGATTTTAACTGTGTAACTGTTCAGTTGCCGGCTGGATCTCTTCACTTAGTCAATGGAAGCCGCTCGCGTTCTGCCACCCGGAAGTATCGCGGTGCTATTGTTTACAAACATTCTGAAATGCCCTATTCCCTTCAAGAGCGTGATGAACGAGGTGATTGGCTTTATGCGGAGCGTCACGTGACCAAACCGGAAAACGGGTCTCATCGGATCCGCTTGTCAGAGAAAGTGTTAACGGCCGTAAGAACTGACTACGATATCTATGGATTTTTAAGGTAATCAGCTAACCTAACTAGTTCACTTTGTTATTGGCGTTTTATTGCATTTAAATATCAAAACGTTACTGTGAAGAAGAAAAATATAAAACGTTTAAATATCAATCTGCACATGTGAGGGATATTGGTTATGCTAATCTTTACTCGCTCCTTTTAAGTTATCTTGAGTAAAACCGCAAAAAATTTCATGAAGCACATACAAAAGACCTGAACCGGAAGCGATGCGACCTGTTTTACAGAATGCGGAAGTACGTTGTGCATAAAGCCTTGCCAGGCGCGCTTCACACAGGGTGCTTCTCAATATCCCTCCTCGTCTCCTCGCTCCTCCGTCCTCCCTCCTATGACCCGGAAACCGATCGAGCTCAGCCATCTTGAAGGACATCTCAATTCTCTAATTGCACCGTGAGGAGTCGAGGATCGAGGAGTGAGGAGGCTTCCTGAGGAGTCATAAGCGAGGATACACAGGTGCATCCTATGCGGAACTGTTATATTGACTAAACGTGACGCACGTGTCAATTCTCCTCCCCCTTCACATCGGTCACAATCATTTTAATTTATACTTTACCTTTGCAGTTTATATAAACCACACATCTCAAATATTTCCACATTATAGCCTATCTTTATTATTATTTATTATGAATTTATTAAATAACCAAACTTCAACATCATTAGGGCAGATCTTTTTAGCACTGCTGATGACACTGAAGTGACACTCGAGTGATCAAGTATTCCAATGTATATAAAAAAGCTTTTATTCGATTCCTCTGTCCTCCTTTCCTTTCCTCGCTTCCTTCCCTCGCGTCCTACAGGGGGTGGAGCTGAGACGCAAGGAAAGGAAGCAAGGAAAGGAAACGAGGATGCACAAATAAGAAATGAGAAGCACCCACAGTATTGCTCACAGCCGAGGAGATCGATGTTCTCGTCAGGGCCGTAAAAGAAAGAGAAGTGACATTGGGGATGAGACAAACCCACCCAAATTAGCTTCGGTTAAACATGCATAGTCTATAATTTGGGTAAATGTGCAAGGTTTATGCCTATTTTTTCCCATCTTCATGGACACAACAATGATTTCCCTCGTGTTTAAATAGTTTTCCTTATAATAATGTATCATTAGCAAAAAGTAAAATGCATCTGTGTAGATGAGAGAATGAGTAAAGAACCAAATGCTTCATAATAGAACCCTAGTGAACCCTTTTTCTAAGAGTGCAGGCTAGCAGATACCGTTGACTAGAAACTGGATGAAAATCTTTGAAAACTGCACTGATAAATAACATCCAGGCTAACTTGGAAATGAGGTCCGATGTCCAAAATCCTGAACAACCAATTTATGTTTTTTATTTATTTATGTTTTTTACAGTGCAATTCTGTATTAAATAGAAATTAATTTAAATTTAGCCTATTAGTTAATCAAGTTGGATTACCTACACTTAAACTGGTAGTCCACAAAGGCTCACAAAATGCAGAATCATATATGTTGTTATAATGTTGTCCTTGTGTGCAGCTTGTTTTAACATTTAATCAGCTCAGAGACAGGAGATATAAGTAGTCTATTTTGGCTTAAAATACACATTTATATAATGTTAATTCATGTGTGTTGTCCTGGATATATAAACAAAAACACAGTTTATATTTCATTTTTTTTATTATGCATTTGAATCAAAATTGCCAAAACAATTTAACATATTAAACATTTAAAACATTACAAAAATGTATGAATATGGTGCATAAACTGCACAATTTCTTGACGCTGACTGGTTCCAGGTCCTGGTCCTTGACTTTGGTTGCCAAGCGGGGCATTTTGTGTGGAGGTGAGCGAGCGGTCCACATCTGCATTATCCTGTTGAAGGAACACGCATATCATGTCACACTGACCAGATTTAATGACTGATTCTTATGAGTGAAATCTTAATACATGTTTCCTTTTACAATATCAATATGAGGCTTCTATAAACTGAATATGATTCTAGTCATGTATTAAATTATTAAAGTGTTTACATTTTTAAATCTGAAAAAAAGAAGGGAACTTACCAATGCTCTCTTCCGGTTCATCTGGGACCTGGGAGGAATGCTGATCTGGTGCTGGTGTGAAGTCTTTATCCGATCCGTTTTCCTCGGTTTACGATCTTTCTTGACAATATCCACACAGATTTTATTTTTGGGAGCTGGCTGACACACACCTACGTTCCCCTGTTGAAGAAACAAATATAATCATGTTAGGCAGGTTTAATGAGAGCTGCTTGTTGGACTAAATCTAAACATTTCTTTCTAAAGTTTTTAAATAATATATAACAGGATTTGAATAGAGAACCTAGTAAACATAGAAGCATATTTGAAGTCAATGTTCTTTTTTTTTTTTTTTTTTTTTATAAATCTGAAAATAAGTAAAATCAAGAGATGGAAGGGACTTACTGATGCTCCCTTTGGGATATTCTCCTCCCTCTGCTTCTGCCACGGCTGTTTAGGGATCCTGAGGCTTTCTCCCAGTTTGGGGGAAACTGAAGGCACAAGTGATCCCTGTGAGGTCCCCGAATTCACAAGCGCACCTTTTGAGATCTTTGGGGCCAAGGGCAGAGGCGGTTTTGGTGGAGACCCAGTGGGCACATGGGCTTGCTGTGAGGATTCAGCCGCTGGTGCTTTCTGTACCCTTTTCTGCATCCACTTACTCTGCTGTGGATGCTGCCGCTCCGGCTGAGGCTCAGAGACATGACGATTCCGCCAATCCTGGGACTTCAGCACAGTTGATCCTGGAGAAAACCAAGTGGGCACAGGAGCATGCTGCGGGGACTCAACAGCCGCTGGTCCTTCCTGTGGATGCTGCCGCTCCGGCTTGAGCGTCTCAGAGACATGACGATTCCGCCAATCCTGGGACTTCAGCACAGTTGATCCAGGAGAAAACCAAGTGGGCACAGGAGCATGCTGCGGGGACTCAACAGCTGCTGGTCCTTCCTGTGGATGCTGTCGCTCCGGCTTGACAGTCTCAGACAAATGACGATTCCGCCAATCCTGGGACTTTGGCACTGGCGATCCTAGTGGAGTCCTGGTGGGCACAGGAGCTTCTGCTTCTTCTACCTAGTCAAGTCAAGACACATTTATTTATATAGCGCTTTTAACAAAACAGATTGTACCAAAGCAGCTTCACAGTGATAACATGAAAATAATACAACACAGATCAATTATATTGTTGAATATTAAACGCACCTCCAGTGGTCCACACCAGGTGAAGTTCCCAAACTCGGGCAACTCAGAGATGGGTATTTCAACCTCCACAATAGCCCACCACTCTCCTGCTGCAAGGGCCCTGGAGAGCTCCTCTGAGTCTTCCCGACATAAGGGCTGCTCTCTTGACATACTCATGATGATATCTGAAGAACTGAACAATACTGAAATTGGACAATTTCTAGAACACTGTGAAAGACAGAGAAATGGAAGAGATGAGGTCAGTATTTGCTTTCTACCATGCACAGTTAAAAATGTCACTGAGCGTTTGCTGTTTAATTGTAACAATGAGCACTCAAACACACCAAACCAAGAATTACTAAAAACACACACACTGATTTTCCACTTTGGACTAGTATGTAAAATTTCTATCATGCCTGGTAGTCAAGGCACATCTTATTTACTGTATGAATAGAAGATGATGACAGCAATAAAGACTCCAATTAACAAACCAATGAGAATAAATTTTCAAATAATTTGTCTGTCCAAAATGGCCATAAAAGGCATAAGGAGTCTAAATAAAAATTACATCCTTTTGCATTTCAGGTCAGAGATACAGAGATAACCATTAAGGCCAATCAGCTTTCATTAATGCTGGTTGGTCAATATAAAGGATCTCAAAGCAAGAGAAATTGAAAAGCTGCGGAGATCCTCGCAAAGATATGATAATGTCTATGGAGCTCTTCATATACGCATATTTTTAAATGGTAATTTGTTAATTTCATTTGATTGAAAGAATAACGTGTCATTATAATTATCAAGAATATATGAGGTTATCATCTGTGTATGGGAGAATATCAACAAATGCTAACGTTATATTAAAAACATCAAACCGAATTTTCATATTAAATTTGTGCACACAAATTACCACTGTATATCATTCATTTATGCTCACATTCTATTGTTAAAGTAGATTATATTCTGAGTAATGCAATTATGTAATAAAATTCAAATATTCAACCCCTGAATAAAAAGCCGTCTACTCACCATCACTCGCCGACTCGCTACAAATCGCCAGATAACTTTGCACTCACTTTCTCAGCGAACGCTCTATGATGTCACAGTAGCGCGAGGCGCTCAAGAATCTCAAGAATCTCTGGAATGTGTGACGTTGAGTTACATTAAAACTGAATATTCAATACAAATATAAAGAGTGACTAAGTAGCCCATGTTTAATATATGATTGTTGTTCATAAACATATCTGTTTAATTAACGTTAGTAGCCTACTGACATTTTCTGTATGTCATTTTTTAAGGTGCTTTGCTAATTCTAACAGCTTCTTATTCTTAAGTATTTTCAAATAAATGCTATCTTAATGTTTGTTGCAAATATTTTGGGTTGAATAAAAAGCATTGCTTTAAATGAATACAATATATTATTGTAGCCGGAGAAGGATGTGTGTGTGATTGGTTATACGTGCAAATTTGCGTATAGGTTACATTTGAAGAGGGAATAGCGGGAGGCCGAGAGCGCGCGCGAACAGTTTACTGTTGGTAATTTGTTGTGTATAGCGTCGGCCCTCGCCGCATCCAATGTAGACAGACAGCATAGCTTTCTTTTGAGGGTTTCCGTAGAAAACGCGTTTGAGGGTTTCCGTAGAAACGGGCCTGGCAGCTCGCGCCATCGGTGAAAGTTACCTGATTGTGCCAAAAGAAGAGCAAAGGGGACACAGTCAAAGGTAAAGTGAGGTAATATTACAAATAAACAGTTTATCTGCAGTAAGATACTATGTTTAATGGCAGTTATTTATTTTTACCTTAAACTTTATGCAGTTGTTCTGTAGACCCCCACACAGTGCGATTTGTACCAATCATGTCATTTTTTTTGGACGCATTACCAAAATTATTGCCTAAATATTTATATAGGCTACAGGTTTATTATAGCAACGTTTTATGTAGAATTCACAGTAAAGAAGCATTTCGCAGGTTCATTCATGGTGAAAACATGAAACGCCATAGTTTAGTGGAAGATTGCTGCCATCGCCCATCAGTCTGAGGATTTGAGGCTACATAAACCATTGGCTCATTATAAACAAAATGCAAGATGTAAACACTGGTCCAGAAGCACTTCCTGTTTCTGTTTTTTTAACGCTATATAAAAGCTGGGATAAAATACAACCAACAGAACATCTAAAACTGAATCAAAAAGGTAAACAAACATCTTTAAGATGTTTTCTTTACATGTGAAATAAAGACAACAGTTACAAACTGAAACAGGAAGTGTTTCTGGTCCAGTGTTGTTTACATCTTGCAAAATGGTCTATAGCCGAATCGACGTAGTGAATGTGAATGTGAACGAGAGCAATTACACCTAGCCAGACTGATTCTCCTGCTAGCGTTCTCTCTCTAATGAACTGTCTGTCATAGTCAGAGGGCGTAGTTCACTTAAAAAAAAAAAAAAAAAAAACTTTTGCTGATAATTTACTCACCCCCATGTCATCCTAGATATCCATGTCATTCTTTCTTCAGTCAAAAAAAAAAAAAAAAAGGTTTTTGATGAAAACTTTTCAGGATTTTTCTCCATAATGGACCTTAATGGGAACCAAACAGTTCAAGTTCTAAAAGAGAGTTTCAGTGCATCTTCAAAGGGCTTTAAACGACACAAGATGATGAATAAGGGTCTTATCAAGCGAAATGAAAAAAATAAGTTTAGCCGACGTGCGTCTGTGGGTGACCTGAAATATTTCAGTTGGTATGCAATGAATCTAAAATATATGAAAGTTTCATTTTTATCATTACATTATGGAAAATATGAACTTTATCCCAATATGCCAATTTTTTGAGAAGGACCTATGCATACATTTAGCCCATATGAAATTTGTGTGTGTGTGTGTGTGTGAATGGGCATTTTAGTAAGTGAAGTGTGTGTGTGAATCTGTCATGTAACTTAGCCAATGTGTTTCCTCACAGGATACACATCAATGCCTAGTGCCCAGAATAAAAAAAAAAGACACAAACACTCATACTTACAGTACACACACTCACAGCATCTCGTGCCACTGATTGGCAATCAACAACAGGATGTGCCTGTTAAAGATCGGAGAACGTTTGAAATGATATACACTGTGATTCATATGAGAATAAACACCCTTTACCTTTCCCTATCCACACAAACTGACGTACACAGACATAAATCATGACGTGCTCGAACAACAGCTCCTCAACTCTTAATCAAGTGTTACACAAATCCTGCATCCACACCTGCCATTTACATCCTGTTGACAAGCTCCTTCCTAAAAAGCGATTGTGTCTTGGTCAGAGAGTCAAGATGATAAAGGTGAATCGGATTAAAAGTCACAAACATCTGTTAATTGTTACCGGGACCTACTTCAAATATTCTAAAATGAAATATCAGGCATCTGTTTTTCTCATATATTTTTATGAGATTAATTCTAAAGTCACTGACTTCACAATAAATAAATAATAAATATGATTGTTCCTAAGGGATGTTAAAGATGTCTGTGTCATAGAATTCTGCTTGGTTTTTAATAAGTCTCATAGTGAACCACAGCTATAATTATGCCTGGTCGTTGGTTAATGTCTGGCCTGACTACAACTGACACAGGCCGATAATGATAAAATGTATCCTACGAAAGGAAGATTTGAGATCGGTCTATAGTTGCCTAATAAGGTGTTATGCAGATTTCCCTTTTTCAGGAGAGAACTTCTGAGAGTAAAGAACAAATCTTTTTTAGTGTCATTTGGTTCATTCAACAAACGAAAAGAACGAATTGACTCAGAAAAAGATTTGTTCATTTTGATGAACGAACAGGAGAGTCATCAGAGCCGGCTTCAGACCGCTTTTAGCAGGGGGGCATTTATTTTCAATGGGTGGGCACTAGGTAGCCTAGGTATGGGGACTTTTTTTCCGATATTAGATATCCTATATTTATTATTGCTACTGCCTTTTCTGTTAGCTATTAACATGAAGTAATGCAACCCACACAATAAACACATAAAACATTACACATTGTTGCAAGACGAGCGACTCTTAAGAAATTTGATCAAGGGTTAAATAGGCCTATACAACAAAAAAAATTGCAAGACCGACTCTGACCACAGCTTTATAAAGCTAATGAATATGTACACAGTCTCTCACTGACAGAATAGCCGTTTATATGCTATCTCAATGGCGGAAGTGAGAAAAAAAAAAGCTAAGTTACTCATCTTTATTCTGTTATGTTCTAACATAAGCATTTACATTCGTAGCCTTAAAAAGCATCATGTAGTTACCTTTATCAAATAAAACACCTTTAACAAATAAAAAACACCCACAACATACACAGATATATTATTCTACAATTTCCATTTACAAGAAAATATAGGCTTAAACACCTGTTTCTCCACGGCGGGAGTGAGTGACATTTCAGGACAATGGGCAGCGCAAAAACTAGGCCAACTAAACTATTAGTTTCATCACGTGACAACACATAGTGAACATTACAGTACATGCCAGTTAGATAAATAGCTACACTTACGACTCGGACTCGACTGTCTTTGGTCTCGGTCTCGACCACTACAACACTGCACGGTAGAAGCACCAAATACCAAAGCCGGGCTGTCGTTGTCTTGCTGTATGGGGTAATCGATGTGTAAGGAGAAACTGTGGTATTGAACCATTTTCTAATTTCCATTTTTGGAGAGTTTTCATCTGTTTGCTTTGTTTTGAATGCAGGAAGCTCGCGCGGTCGCACCAACTGAAAATCATTTCATTCAAGTATTAACGTGCGTGATTGGGGGGGCGGCAGGGGGGTTTCCTCACAGCGTCACACTGGTTTTTATGTTGGCTTTATTGTATTTTCAGCTAATGAGCAGTTTGTAGACATATATTTGTACAATTTCTCACTGAAATGTGAATTAAATTAAACTGTTATTATTTTGTAAATTATATCATAATTCAATTTGGGGGGGCACAAAATACATTTGGGGGGGCATTGCCCCCTAATGCCCCCCCATAGCGCCGGCACTGAGAGTCATGAACACGCGTCACAGAACAGAGCAAGGCGAGCATTTGAGCTTATAAAACTTAAACTTTGTTTTTTATTTATTAAATGAGTGATCGTTTCGCTTGATAAGACTCTTATTCATTGTCTGGAATCGTTAAAAGCCCTTTGAACAGTTTGCACTGAAACTTTCATTTGGACCTTGAACCGTTTGGTTACCAGTAAAGTGCATTATATGGAGAAAAATGCTGGAATGTTTTCATCAAAAACCTTAATTTCTTTTTCACAGAAAAAAAAAAGACATGGACATCTTGGATGACATGGGGGTGAGTAAATTATCAGCAATTTTTTTTTTTAAAGTGAACTACTGAGAAAATCAACAGATTCAGCAGATATGCTTGATGTTAAAGCCAGCATAAAGAGCACATTAGTGTTCTCTTTCAAGCATCACATCTTAATACACACTTATCTAGCTTCAATGGCACGAGAGATCAATATATCAAAGAAAATACAGAAATGATCAGACAGTGCTACATTTTTTAGGGAGTAACTTACCTTTAAAAGTAACTTTCCCCAACTTCAACTCATTTTAGTTACATTGCCCAGGCAACATTTCTTATTTTCAAGTTTTTAAATGTAAATTTTTCATCTAATACTTTTGTTTTATTTCATTTTAATTTAAATGACTAAAACTGATTTTACTAGTTTTAGTTTTAGTAAAGACCCCTTTAGGTTTTTTTGTAACCAGGAAAAAGGTTCTATATGGAACCTTTTGGGTTCATTCATTATCATTTGTTTGGTCCTTTCTGGATTAAATATTTCATATTATTGACAAACATCAAGACCCTAAAATGTACTGTATTTATTAATGCATGTGAATGATCACAGAATTCAAGTTATAGAAAATGTATATATTTATATCATTTTATGCGAAGAGTGCCATTTCAGTTTCTCCAAAAAGAAACATGATTTAAAAAGTTACTACAACAGTTTAATTACAACTACAAAATGTTGCAGAATAATGTAATATATGAATGAATAATAGCCTATAAAGAACCTTTGTGCCAAAAGGGTTCTTTCTTGTTATAAAAGAACCTGTTTTAGCATAAAAGGTTCTTTGGAGTTGAGTAAAGAACCCTGTGCTTCATATTTAGAAAACATTTCTTTAACATGATTATAATTAGATGAGATAGAGTTCTTACATTTCTTGGCTTTCTATTTATCTAAAACTATACCATGGTATGAATTATCAAACAGCATTTGAGTTTGTTTTAACCACAAACCACTTCATTTACTTGTAGGTTGCAAAACTGAATGAGAGACAGAGCACATTTGGCTCTGATCATTAAAAACACAATCATTAAAATTCCATAACTTGTTGTATATAAATGTTACGAAGAAAACAGCAGGAAAAGTAAATATGAACTAAAGTAATTACGTAAACTGAGTCAGGTGAATTATGGCTATCTGCCTTTTATTTAACAGTTAATCACTATATGATACATGTTTGTATATGAGATACATAAACATTTGTAACATTAGTATGTTGCACTTGGTTAAAAATCCCAGCAGCTACTCCGACTGGGAAAACAACTCCAGATGTCCAAAGCAGGAAAAGTGCACAATAGAGTCTATAGGGAAACGGCGAACAAGCAAGCGTCAAGAAAAGAGGATGAGAATAGGGGAAAGGCTTGAGAATGAACAGTCATCTCCTTTATATAGCTCAATTCAAATGACGCTTTTCAAAAATCCTGAAAGTTCCTGACTATCTGAAAAGATTTTATTAGGAGACTGTTGAGAGTGCAACCTCCTGTCAGAAAAAAAAAAAAGAGAAAAAATCTCGCTTGGAAACACCGATGAGAGTTTTTGAGAGAACTGGAGAGGATCTGAAGTGCCAAGGGCATGAAGAAAAAAAAAACAAAACAAGAAAGACGAATGGAAATGGAAAAAAGAGTGACTCAAGTTATAGGGAACAAAACGACAGGAAAAGTGGAGCGATAAAGGAAAGCTGTGTGAGAGGAGGGGCTATTTTAAGAGATGGCTTTCCGGCAGGTGAGAGAGATGGAAAAAAACAAAACTTTCAGGAACAAACAGCAGTCGAGATGTAAAGAGGTGGTGAGTCATAAGAGGAAGGTACTGTAGAAAGTATGACCATGTCAGGGTTAGACAAAGAAACATATCATACATTATCATTACCAGTTTTAAAATAGATGGAGACTTGTCTGTAAGAAGAAATTTACACATATGTAATAATCCACTACAATTAGTTGTGAGGACACACCCTCTTGTGTAGCCCCGCCCCCTCCCGCTGTCATATAAAGACAGAGGAAACTCTAGAATTACATGCTTTTCTCATAGTCAAAGACCAAGTGGATCATATTCCGTTTTCTTCAGCAGTGTGACACTGTTTCTAAGGATTGATGGTCAGGACAAAAAGTCTTCTCAAGTGTCTCCATCTCATGCAAGGTGAGTTCCCAAAGAGATCAACAAAACGTTAATTAGCATTTAACGAGTGACGAGGCATATTATATGCTTTTATAACAGTAAATTATGCTTAATTACATACAACTAATTGTGTAATTTGCATCCCTAAAGGTCATACCATTATGGAAGTGGCTGTTTTGCTGTTGCTGACCATACCGATGAACACAGCCACACAAGTGAGACAGACACGGAGGTGTGTGCATAACCCAGCTCAGAAAACTTTTTAGTATTGACTTTCCTAATGGGGTCCAAAATATGGAAAAGGATTTATTCCCATCCTCGTTGGGACATTTTGACCACATACATATATGCTACAAAATCTCACGCAGTGTTTTTTCACATGTATTAAACAGGACACAGACAGAAAGCCTGTCACTAGTGAAGAGCATACAGAGGTCAAGGGACGTGACCTTGGTCGGCAGTGACAGAGAGACTCCATCAATGGAGACCAAAGCGACCGGACAACCCGATCCAGACGCAGCCTCTTCTCTGATTCTACAAACCATCCTTCAAAACGCCAGAGAGTAAGTGAACCACTGTCCAAAACTAAACATTTAGCAAACAATACTTCAAACGGCTAAAAAGTCTCTTATGTTCACTAGGGCTGCATTTATTTGATTAAAGAAATCAGTAAAACAGTAATTTTGTGAAATATTTTTTTTTTATTTTATAATATTTTAAATGTATTTTATTCCAAATATTTTAGAATTCTTTGATCATGATGAATAGAAAAGTTACATTGTGAATAAATATTATATGGAAGAATAACATACTTTTTTGTTTTCCTTCTCTGCTGCTTGGGGTTAAAGTTAATAACAAATATTGACAAAAAAAAGTGTGTCTCATATCAAATATCAGCTATATCAAGGTTTCATTCATTAATAATGTATTAACTATTACATGAACTAACAATGAGGGATTTGGTACAGTATTTATTACCCTTTGTTAATGTTAGTTAATAAAAATCATTGTTTGTTCACAGTGCATCAACTAATGTTAACAAATAATAATGCATTAGTAAATATCTTAAATCATAGATCAGTATAAATGCAGATGGACTGACTTTTTTTTCTTCTCTCTGTCAGAAAGCGAGCAGCTCAGAGAGGCTGTCAGCTCGGGACATGTCAGGTACACAACCTGGCCAACAAGTTATACCGAATGGGTCAGAGCAACGGAAAAGACGAATCCAAAAAGTCCAACGACCCAACAGGATATGGACGCTGAGACTAAACATCCCAGACGAGCTTCTCTCATTCATCAGAGGACAGAATGTGTTTGACTGGTACTGCTCAGGATATTGCTGATATGAAAAAGAGTTCAAATAAGAGAACTATTCTATATTATATTAACTAATTTACTAAGATATTGCATGTCTTTGATAGACTTTGTTTAGGCTGCTCTTATTATATAAAAGTTGTATGTATATTCTATTTAAAAATTGTATATAAAGGTGACAAAAGTATATTGAATAAAAAATTTAACGACTTATTGTTTTATAGTTTGTGTTGTCCAACATGACATATTCATATTTCTCTCGTGAATATAAAGGGTAGAACAGGGCTTTTAACTAAAGGAAAATAGGTCAAATATTTCGAGTATCAAAATATTAGACGAGGAAAAAAAAATTCTAAAAAAAGATATATATTTTTAGATTGTCATATATTTTGGCACTCAAAATTGGCATAATTGAAATAACAATAATACAATTATTTATACATATTTTTATTATAATTACATTTATTTGTTAATCTTATTATTAAAAATAGGTGATGAGGGGCATCTTTTACCTTACATTTAGAGTAAAATGTCTTTCAACATTGATTAAAGTTACTTTAATGTAACCTGCTTAATTATAATTTAATATTTAATTTGCAATATGCATACATGTATGTAAATATGGCATGCTATGTCAAATGGCATTTCAGTTCCATTGTAGCCTACATCAGGCAAATTAGGACACTTTTTTGCCACTGAGATAATTCAAATTATCTAAATGTTCCAATTATCTTAAATTTACCCTACCATAAGCCACAACTATAACATGGCATCATTGGCATGTTGTTGATGACGGTCATTTATTGAACAACCTACCAAGACAAATCCGTTGTGTTGCAACAATAAACAGTTTGATTCAAGCTTAAATGAGCATTATTATCTTGTCTCACAGGTAGCCTAGCCTACTGTCTCGTTTTTCACACACACACACACACACACACACACACAGGCGCACACATCTTTGTGAGGACTCTCCATAGGCATAATGGTTTTTATACTGTACAAACTGTATATTCTATCCCCTTACCCTGCCCCTATCCCTAAACCTACCCCATCACAGGAAACATTCTGCATTTTTACATTTTCAAAAAAACAAAAAAACAAACAAACAACTTTACTTAGTATGATTTATACACTGTTTTCCTCATGGGGACCGCTGGCTGGATCCCACAATGTAGGTGATTTTCATGTTTTACTATACTTGTGGGGACATTTGGTCCACACAATGTAAATATAAACAGAAACACACACACACACACACTTCCAATCCCACCATCTTCTCAGTAGTAGCCACACCCTTGCGCGAGCGCTGGTTACACCTGTTTTCTCAGGTAAACCGACAGTTTCTCGCGATCCCGGACTTCGTCTCACCGCATGGACGTTACGCGCTGCTGGAGAGGGCTTTGAAGTGAAACTTCCTACAAACTAAGAAAGACTTTATTAAGTCAATAAAAATACCAAGATGAATGAAAAGGACATTGAACAAGGCGGAGTTGCCGTGATGCCGAAAACAGATCTGGTAGGTTCGTCAGGAAGTTGATTACAGACAGCGCCTAAGGCGGCTAAGTTACAACAAAAGCGCTTTTTTGCATTTGATTTTGTATACAGTGATTTTGTTCGTTACAAAAACGCTTTAGCTGTTTGCTTGTCATATTATGTTCTCAAAGATTCAGTATTTTAAAGCATTCAGTATCGCTAAGATTCAGTGTTGGCTGTGACTGTGAGCAGCAGGACTTCAGGGAGTTCCTCAAAAAAACAACATACCACGGGTTAAAACCAACAAGACTGTGCACGTGTATATGTCATGTGCGTCTTTTGACGTATTGTCTCACTTTACGAACTAACTGTGTAATTGTATTTTTTGTGTGTGGGTATTTTATGGAAGTTAGCCTGATTTACAGTTACCCTGTAACTGTTAGCAACCTGAGGTTAATCTAAATGACCAGTATATCAAACATTTGCATTTCAATCTAAGTGCATTCAAATTATTCTACGGTTTTATGCAAGTTCCTCTGGAGAACTGTTTAGAAATAGTTCATTGTACTGTTAATCAATACAGTTTGTGCTTTTGTGTTTCAGTGTAATGGGGAAACTGTATCGGGGATGTAATCAACTGAAATCATGTAATGGGGAAACTAAACACAAAACCCAGTCCATATGATCTAAATAGGTGATGAGCACCTTAATGGCTAAACTGGTCTGTCTTGCTTTCCTGATGAATGGGATGGGTGGGGATCTAATGATGTAATTGTAAGATGAGTTAAAGTGAGCTGTTTACCCTAGCTTTGTGATTTTCTCATTCTGACCTTCCTTGCGCAAAACCACTTGATAAGATAAAGTGTTACAAGCTTTGAAATTGCATTCAGTATATTTCCCTCAACATGATCCTCTTAATATTCTAGCTTGATCTTTGCTAACTTAGTGACATTGTCATCGGAAGTCCAAGACCACTATTACACTGGCTATCATGTTTTTAGTGCATTCATTAAAAATATATATTTTATTGATTTTAGAGCTGGATTCCAGGTTTCTTTAAAAAGAGAGTGTGCACAACATTTGTGGAGGACTCTTTCAGGTAAGATGTCTGACTTGGTGAGTATTCAGAATGTCTCGTTAGATTCCTTCTGATCCGTCTGTTGTTTTGTAGCAATGGTGGTCTGTGTCAGTGTGGGTCCACGCGAGACACGCACCCCTCAGTGGCCCTGGGCGATAACTTCAGCACAGCCATGGTCAGTCACTGGGAAAGCACACAGCACTCCTCCGAACAGCCCACAGACGCCTATGGAGAGCTGGAGTTTGCTGGGGCCGGCAAGAGACACAGCTATGTGAGTACCTCTCCATTGTGGATGGTCTGTATATGAGCTGTATGAGCTATACAGTTATAGATATCAGTGGATCTGGATCACATGGAAATGAGAGATTATAGAGAATAATACTCTTTGGTAAACAAGCAAACCGACTTTCCAACAGCGCCTGGCCGCAGACTTGCACTTGCACTCTCAGACGCTCAGTTCCCTGCGCTTCCTCTGATGTTCCTCACACATTTAGTGAAACCAACGTCAACACAGAGAGAACATACAAACTCCACACAGAAAAAATTGTCACACATAGTTGTAGATGCAGACGATGACGAAGAAGATTATGTCAAAAGTGTTTAATTGGTTGGGTGATGTCTCTGAGGTGTGGCTGGACAAGGCTGCTGTTATGTGAACACGGATCCATTCGTCCACGGCGGAAAGTTGATGCAACTTTCAAGGGTCCAGCTGGGGCATGACGAAGCAGAGATTTAAAAAAAAAAACGTTTCCATTTTAGGACATCAATGTCATGTTAACGTACCCTAAATTCGGTCTTCATATTACAAAAAGATTTAATATCAATCAACCCCTGGGGCATAAAAATTGTTCCAAGTTGAGGAAATAACCACATTTAACAAATCAGTAGCTTGTTTCTGTTGCTTCTCACCACTGATTCCTGTTTTGATCTCACCCCCCCTTTTCTTTATCCCAGTTTTTGCGTCTCTCCAGCACTACTGATTCTTCCAGTGTCTTCAATATCATGAGGGAGCATTGGAAACTGCCGCAGCCCAACCTGGTGGTGTCAGTGGTTGGTGGTGAGAAAAAGTCAGAGGTCAAGACCTGGGTGCGAGACGTGCTGAGGCAGGGGCTGGTAAAAGCTGCACAGAGTACAGGTGTTGTCTTCTCTCCACACATAATATTATTCATATCTGTTTTCATGTTTTTCATACATTACCATGGTATACAAAGGTTTGCATTATGCTTCTTTCACAACTGTATGGAAGTGTGTTTCCGCCACTGAATAAAATAAATAAATCATTTTGACTTTTTATCTCACAATTGCCAGATATGAATTCAGAATTGTGAGAAATACAGTCGCAATTGTGAGATATAAAGTCACAATTCTGAGAAATAAAGTCGCAATAAAGTCTCAATTCTGAGAAATAAAGTCGCAATTGCGAGATATAAAGTCGCAATTCTGAGAAAAAAAAAAACAGAATTGCGACTTTGTTTTATCTCACAATTCTGACTTTTTTTCTCACAATTGTGAGTTAACATCTCGCAATTTTGACTTAACACATATTTGCAAGTTTATATCTCGAAATTCTGACATATATTCTCAGAATTGTGAGATATAAACTCGCAATTGCGAGTTAGGCCAATTCTAAGGGGGAAAAAAGAAGGATAACTTTTTTTCCCCTCAGAATAGTTTATCTCACAATTCTGACTTTACAACACGCAATTGCGACTTTATATCACGCAATTCTGACTTTATATCTTCCAATTCTGACTTTATAACACGCAATTCTGACTTTATATCTCTCAATTCTGACTTTACATCTCTCAATTCTGACTTTATATCACGCAATTCTGTTTTTATATCTCGCAATTCTAACTTTATAACACGCAATTGCGACTTTATATCATGCAATTCTGACTTTATATCTCGCAATTCCAAGAAATAAAGTCAAAATTGCGAGATGTAAACTCAGAATTGTGAGAAAAAAAGTCAGAATTGTGAGATAAAAAGTCACAATCACCTTTTTTATTTTTCATTCTGTGGCGGAATCAAGCTTTCATAGAACTGTGTTAAAGTTGTGTTATCGGAGTAGAAGTATTGATTTAATGCCAGAGTGAAATTATCAAAAGGTTTACCATACGACTCTTTGTTCGTTATGTTAATGTCATACCTGAAATGATTGACAAGCAACTGAAAATTGCATGACCACAGTGATTTGAGCGAACTTCAACTCTGCATTTTATTGTAAGCTGACGAGATGCAAGAAGTATGAATATGAATCATGTATCCATGTCTAGAGTAACCGCAAGTCATTAAAGACCCAGTTACCCCGACATAAATTCCTGCAGGAATATTTATTTAATCAACCTGGTGTATGTCCGGAAAGTCGCCTAGCAAGTTCTTCTCTGTGTGTATATAGTAAAAAAATAAGGATAATAAAAAATATGCACAAAGCAATTTAATTGAAATATAATAATGAATATAAATAACAAAATATTACATAATTCATATTTTTATAATGTTTGGATCTGTGACAGGTAAAAGAAAATATTTACATAATTTATAAAAAACAATAAAATCTAACAATAATTCACAAGAATTATGACTAGTAAAATCACAAATTAAATAAAAAAAAAGTCGATTTTCTATGGCTTACCTTATACATTACATATAGGTGCGTGGATCATATCCGGAGGTTTGATGGAAGGCCTCGGCAGGTGTGTAGGAAAAGCTGTGAAAGATCATGCCACTGCAACGTCTTCTGTCACTCTCAGTAAAGTGGTACTTATAGGCATCGCTCCCTGGGGCCTGGTGAAGAATCGGGAACAGCTCGTCAACCCTGAGGTAATGCAGAATCATTGACACCCTAACAAAAAATGAACAAAGAAACCTGTGAAGAAAAATGTGCATTAATCCTTTTGATTATCTTTTTAATTTTGATGTGGGGGGAATCTCATTATGAAATGTTTTCCCCAATGCACATTAGCCACAATTATTTGCACCCTTTTATTCAGTAGCTAATTTTTGCAACCTTGTGAGGTTGAAGAACACCTGACGAGATCAGTGACCCAATGTTTGTATTGGTTTTGATGATTGTTTTGAGTCATTGTCTTCATGTAAGATCCAACCATGGCACGGTGTATAAGTTTTTTATATGTTGGTATTTAATTGAATGTCATGTATCTCAAAAATATGTCCATATCCTCCAGAAGTAAAATGGGCCCACAGCAGAATATTTATTATTTAATTGTACACATGGGGTACTATTTTATGCATATGGGCACCAAACCCATCTGGTGGGTTTGCTGCCAAAAAGCTCTTTTTGTTCCAGTTGTGTCTGGAAAGTGAATATACTGGAGTTTGTTTTTGGATGAGAGCATAGGATTTTTCCTTTCTCAAAAAACTTGTGATGTAGGTGGTGTTTTTTGTTGTTGTTTTTTAAGGCTTTCTGACCCCAATAAACTCAACTAATTTCTGCAATTTTGCAGCTGTGATCCTTAGAGTCTTTGGCCACCCAAACTATCCTCCTTACTTGTATCCAGACAGATTCATGACATCTCCTGTTTTGGAAATTAATTTTTGCCCTGATGTAAACGAGAATTTTCAATCCTTTAGCCATTTTATTACAGCCACATTTTTAATTTTGTGAAGCTCAACAATCTTTTGCTGCACATCAGAACTACATTTCAGTCGTGCCAAATCCCGGAAAACTTTTAGCATGTTATTGAATATGGCATTTGGTCTTGGGGGACTGCTGCAGAGAAAGTATGGACTTGCTACTGCTAATAGATACACAGACATGCTACTGTGTAAGATATGCTACTGCATAAATAGACAAACATAAGTCCTGCAGCAGATCTAGGCAGGTGGAGCTGGGGGAGGTGGAGGGTTTCAGAGGAACTCTGATAGGGTGATGCAGGACTATTTACAACAAACACTGAACCAGACTATTTAAATGTTGAGCAACCAATCTCATTGGCTGCAGGGGATGAGAGGCCAATCACCTTCTGCCAATGTGGCAATAGTGTGATTGCTTGTAGATTGCATGTAAAGGACCTATCAGAGTTTAATAACTGAACTAGATAATCAATCTTTTATTTTTTTACCCAGTGTGGTGCATTGTCTATGGAATTTGACCTTTGTGTTATGTCATATTTATACTCTTCATTTCCTGTTCCTAGTCACCCTGGTGTGCTAAAGATTAAATTTCCATCTTATAGGGGTACCAATAAGTCCAAATGCTATGTACTGCATTAATAGACAGTATGGTGTATGCAATTTCCCAATTTGAAGAGAAACTGCCATTCGGCACTGCATTTGCATTTGGTCTTTCAGAACAACAGTGTCTCATTCTTTCTCTTAGGGAAGTTTCCCCGCAAAGTATTTAGTCAAAAACGGAGCACGGGACTCTTGCTATCTGGATAATAATTACAAGGCTTTCCTTCTGGTGGATGATGGGACCATAGGGCGTAAAGGTGGTGAGGTTGCCTTCAGAGCCCGTCTGGAGGATTACATTTCACGTCAGCGCACAGGTACAAAATAAAATGCTGCTTTTAGGCCATTTTACGTGCTTGAATGCAGGAATTAAAATTGATGTTCATGAGATGCTAATGTTTAATAAAATATTACTGATGTAGAGATCAGTTTACATAATATAGTTTCATTGAACAGGAGTGCAACACAGTAACTAGCAAATACTTGGTTTGAACAAAGGAGGTTTAGATTTGTGGCCACCTAATGGCTAAGACCAAACTTTTAGTTTAAAAGGCTACTAGGTGAACCATTCAGAAAGTGTTTGTATTGTTTGTATAGTGTTGGACTAAAAAAAATACAATCTCATGTGCAGGCAGTGCAAGTATCGACATTCCTGTTCTGAATATGCTGATATCTGGAGAAGCTTCCATGCTGGAGGTGAGCAGATTCCGCTTTAATTACATGCAAAACGTCCTCAGTCCAATCCCTTAATTCTCTCTTACAATGTTTCTTCATATCAGGCATTAGATATCTCTCTGAAGAATTCAATGCCCTGGTTGGTCCTGGCTGGTTCAGGGGGGCTTGCCAATCTTGTGTGTGACATCGTGGAGAACGTGCAATCTGCTCCGATGCCCTCAACTGGAGGAGCAGAGAAGGAGGAAGGGACTCCCAGCATGGAGCTTAGAGAACGATTGGCGGAGAAAGTAAAGATATACTTTCCTTCAGAGCAGGAGATGGACAAACATGTTGATAGGGTAAATGTTACACTCTTTATTCGATCATATAACATCAAAATACTAAAACTGAATTGTTTTTTTAGTGCTGTTTTTTCTTCTTGTTGCTTGGCTGGTACCTGAAAGGTTTTCAGCATCTACCAAAACAAAGACCTCATCTGCATTTATAACGTGGAACAGGAAGGAGCGGATGATTTTGACACTGTGATGCTTAAAGTCCTTGTTCAAGGTAAACTTTAAACTGTTTATTACAGCGTTTCTACATCTCTTCAACTTGGAATCCCTTCGGTCTACAGTGGACCTGTTTATTAAATCTTTTTCTGTGTATAATTGTTGCTCTCTCTTTGTGTGTGTGTGTGTGTTAGCGAGTAAAAAACATGCTACGGGCAATTCTAATCCCTATACTGATGAGTTGAAACTTGCTGTAACATGGAACAGAGTGGACATTGCCAAGAGTGAACTCTTCAATGGAAACATCGACTGGAAGGTAGAGGATTGTGGGAAATATATTGTAAATCAGCTTTTAAACTGGGGCTTTTTGTCGAGTGTTGCTGTGCTTTCAACAGTAGAGTCAATAAAAGCAAAAGTTACAGTAAATACATGTTTAGCACAGCTGGTTTCAACAGTCATTATTATATGAAGTGTTTTCTTGAGCAGCAAATCATCGTATTAGAATGATTTCGGGTGGATCATGTGACACTAATGACTGCAGTAATGATGCTGAAAATTCAGCTTTGTCATCACAGGAATAAATTACATTTGAAAATATATTCAAATTGAAAACAGTTATTTTAAAGGGGTCCACAATGAAATTGCGAATTGAAAATTCGGCCAATGGAAACGTAAATTTAGCAAAAACGCCCATTTATCGCAAAAAAGGCAAAGTAATGTTTTGCAAAACTGCCATGGAAACAGTTTTTGCGCATTTACAGGTCACATGGCGTAGATGGCGCAGACAGAAGACGAGACACTTCTTTATTAAACTCATAAAAAGACAAAATAAATATAGTAATACTGGATTCTAAACCTCCCAAGATTTTGGACAATCAAGAGCTTGAAGCAGATGTAAGGGAGAAACACCTCGTATGTGCCCCTCACAAGTACAGTATAAGGGGCTTTCCTTACCATTAATGCTTGGATAACAGACCAACAGCTCCTTCGATTGAAAATAATGGCTAGTGCGATGGCTGGGATAAACCTACCAACATTCGTTGCCATGATTATTGGAATGACTTACCGTTTTACCGTTTTAGTCCCATAACATCGCTTGATGGAAACACTGCAATTTCGCAATCGTTTTTTATCGACAGTTACAGTCGACATTTTTATCGACATTTACTAAACTAATATAGTTTGCTATATTCTATTTAAAATGTTGGCTAATTTTACATACAGTAATTACGTTTTGCTTTCGCTAAATGTCCCTTTGCGCCACCTGGTGGTCATTTTGCGAACGACTTTGAAATATGACTGGTTTATTTTTGCCGCGGTGGAAAGTGTCATTGTGGTTGTCCACCTACTGTAGAAAAAAATTGCAAAAGTTTTGCGCAAATCTGTAATGGAAATGTGGCAGTCTATATCAACACTTGTGTTGTCAAGAGGGTGAGCGGAAAAAACAGCTTTGCCTTTTGAGGCAACAACTTATAATTGGAACTGTTAATAGAAAACACAAGATTAATTAGACATACTTAAATGTTGTTATCCACAAACAACAGATTGTCCTGACAAAGTAGAAATTGATCCATTTGAGGAGAATCTTTTGTGCGAAGCCTGCATTGTACTCTGGATGCTGTTCTCTGAAACATGTGCTGCGCACAACTTTAACCACTCTAAGTTTGTCAGCATTAGATATAATAATGAGTTTTGTTAAAGGCTTAGTTCACCAAAAATGAAAATTCTGTCAGTATTTACTCACCCTCATGTTGTTCCAACCCCGTAAGACCTTCGTTCGTCTTCGGAACACAAATTAAGATATTTAAGATCGCTCCTGCATACTAGTCCATAGGCTTCTTGAGGGAATGACTCTTGCTGGCATCGAAAAGTCATTAAAGACGTCGTTAAAATAGTCCAAGTGACTACAGGGGCTCAATTTTAACTTTATCAAACGACGAGAACACTTTTGTGCGCAAAAAAACAACAAAAATAACTTTATTTCAACTATTCACTTCCTTCTCCATGGGCCTGTAGTCAGTTAACGTAGTGTGATTGCGTAAAGCTACGTCACACGTAGGCTCACTATTGGCCGACGCTGGTCATGTGTGTGATGCGTGTGACGTACAATAACAGAAGCTTACGCTATTAAACTAGTAACCTGACTCGCGCAGAGGGAGAAATAAACGAATAGTTGAAATAAATTCGTCATTTTTGTTGTTTTTTTGCGCACAAAAGTGTTCTCGTCATTTGATAAACTTAAGATTGAGCCCCTGTAGTCACTTGGACTATTTTAACGATGTCTTTAATGACTTTTTGAGGACGACAAGTCATTCTAGCCTATGTACTAGTATGCAGGAGTGATCTTAATATCTTAAATACCTCAATTAGTGTTCCGAAGATGAACGAAGGTCTTACGGGGTTGGAACAACATGAGGGTGAGTAAATACTGACAGAATTTTCATTTTTCGGTGAACTATCCCTTTAACAGAGTGGAAAAACAGTGTCTCCTTGACAGTGACACCACTGTCCTCTCTAACGCAGCTCAACCAGGCCTTGTCTGCTTTTTACATATTCAGAGGGCGGAGATTATTTCAATAAGGAACATTAAGACTTCGCAAAGCCTGGAAAAAACACGTAGCGCAATGTTGTAGTTCTTGGAGTCCTTTGGAGTGGACTTTTAGCTTTGTAACCTTGCAGATCTTTTTTTTTTTTCATGCTAAAACAGCAACATTACACACTAACTTAAGTTGAAAAGGTGAAAAAGCATAATAGGATCCCTTTAAATAGAAATAATATTTTACTGTATTTTTGTAAAAACATCAGCCATGGTGAGCAGTTTTTTCTGGTATGTGGTGATAACCTGGTGTTTCTTTCCTGGCACATGTAGTACGATGATCTGAAAGATTCCATGAATGACGCGCTGATGAACGATAAACCCCAGTTTGTTCGTCTCTTCATCGATCATGGTCTGAACATTTTGAGCTACCTGACTTACGAAAAACTGGAAGAACTTTACAACTCCATCCCTGACAACAGCCAGGCCGGCAAACTGCTGCGTCATATCCTGAAGGAGCGCAGGAACGAGTCCAGCAATGATAAGAAATGCAGCATTAGCATTTATGAGGTGAGTTCTGAAAATTATTGAACAAATATCGGCAGATTAATTGGTGTATTCAACACTCACTGGAGGGCATAACTAGGATTTCCTTCGCTGCTCGCAAGTTAGTCTTACCAGTTTTGTACTTGTATATTAAAGCAGTGATATTAAAAGACCAAATCCAGTAAATACCTTATTGATAATACATACTATGCAAAGCAAATGAGCCCAGAGTATGAACGCAGCACGCTAACTTTTATGTTAAGCAATTTCCCATTGTAAACCATTAGAAAGAAAATGCGTATGTGGCTTAATGCATTAAAGGGATAGTTCACTTTGAAATTAATTTTTGGTATGTTTTAGCTTACCTGAAGGGCATCCAAGATGTAGGTGTCTTTGTTTCCACAGTAGTTTCAATTTTGATATTTTTAGATCAAACCGTTCTTGTCTGTCAGTCATATAATGGAGGGTCTATGGTCACCACCTCATACTTGTAAATGCAAGTACACATTAATGGCCAAAAAAAACCATACCAAAAATTATTTCAAAGTGAACTATCCCTGCTGGAGGAACAAAATTCAGCATACACATCCTTGTTTATGAAAAAAAAAAAAAAAAACGTTTACTGGCATGCAGATGAACCCCAAATATGAACGAAACTTGGAAAGTTTCATGTTAAGGGTTTTCTTATATAAAGTAAACTCTTATGGGGTTATCTGCTTGCCTGTAAAAAATAATGCATCATCAATAAGATACTGAATCTGATATTTTAAAATCACTAAGTATATTAAGCAATTTTTACGTTAGGCATTGTAGAGTGTCTCACTGTTTTTAATGAAATACTGAGGGCTGTATATGGATCGTTTGTGCCCAAAACTTGCAGTTTGTACACACATCTTTTGTTTTTCTTCTTTTGAGAGGTAAATATTTGTGGATCGAAACTGTTGCAAAATTGACAGGCTGCAGCCTGTGCTGCAGTTCTTTAGATGTTTTGCTCGCTAGTCATGTGACTGAAAACTTTGAACCCGGTATACGCTGTTGTACATTTCACCAATTTCTCATCCCAGGTGTCCCAACTCCTGGAGCTTCTGTTAGGGGAGGTATGCCATCCCTTCTACAAGTCTGTACTGATGGTGAACAGTAATTCAACCAAAAGAAAAGCTTTTAAGGTACCAGACTTACTACCTACTAGTACCTTAGAAATGAATAATGTCTAGTCTGAGTCATCAAAAATATAATGTCTTTAAAAACCACCCTCCAGAAAGCATGCCAGGTCCTGCAGGGGGAGTGTAGCTATCGGAAGCTGCAGTGTGAGCACGCGTGGTTATGTCTCTTCATCTGGGCAGTGCTGCAGAACCGCAGTGAGATGGCCATCTTCTGCTGGGAAATGGTAACACACTTCTGATGAGTTATTGTCACATTGTTAGGGGATGCGTCATGTATCATTTATGTTCTGTCATTATTGGTCATATTGGATATTAAATTGTTTTTATTTTTAGATTACATGAAAGCTCACTTACAGTAATATTCAACCAAATTTATGAACTAAAAATGTATTAAAAGTAAGATCTTTTGCAAAATTCAAAATGAATATCATACATCTCGGGTGTGTGATTGTTTATATTGTCGCAAGATGCAAATTGTATTATCGCACAGTTCTTCATATAAAGCTGGATATGGATTTTATCCGACTTTATCAACATAGATACATACAGTATACCCGCTTAAAGCTATATATGTCATTTAATAAACCTCAACTTCTTGACTTTTTTATTTTTAACTTTACCTGCATAAATACAGTGAACTCACATAAAGGAATTTATACTAAATAGCAAATCTCAACATCTTGACTTTTATTTCATCATAAAATGTAACCATTTTCACCCAGCTCTTTATATAAAGTTGGATATAAAGGTATGTGCAACATAATCTGTTTACATACAGCAATATACACTATATACAGTATCTAAACATACACTACACTTGATTGCTGCAAAATTGTTAGATTAACCCTATGGCCCAAATGGACCCGAAAAATCGAAATTTGGTGACTTTGTTGGTATTAGGTATTTGAACACCCCAAAAAATTGGGGACAGGATGTGAGTAGTCTAAGTGGTTGTAAAAAAGTAGTCACACTTGGGGTGCATGGAAAATGAATGGGAAATTGGCAAAAATGTGAAATCTACAAATCAGCCACGATAAAAAAGCACACAACAGTGAAGGGGTGAATCTATGAAACATCAAGAGTGCAAAACAGACATCCAGACACACACAAACACACTTTTATACACAAACACACCAAAAAATTCAGATTATACATGTGTTTTGCATTTTTAAAATGCTCAGTTTGTCCACTAGATGGCATCCATCTCATTTCAAAAATTGCCTTTATGAGGCCGAGGCTTGACTCTAAAATGAAATACAGCTTTAAAAAATATATATATATTTTTAAAAAAAATGTTTTTTTCTATTATGTTCAATGGGGGGAAATTTTTTCATAATTATTGCATTAGTACTAATTATAATTTTTTATTTTTTTTGACATTTTCTCAAAACACCAAAAAAGAAAAGAAAAAATATTATAAAAAACGAGTAAAAAAAAAATCATGATTTTTTTTTTTTTTTTTAAAAATATGAATCCCGCCCTTTGGGTCCATTTGGACCCCAACACCCCGAGTGTGACTCTGAAACGAACAACCCCAGAGGGTTAACTGTATCAGCAAGCTCTATGTGGCATCAACATCATGATTTCTGTAATGTTTTGAAACAGTATTGAGAAAAGCTCAATAGAAAATGAATTTGTAGCTTTATATTTTTATTTATGTATAATGTCTAAACTTTGAGCGTTTCAAATTACCAATTTTAGTTTTACTTACACTAAAGAGATCTTGTTTGTCAGCCATATATAAAAAAATGTCTGAAAGCAAATGTTGTGCACAGCCTCACTCTGATCTGTACTGCTGTTCTGTTTCAGTGCGGCGAGTCGGTACTGACGGCTCTGGGAGGATGTAAACTGTTGAGGGAGCTGTCTAAACAGGAGATTGAGACAGAGGCCAAGCTTTCCATGAAGGAGTTGGCCCAGAAGTTTGAGAATATGGCTCATGGTATGATGCATGAAAATATTGGGTTTTGGCATCTTATAAATGTTCTAGTGATGAATCCCTCTGTTTTCTTCCCTGGCATTTTTTGACAGATGTGTTTAGCATGTGCTACCAAACCAAAGCCAGTGATTCCTTTAAGCTACTGATTCGCAAGTCTAAAATGTGGGGTGATGCCACCTGTCTGAAGATGGCCATGGCTGCTGATGCCCGTGTTTTCTTCAGCCACGATGGAGTACAGGTCTTCTGACATCATTACTGTAATAACATTGTTTGTTTGGTTTTGGTAAGTTTGTTGTCTCTTTTCTTCTTAAACGGTCTCTCTTTTTTTTTTTAGTCGCTGCTGTCTCAGATTTGGTGGGGTCAGATGGAGAGAGGAACTGAGCTCTGGAAACTTGCACTGGCTACGATCATTCCTCCTCTAGTCTACACCAACCTCATCAAATACAGGTCAGTACATCATCCATGTTAATTTCTGGTAACACTTTTCAATAAGGTTGCATTAGTGAAGATTAGTTAATGCGTTAACTAACATTAACAACGATCATTATATTTGCTGAGGTATTAATTATTTATAAAAAAAAAATACAACTCCTCATTGTTAGTTGATGTTAGCACAGGTCCCATTAAAAAAAAAAAAAAAAATGAAATTAATATTAACCAAGATTAATAAATGCATTAGAGGTATTTTTCATTGTTAATACCAGTGTTGGTCATTTTATATGACAGGATGGAGTCAGTGACAAACCAACTAATGACACAAATCATCACAGAATTAAAATCCATTGCTAATATTTGCAGAAATTTGACCCGAACAGAACTCGAGTATACCGAAGTTTGACATTCCATACATATGATCCAATGTTGTGGGGAAAGGAAACTGAAAGAATTTTGAACAAACTTTAGAAAAGATTACATTTTTAAGGTTTTTAGCTCCCATCTGGGTCAAAAAAGACCTGAACAACCTTTTTTCTAGTCCGTTATGCTCACCAAGGCTGCATTTATTTCAAAAGTGACAGTGAAGACATTTATAATATTATAAAAGATGTCTATTTAAAGGTGCTATATGTAACTTTTCTTCTAAAATGAATGCTTTTTGTTTATTGCCTGTGTGTGAAGAAGTTGTAATCACACATTACAATGATCCACTTGTCGGGTTTCGCTGTTGCCTCTGAAGGCCAGTATTACTATTTCTATGTGAAGTCTCCGGGTCGGATTTTCTGCAAAATCCATCGGATGTGACGTGCATCTCTCCCGAGCCTCTCTCCTTTATATACAGTCTATGCGACGGCACTGCAGCGAAAAACATGAGTCTGATAACACCAAAACACTCCTGCCTCCAGCACAACACAAACTGTAACAATTATATATAAAAATAACAATTATAAGAAATGTTATCTGAGCATCAAATCAGCAAATTAGAATGATTTCTGAAAGATCACATGACACTAGCCTGGAGTAATGATGCAGAAAATTCTGCTTTGCATCACAGGAATAAATTACATTAGAACAAATTACAAATAGAAAACAGTTATTTTAATTGGTAATTATATTTCACAATATAACTGCTTTTACTGTATTTTTGTGTAAAAAATGCAGCCTTGGTGAGCACAAGAGACTTCTTTCAAAACATTTTTTTATGTTTCCAAACATAACAGGTACTGTACAACACTCCCAATAAAACATTTTTTTTTCAGAAAAGAAACAAATGAAGTAACACCTGGAAAATGAATTAGCAGAATTAGCAGAACATCACTAACTAACTGAATAATTAACTACTTCTATTTTTACTAGCTGTGACCGATATATCGGCCGGCCGATATTAGGCAGTTATAATGGCCGATAAATGAATATTTAAAAAATAAAATAAAAACGGACGAAACTCGCTTTAATCATGTCTCCCTGGCCTGTTGTATTGAAAATGTATGTTTTACAATTTGCAGTATGATGTTATCTATTGCTAAATTATGGCTCATCATAGACTAGCTAACCACAATCATCAGTGGAAGACCGCTAACGTTAACATTAATGAGCTTGGAAACCACAATGAACTTTTTCTGCCTAAATAAAGTAATGATTACTGTATTTATAACTAGCATATCTCTAGTTACAGTCCCTGCATTGTAAAATGTAAGTTATACATGCGAGGAGTGAACATTTAGACATAGAGAAAAAGTATCCAACATATCTTGTGCAGAAAAGTTAGCTTTTCTTTTACACGTGTGTGAAATCCAACAATATTTAATTAAAATAAAATATCGGCCGATATATCGGATTTTAAAACCCAAAAATATTTGTATCGGTATCGGCCTTCGAAATCCTGTATCGGTCGTGCTCTACTGTGTTTAGCATTTAACATTTGAAATGTATTGCTTATTAGGAATGACCGAATTTTTAATTTCTCACAGGAAAGAGGGTCACACAGAAGACAAATCGGTGATGGTACCTCCACCCTCAGCAACAGACTGTCACTACACAGAAACTGTCTTCTCCTTCAATGACATCAAACACCAGTAAATGAGCTTTTATTTAACGCATCATGGATAAATATAAGATCTCTGTAGACAAACATACCTTTATCTGTCATCTTCTTATGATATTTCGCAGTGAAGCAGAGCAAGAGGATCATATCAGACGACCAACAAAAGGTTTTGACTGTTCAGTTTGAAACCCATGGATTATTGAACAATCGTGTCCATTAATTGTCATTTTTTGATCGGGTTGACCGAAATGTGTTGCCCTTATTACTTTTCCCTGTTTCTTCCTTCCTGTTGCAGGTATTTTTGCACATGGCAAATCTAAGGAGCCCTTTCTGTTTTCCCGCTGGAGGCAGTACTGGTACGCTCCTGTCACTTCATTTATCGGCAACGTTCTGATGTACTTCCTGTTCCTGTTTCTGTACGCCTACGTGCTATTGGTCGACTTCAAGCCACCTCCCCCTGATGGTCCTGCCCCTTCGGAATTGGTGCTGTATTTCTGGGTTTTCACTATCGTGTGTGAGGAGATTCGAGAGGTAGGTGCCGACACGGATGCTTCACTTGTGTTGGGGTTAACGCATTACAACTAATGCGAATCAATGTAATCAGATTACTTATTTCATGTAACTAGTAAATAATGCGTTACTTTTAAATTTACAACAGAATTATTTTTTTAAATAAATAATTCAAGTTACTTTTGTTTTCCCATTTGTTGAGTGAAAGCTCTCTTGCCTACATGTTGGGTAAATGCAGATGCTTTTACATTGTAAATATGATACCATAGTTTTTGAGTTTTCGTAGTACATGCTATTGTAGTTTTAGTACAGATGTACTCGCATACAGTATTCTTCTCAATGAATAAAACAGGGAAATGCAAACACAGAAAACTACACAAACCATAACACACACATACGTTATGTATTTAATCTCACTTTATCAAACAATGTCTTTGCTATTGTCCTTTGATGATCCAGTTCCACCATACAAATCTGAATCTGTAAAAATGACTTTAGGTAAACATCACATTTGTCTTTCTTAGTTTTTTTTGCAATCCTATTCTTCTGTGATCCAGAATGGGCAGCACCCTCTACTGTACAGGCTTGAATTTGCATTTCCTTCATTTGACTTCTGGTGTGAAATTTCCTTTACTTTTGCCAAAAATAGAACCTTTTTTTCTTTTTTTAACAAACAAAAGTAATTACTTTACAATAAGGTTCATTAGTTAAATACATTAGTTAACATTGACTAAAAATGAACAATGCTTCTTCAGCATTTGTTCATCTTTGTTAACGTTAACTTCTACATTTAGTAATACTGTATTAAAATGTTGTTAACATTAGTTAATGCACTGTGAACTAACATGACCAAACAACGAACAGCTTGATTTGTAACAAATATTAACAAAAACAGTAATAAATGTATTGGTTATGGTTAGTTCATGTTAGTTAATACTAATGTTTAATAAATGAACCTTATTGTAAAGTGTTACCGTAATTACTTTTAATAATTAAATACATTTAATAATTAAAAGCATTACTTTTCATAAGTAACTAAGTAATGCAATTCGTTATTTTTTTAGGGAGTAACGCAATATTGCATAGGGCTGTGAAACGATCAATCGTGATTAATCACATCCAAAATAAAAGTTTGTGTTTATATAATATATGTGTGTGAACTGTGTAATTTACAAAATAATTATTTTGTAAATATAAATACACACACATACATGTATATATTTAAGAAAAATTTGTTATTTATATATAAAATATTTATGTATAGTACAAATTATATATATATATATATGAAGAGTTCAGATGCAAAAGCCTCTAAATGCCATTTGAAATTTTCTTCTTTAATGATGATTTTTTGTCAAGCTTGTATATTTAAGTTCAGTGATTTCACTTAAATGGCAATGATAATTACCTATTAATTGTTATTTAAGTGAAATTACTGAACTTGAATATACAAGTTTGACAAAAATCATCATTAAAGAAGAAAATTTCAAATGGCATTTAGAGGCTTTTGCATCTGAACTCTTCATATATACACACACACAGTATATATAAGCAAATATTTCTTATTACATGTATGTGTGTGTATTTATATATACAAAAATAATTAAACACAGTTCACACACATGTATTATGTAAACACAAACTTTTATTTTGGATGCGATTAATCATCTCACAGTCCTATATATTACATAATATATAATATAACATTACTTTTAAAAGTAACTTTCCCCAGCAAGTGATACAAAGAGGTTTCAGTTGAGTATAATGATTAATCCATCCATTTATTCCACTTTCTCCTGTCTTTCATTCCCAGGCGTTTATTGTGGGCAGTAAGACTTTTACTCAGAGTTTGATGCTGTATGCTCAGGATGTGTGGAATAAGTGTGATATTCTTGCCATCTCCCTCTTCATGGCTGGTCTGTGCTGCAGGTAATGGTTCTTGACAGTCCTGCAAGTTTCTATAAAAAATATTAAGCAGCAAAAAAGTTTTTAACATGGCTAAAATCAGCATATTAGAATGATTTCTGAAGGATCATGTGACACTGTAGACTGGAATAATGATCACAGAAATATATTACATGTTAAAATATATTAAAATAGAAAAGTTATTTTAAATTGTAAATAATGTTTCACAATATTAATTTTGTCTGTTTTTATTCAAATATATGAAGCCTGCATATATATATATATATATATATACACACACACACACACACACACATGCATGTTTGTATATTTAAGAAAAAAATATTATTTATATATAATATAAATTATATATAAATTTATATACAGTATATATATGAAATTATTTCTTAAATATATACAAGCATGTGTGTGTATTTATATATAGAAAATAATTATACACAGTGCACCCACATATATTATGTAAACACAAACTTTTATTTTGGATGTGATTAATCGTTTGACAGCCCATATATATATATATATATATATATATATATATATATATATATATATATATATATATTACTATTCTATTCTATTTTTTATATAGACTTCCATTTTATATTTAAAAAAAAATGATACATGAAGTCTTTTCAAGTATTGCAGACTGTAGTAACAGACTATGGTGTCACAATTTAGCAGTTATTGTTTACTAAATATTCATTATACCTATGTGCATTCTACTAAATGTTTGTGTAATCATCTTTATACGTGTGCCTTTGTGTCTGTCTCAGGATGTTCAAATCGTCATACAGCATGGGACGTGGTATACTGTGTATTGACTACATGGTCTTCACACTCCGACTCATTCACATTTTCGCCGTTCACAGACAGCTGGGTCCCAAAATCATCATACTTGTCAAAATGGTGAGACAAACAGGAACATGTTGTAGTTCAGTGAAAATCAAGCGCTCCCTCAATACGAACACTGGTTCTGCCTAAAGAGATAGAAGGACGATTTAGACTTTTAAAACTTTACAGCTTGGTTAAAATGTTTGGTAACACTTCAATATTATGGTACATAAATTAACTATTAACTTGTTGCGTATAAGCATGCATATTACTAGCATATTGGCTGTTCATGCCTTATCCTGCATGACCATATTCTACAACTAATAAATAGACCCTTAACAGAGTTTTCATAAAATAATGTGCTAGTAATATGCGAGTTAATAGTGAATATGTGTACCTTAAAGTGCCCCTATTATGCTATTTTAAAGTTTCCTACATCAGATTTACATGCATCAAAGGTCAAAAATCTGTTCCATGTCCTCATTATATACATTTGCACATCACCACATTTTCAATGATTCTCGGATGAATAAATCTCTCTAAATCCCTCATCTCTCGCGGGAGCTACTCTGCTCTGATTGGCCAGACAGCTCAGTCCGTTGTGATTGGTTTGCTGTGTACAGGACGTCAAAAACGAAAATGCCCATTGCCAAAACAACGTTAGTTCTGGTTGTCCTTCCTACACTATAAACTGAACACCGTAACAAACAATGATGTCGATTGTACCATATCAATGCAAGTTCGAGTCCGAGGATGAAACATTGGAAGAACTGTTCATTAAACCTGAACCTCCATCGCAAGGGCAGTTTGAGTAGGACATTTCTCAGTAATACACTAATCTGAGATTGTACAACTGTAAATTCCTCAACATCAGCATTAACAAGTGGATGTCCATCAACAAACCCACTATTTTACCTATTTATCGAGTATTTTTCTAATATTATATTTTAATTTTATCATACAATATTTTTCTAATAACAGTTTATGTATGCAATGGATACATTAGCCGAGCTCTCGCGTGAATGACTGATGTAACATAAACGTTGGTTAAACAAATCTTGCTCCATGCTTAATCTTTCCTCAAAGTAGTGAGAACGACAGATAATCTGAATGAATAGACACAGTTTTAGGTAATAGTGGCTAGGGTTGGGTATCGTTTGAATTTGAACGATTCTGATTCCGATTCCTTGTTTCGATTCCGGTTCCTAACGATTCTCGATTCCGATTCTTTTAAGAGGCAGGGTCAAAAAAGTTTAGCTAACCTTGCTAACCAACGGTCTTTCTGAAGGAAATAATCCTTTCTGAAGGAAATACTCCTGTCACAAATACTCCTTTTGTCACAAATTTTGCATTTTGCCGAGATTTCGTTATTTTTAGAAAAGTGAAGCCACACTTTGGACCGCTGACGTAAGCTACTAATGTTCGACTCGCGCGGTTATGCCAACACTTCCGGTAGACGCTTCTTCGTTGGTGTTGTTCAGCGGTTTCTTCTTCCGCTCGGCGGACTGTGAATATCGAAACTAGGAATCGAAAGTTGAACTTTTGAACGATTCCGGGAAAAACGAAAAGTTAGTCCCGGTTCCAATCGATACTCGATTCTCGATACCCAACCCTAATAGTGGCCCACAGCTGATCAGTGATAACATGAGTTAGCCAGTTAGCAGGAGTATTTTTAACACCATCTTAAAGAGCAAGCGATTTGCGAATCCTACAACGAGATTTGAGAAGCAGTCACCGCACAAGTTTAGGATTACACTGCTGTGATATCGTGGTAAAGATTCATTTTAACCACTGATTCTTCAAATGCTCGCCCTTGGGGAGTGAAAAAGAAAACTGGCTTTAGCCTACCTTCACATTGTAGAGCACAGGGTCTCCTCGACCTGATGCTGTCCTGTGTCCTCAGGAGTCAGCTGCCGTGTTTGGGGTTCAAGTTTTCCCTGGTGTCTGCACGCACAATATGCTAATGTTTCGTCTTGACGTCACGACGAAACGGCCTACCGTATGACTCGTTTGAAAAAGATTCATTTCATATACATAGTCGACTCTTACTTTTGAAAGATAATAACTTTAAAGGGATACTCCACTTTTTTTGGAAATAGGCTCAATTTACAACTCGCTCAGAGTTAAACAGTTGAGTTTTACCATTTTCAAATCCATTCAGCCGATTTTCTGATTTTTAGAAGAATATCAGTAACCAGACCGTTTCTGGTCTCATTGACTTCCATAGTATATATTTTTTCCTATTATGGTAGTCAATGAGAGCAGAAACTGTCTGGTTACTGATATTCTTCTAAATATCAGAAAATTGGCTGAATGGATTCGAAAATGGTAAAACTCAACTGTTTAACTGTTTAATTTCCAAAAAAAAGTGGAGTATTCCTTTAAATACAGTGCACTTTTAGATTTAAAACTTTGTAGGATGTATGTATTCACTTAGAGCAATATTACACACTACTACTGAAAGGTCATTTTCAAAACTCCATAATCGGGGCACTTTAATATAAAGTTTTACCATGATTTTTGTTTGAAATTAGGAATTGAAATTGTTCTGTGGTAATCAACATCATCTCACAGATTCTTTCTACTGGGTTGATAATAGGTTAATAATTCTGTTCAATAAATGTCTTTATTAACTACTTTAGATACTAAAATCACAATTGTGTGTCGAACGTATTCCAGATATAAAAAGGAAAAACAATAATAATCTGTACTTGAGGAGACCACTATATCTACTTAACCCTTATGCTGCATTAGGGACATTTTTGGTCTTTTGCAGTTTAATTTCTTTGACCATTTTGGCTGTTTTAATGCAAATGGTATGAAATTTGGCAAAATTGTGACTTTTTGGATACATGTAAAAAATGTGATCCCATTTTACAAAATATGTATAACACACACTGTGTAGATCAAATAGTAACACTCAGCACCATAAAGACCAAAAATGGCCCATTGAAACCCATTAAAACGTTGTTTAAATCTGAGGCTGTCAGTAATACATGAAACATGATTTTTGCACAAACATCCTTTCATTTTGAAGCAAAAGCATTACATTTGCATTATATAGTGTATTCCACCAGATGACGTCACTACATATTTATTCCCTATGGGTGGAAATGCACCTTATTTTAGGCAATAGGCAATGTTTAATAGGTGGCCATTTTTGGTCTCTAACGCGCTAAGTGGGATTTTTTGCAAAGTGGGACTGTGATAATCCGAATCTAAAGTTTTCTCTTTGCATTTAGTTTATTGAAAATAATTGAATTTTTGTGTTTTTTCCTCTTATACAAATCGATGGTTTCGCAAACAAAACTGGTAATTAAAGGGTTAAAATCCTGAAATTGAATACATTTTTGGTAGTTATGATGAGGACTGATGCTGGTTAAAAGATTTAACTTGGTAAAAGTGGAAAATAATAATAATATATAATATTTTAGGCAATGTTTAATATGTGGCCATTTTTGGTCCTTAATGCACTCAACGGTGTTAAAAATCGAATGCAGCACAAGGGTTAATCACTGCTCTTTCTATTTTTTGCATGAATGTTTTTGTACCACAGATAAAGGATGCGTTCTTCTTCTTATTCTTTCTGGCGGTGTGGCTGAGTGCGTATGGAGTGGCCAATCAAGCTCTACTATATACATACGATCCAAACCCCACCAGAGCGTTTCGTCGAGTATTGTACAGACCATATTTGCACATATTTGGACAGATCCCTGTGGAAGAAATAGACAGTATGCTCAATTCTAAATCACATATTTTGCAAGTTTTTGTTAGCATCCACTGAATATATTGTATATTTGTGTGTGTTAAGCTGGCAAGTATTGGGATAGGGACTGCACAGATAATCTCACATTGATTAATGAAGGGAAAGAGCCATGTAGAGACACCAGCCACAACTGGCTTGTGGTCATTTTGCTGGTCATCTTCCTACTGGTCACCAACATCCTACTCATCAACCTGCTTATTGCCACATTCAGGTATTCTTTTTCTGTTCCTTCATTCATCTGGTGTATGTAGCCATCGAATGATCCGTCCATCCATGTTTTTCTCCTCTCCTTGTGTCTGTTTGTGCAGCTATACATTCTCTAAGGTTCAGGAGCGCAGTGACGCATACTGGAAGTTTCAGCGCTATAATCTAATAGTGGAGTATCATTCTCGTCCAAATCTCGCTCCACCCTTCATCATCCTATCCCACATCAACCTCTTTATCAAAAGAAACATCCGCAAAGTGCCATCCACCAAAATCCAGCATTTTGGTAAATTATTGTAAACATTTTGAGTAAATTTGAGTAAATTAGGATGTGTTCACACTTGTAGTTCAATTTAGCATCAAAACAACGCCAGTAATTCCTCCATCACACACAAACAAAGATTTGCTGCAAGAAGATGCGGTTCTGAACTGTAACAGGCAATATCGTGATGAGAAAAACTGGGTATACTTGAGCATTCTGCCCTATTTAGGGTAAGTGATATTATCTTGTGACATCATGTCCTGTTTTTGGTTCGTTTTGATATCTCTGGTCCGTGTTGCTTTCATATACCAGTCAAACCGCACCATCAGTTTCAAATGAACTTAAACCCATCTTTTCAGGGTCTCAGTCCGCTTGTTTTGTGCGCTCCAGGGTTCGAATGGCCGCCCTCACACTTCAAATGAACCGCACTAACATAGCAATATAATTATAATCAAACTAAACATGCCTAGTGTGAACACACCCTTTAATTATAGATCAAAAAGCAGATATAAAAAATATGACGTTATGTAAATGTTTGTGTGAATTTGTCTCTCTTTGATAGCTCTTGATTTGAAGGGTAGAGAGGCTAACAAGCTGGTGAAATGGGAGACCTTGCAGAAGGAGAACTACCTGGCTTTCGAGAGCAAAAAACAAAAAGGGACCGACTCTGAGAGGCTGAAACGCATGAGTGCTAAGTAAGTCCAACTTTCATTAAAAATAAAAAAAATTTCTGAATACTTTCAACTTTCTCAAAGTGGATAAAGAGGGGTTGAAAAATGTCTCAAACTAAATGATTGATGTTTTTGGCTGCAAAAAGAAATAGTTTAAAGGGGTGATGAAGTGAGAAATCAAATTTGACATTTAAGAGGTCATCATATTAAGAATAATAAGATAAGAATCGTCCTGGTTAGTCCAATAAAAGATTTTATTGACACCAGGCTCAGCAAACGACTCATTTTTCAAGGTGGGGAACTATGACGTCAAAGAGGATAAAACACCACCTCCGCAGAAGATCAACGCCTACTGTACTTCAACACGGCCGGTTTAGCCCCGCCCACCGATTCGCGCATTACACGCATTAGCTTAATAACATAGATAGACCTTGTGATGACAAACCGTATCGAGCTAAAAGACATGCAATAAACATTACAAAATAGTGTGCAGTTCCTGGTTGTGGAAGAAGACAGTCGCTGGATGAGCGAGTGAGTTGAAACTCATTATAATATGCAAAACTGTTATCCACTCACGTTTACTTCCAAGTCTTCAATGCGAGACGCCCATAAAAACCGAGTGTTTTTTAGCTAGGCTCAAAACTAGGGTAGAAAATAGCCTATTACTTATTCATTTTGATGTTTGTTAATGTAAAAACCAAGCGAACGTCATAAGCTGACCTCAGACATCAATATAAAAAATGTATAAAGCCAGTTCATGACCCCTTTAAGCATGTTTTAGATCTAAAAGGTGTAGTTCACTTTAAAAAAAAACTTTTGCTGATAATTTACTCACCCCCATGTCATCCAAGATGTCCATGTCTTTCTTTTTCAGTCGAAAAGAAATTAAGGTTTTTGATGAAAACATTCCAGGATTTTTCTCCATATAATGGACTTCAATGGGAACCAAACGGTTCAAGGTCCAAAAGACAGTTTCAATGCAAACTGTTCAAAGGGCTTTAAACGATTTCAAACGATGAATAAGGGTCTTATCAAACGAAACGATCGCTCATTTAAAAAAAATAACAAAGTTTAAGTTTTTTTAAATGATATTTATTTATTTTTTAAATGAGTGATCATTTCGCTTGATAAGACCCTTATTTATCATCTGGAATCGTTTAAAAGCCCTTTGAACAGTTTGCACTGAAACTGTCTTTTGGACCTTGAACCCTTTGGTTCCCATTGAAGTCCATTATATGGAGAAAAATACTGGAATATTTTCATCAAAAACCTTAATTTCTTTTCGACTGAAGAAAGAATGACATGGACATCTTGGATGACATGGGGGTGAGTAAATTATCAGCAAAAGTTTTTTTAAAAGTGAACTTCTTCTTTAAGGTGCAGTTACATTAGTGAAATTTCAGTGGAATTTTACAGACCAAAAAGCGTTGTTCATTGTCTATGATGCTCTGTTCACGCAGAAGTCACTTTCAAATCGAGCAGCTCTGTGTTGGTCAATCTGTGCTGGAAGCTTTTTTGCCCTCACATGAATTTTCAGATCACACATATTCATTCATTGTGACTGGATTTCACACACAACATTTCGTCAAGCAATGTAAATGACCACACCTCCTCAACTGAAAACAAATCATCCATGAAGGAATTAATTTTTTTAAATATATTGTGACCTCGTAATGTTTCTTCAAAATGTCATAACTGGACCTTCCGGTGAACTTGTCAAGCTCCTACACAGCTGCACACACTTTTGAGTGCCACGCCCACATCTCAACACCTGATGAATAGAACCAACTCCCGCCCTACATTTTTTCTTTTACAAAATCTGGAAGAAAACATATGTTGCTACTTCTTTTCCATTTGGACAGATGTGATTGTAAACCATTTTACCTCAGATTAATGTGGAATGTTGATGTTTTGTGCCATCTGCTTTCCCTTGATTTGACTTGTTTTGTGCATGTTTCAGGGTGGACGGTGTCCTCAAACAGGTTTGCGAGATCAAAGATGTTGACCGCAGACTGCGAACATTAGAATCAGAGGTAAAGACACATGATGTGATATCTGCGTTGCACTGTATATAGACTGTAGAAGCTGTTGTTCAAAGAGGAATACTCTTCTATATGCAGATGGAGTTCTGTGCATCTTCTCTTCAGTGGATGATGGAAGCTATGTCTCAAAGCAGTACGGCGAAGGGCACTAAAGCACACCCGACACGCAAAGGTACACCTGTTTGTTGTGATGCAGTACATACATTTTAACAGTGTTTCTCAACTGGTCGGTCACACAAGTATAGCATGGAACAAATATAATAATAATAATAATAATAATGAATGATCATTTCACTTTAAATAAACTTTTGCTGATAATTTTCTCACCCCCATGTCATCCAAGATGTCCATGTCATTCTTTCTTCAGTCGAAAAGAAATTAAGGTTTTTGATGAAAACATTCCAGGATTTTCTCCATATAATGGACTTCAATGGGAACCAAATGGTTCAAGGTCCAAATGAGAGTTTGAGTGCAGCTTTAAAGGGCTTTAAACGACACCAGACGATGAATAAGAGTCTTATCTAGGACCCTTCGAGTCATGACTCGAAAAAAGATTCGTTCATTTTGATGAACGACTTCGAACAGGAGAATCACAAACGCTCATCACAGAACAGAGCAAGGCGACCATTTGTGCTTATAAAACTTTTTTTTATTTATTTTTTGAAATGGGTGATCGTTTCGCAAGATGTAAGACCTTTATTCATCGTCTGGTGTCGTTTAAAGCCCTTTGAACAGTTTGCAGTTTGCACTGAAACTCCTATTTGGACCTTGAACCGTTTGGTTCCCATTGAAGTCCATTATATTGAGAAAATCCTGGAATGTTTTCATCAAAAACCTTAATTTCCTTTCGACTGAAGAAAGAATGACATGGACATCTTGGATGACATGGGGGTGAGTAAATTATCAGCAAAAGTTTTTTTTTTTAAAAGTGAACTACTCCTTTAAATGAGGGGCTTCGAAACGTTTTGTTAGTCGAACAATTTACTCTTAAAATAATTAACTTTAAGTACCCCAAGAGAGATTTGAAGGTAAAATTTCAATAATTTAACAACACGTACTCATGTTTACGGTTCTTTAATATCGGTTAATGGTCACATGATATGAAATTACAATGATAAAATATTGAATCTTTTTTTTAATCACCCCAAGTGTTTTATTTGGATTGTTTTAAATTCTTAAATTATTTGAAATAATTGTTATATAAAACTATTATTGTTATTAGTTTTAATTCTAAAAATAAAAAAATTCTAATGTATTACTGTTGTAAATAACAATTGCACTGTAAAATAAAAAGTATCACTTCTATTTTACACAAAGTTATAATACTTAAACTCCTCACTCTCAAACATTTGAACATTTCTAATAATAAAGCTTTTATTTTGGAGCATTACTGGTAAAATGCTATAAACGTCTGTCTGAAAATGATGCAACGTGTAAAATACAATTAATTGTAACTACTCATGCATAGTTAGGATATTTAAAATGAAGGATGTTGTTCATGTCCAAAAAAAAAAAAAAAAAAGGTCCAATCAAACCAGTTTAGAACCACAGATTTAGTGGATGTATTTGCCATTGGCTGACAATTCATGTTGTCACATTGGTCTTTCTGTCATCAGCTGTTGTTTCAGCCTCCCTTGACAAATGACAAGAGCCTTTCTGCTGTATTCGTCTTCACTCTCACGGACACATTCAGCAAGAAGCCACCGAGAGCCTGTTAAAGGAGGGGTGATGACTTGTCAGAAAACTACTCTCATTGTTCTGGTTTCCATTTTTAAATTGTTCATCCTGGCCTTTTCATGGTTCATCCTGCTCTTTCGACTTTAGTACTCCCAAATGACCTGTCCCCGTTTTCCATGTGATTGTGGGACTGACTGGAGTAAAAGAATAGGGCACAGAATGTCCTTGAACTTACTGTACACTGAAAGGTCTGTTATGTCATCATGTTACATTCATAGATTAAGCAAATAATAGTTTTATTGTCGGTACATTTTTAAAAGGTCAATGCGATTGTATTCATAGAATCTGATTTTTACAGAGATATAAGTTTATTTAGAAGAAAGCGACCTGGCTTTAAAGCTTCAGTGGGAACAAAGCATTTTAGAACTTATGCAATCAACGTATTATATTTCTTATTGGTTGCAAACAACAAAAACAAAAAAAACACTTTACATTTATTGATTATTTAATCTTGGCAAATGTTACAGTACATCAAATAAGCCTAATGTTCAAAAGGATATTTTTTTATATAAAATCCAATAGAAGAGAGTGCATCTACTGTTAGTTAAACTGCTTCTAGTGTTCTCATTTGGATAAAAGCGTCTGCTAAATAAATACATGTAAATGTGGAGAAGTATCCAGTCAAGGTGCTCTATGGTCTAGAGTTTTTAGTAGTCCATCAAAGAAAACTTTAGGATGACCATGGCACTCTTACATATTAAAAAAAGCCCTTTATCATTAGATGCCTTCCTCAGGGAGAGCAACTCAACATCTCTGCCACAACTGCAAGCAGTTTCATTCATTAAGACATCCGATTAGTTTACACTTTTCATGTGATCAAATTCTATTTAGAAACACCACTTCATTACCCTTCTCCCAAAAATAAACATCACAATAAAGGAGTAAAATCCAAGTCTTCGTTCAATCCTGGATATAAATTAGCCTTTCATTTATAAATCCAAAATGTCTCCCTCTGATTCAGTTTAGTTCTCTATTCCCGTTCCTGTTCACATGATCAACATACTCAGGATAGAAGGGTTACTGTTATGCATTTATTTATATTTATATTCTATCCTGGCATATTTATGTTCAGCCAATCGTCTTTTTGTTATTCCGATATAAAATACTTTACATTGAGGACATTCCAGTTTATAAATTACATGAGTAGTTTGACAATCAATACAGTGTTTAATTTTTTTATAGATTAAAAAATGTTTTGTCTGTACATCTAGAAACGTTTTATCTTGTACAACATAATCACAATGATTAGAGTGATGGCATTTAAAGCAACCGTTAGGTTTAACCCCTAACCAGGAGCTTCCTCGAGTGGGCGGGAAATGTCTATGAACTCATTTGTAACTTTTTTGAAACAAACAAACAAAAAAAAAAATTATCATTAGAGGATCTGGAAATATATTTCTCAAAAATTCATCACTTTGTAAAATAATTCCCTAATTTATTTTTTATAAGTCCTTAAATTTTTTCAGCGAAATTTTTTAAGATAATTTCACTGTATTAGTTGACAAAACAAACAAATGAAACATCTAGAATTGAGCGTTTTTCACAGTCGAACAATAAACAGATTGACGCAGTGAATGTTTACATTTTAAATAGCAAAATATTTTTTATTTTTCGTATTGCATGCTGTAACAATGTTCTTTTTCTTGTTGTGGTAAGAGAGAAAAGATGTGAAAATAAACAGTTTATATTAAAAAAAAACAATGTTATTGGATTTTGCGTGTTTTTGTTTTGTTTTTGTGAGTATTTATATAGTAACATTTTGTGATGGCATTTTATTAACTAAATAAACAGCAGTTTTTGAAACCGCAGTTCAGCATTTTTAAAAAAATAAATAAATTTCACAAAAGTTTCATAGCCCCCAGAATATTGTGTTGTATAAATATCTGAACATGCAATATTTCAAAGGAAAGAACAGAGCCTCGTGCATTCTTTTTTTTAATGAACATTTGAATGCAGGTAAGTTTAATAAAAATTAAAAAGCAACAATTTGAGCAAACGATGCAGAATGATGATCAAAACACAGATGGAGTAGATCAAATCCATCAACATCCCCCAAAGCTTCACAGTCCTGTTGCTCGTCCTGGGTCGACTTTTCATTCCGAACGTCTGTGGGGATGGTTTTGATTTACATGCTGTTTAATGTATGATTGCATTAATTTTAATATGCATCTGCTTACATATGCTATCGCTGGTTTCTGCTTCTTCTTTTCCTGTGTTTTAATAAGGGGATTCAGTATTCTTTCAGAAGATGTGTAATAGTGCTCCCTATTCTATAACAGTGAAAACACAAAGCTGGAACAGTCAATGGCGGGGAAAAAGTTAAGAGTTTTTCATTATTTTTTTTTTTTATGATATTGTATTTGCCTGTTGTTTTTGTATCACATTTAATATACGTCCTGATAACATCTTATAACTATTTAAAGGATTGTAAGCGTAACTATTTAAGGGATGGTTTTGGCAACCTCAGCAGATAAGAGAAATAGATTGTCCACGTTTGCCTCTCGGATTTCAGGGGCAACAAAGATCCTTCACTATGTTCTCTCCACCCTAATCCTCACCTCTACAAAACTAATTAAAACAAGCTAAAAGAATCCCAATCTACTCTCTGAACTTGTACACCACACTAAGTTTATTGAAAGTGTAATTATTATATGTGATCTACAAGTCATCCAAATACTATTAAAGTGTCTGAATATAACATGAGTTCTTTTATTCATTTGTGTGTTTTATGGAGGCTTCAGGCCAATAAGAGACAATTATTTATTATTCTTTATGCAAATGTCTTGGCTAATTAAAAATATCTACATTACAAAAATGATACAAGAGCAGGCAAAAGGAAATGGTGTAGGATTTACTTTAAAGCCATTTCACTCAGAAATTGCTATTAAGGCTGTTTCCACGAGAACGATTCCGAGTGAAAACATAAAAATATTTGATCGGATGTGCCTTTCGTTTACACGGCGACAGCGTTTTGGCGGTTTAAAAACGCAAAAAAGTTAAACCACCCTCCAGAGTGGAAATCTTAAAAATGCTCCACCGCCGCGTTCCCGTGTAAAGGGTAAAAACCATAGACTGTAAAAAAAGATGGACGACGCCTCTTCGCTCTTTTCCATCAGAGAGAACTGAAGCCGCCAGTCTCGATATGACGCTGATATCTTGGACTTGAGTCTGCGCATATGCGTGTTTCGGGACCAGTCATGCGCAGTCGTGAGCAGGAAGTAAAGCCGCGAAATCAAGGCCGCGCCCTCATTCTCGCTGAATCAAACGCAAGCACACGCCCCGCACTTTCATTAATGGCCTCTCTGTCTGCTTCGTTCTTCTCCAATGATGTCTGCTGATTGCAGAACCTCGTTAAAATAAGGTAAATACAACTACTAACCACATAATCAACATAATTAAAAAAGTCCGCTGGTGCTTCAGTGACTACCTCGCTCAGAGAACCTGTCAATCACAGCTGTCAATCATGATATCAGAGCATCGTTTAATCATTAACTATCTAAAAACAAACTTATTTTAAAAACGAACACTTGAAATTACATCAACATGATAGAAACTACAGTAAATGACAGAAACTATCTTTGGGAAAAGGATATGTGAAGTGTAATTTAATTGTTTAGTTGGTCTCGCGTCCCATTGAATAACATGGGGAGGCGGGGGTTATGAGCTATACTAGGTCCGGTCACAGGGGGGCGATCGAGACGTTTTGGCTTCACTTTTGAGGGCTTGTGCGGCACGCTTGGTAAAAACGCAAAAGTCTGCTAGACAGTGAAGGTTGTACGCAGGCGCACAGACTTGTTGTTGCGAGGCATTACTTCACATCGCCACCTAGCCGCCTTGAGTGCATACTACATTGAATTTCGCACACTTTTGCGTCACCATATGCACTCGGATTTCCCACCCAAAACGCTCGTCTAAACGCAGAATAAAAAGTGATAACGCAACGCCACTTTTGCGTTTTCTCTTCAGTATTGTTTGTATTTATTTCTATATGGTGAATTGCTGCATGATACCTGGGTGTTCAGTCAGGCTAAACTATCACAACACAAACGTCGTCTTGATTCAGAGATTTCGTCCAGGAGAAATTGCCATTGTTGAAATTCTCTGCAGCAGACGGACTCTATCTGTGTTCGTAGGCCGTAGCACGAAGCGAGAGCACATGCACCTGCAGTCCGCCTCAGCTGCTCTTACTGCGGCTCGTAAAGATAGCCACGAACATCGGATTCGAGCAGCAAAATTTCAAAATCCTCTTCTTCCATATCGTGTTTAATTTCCGTCATTATCATACTTCCTATCTCCACAGCGCTTGTTAGCTTATCTTCCAAACAAGATGGCGGATATTGATTCAGCATCTGCAAGTGAAGTCCCACCCACTGATCTGTAATAGGCTTGTAGGGTGAGTGGGTCCCACACCCTTGAATAATAATGAGCTAATGTTTGTAGTTTCTACACTTTTTAATGAAATGTGACTTCCTGCTTAGTATGACGCAAAATGACGTTTTTTACGTCATAATAAGCAGGAAATAAAACACTTAAATCCTTATTTCTCCCATCTCAGCAGAAAAAAAGGGAATAAACCATGACCATTCAAAACTATGACTGGGTTTCTAAAAATACAAACCTTAATGCAAAAGGGTGAAGTGACCCTTTAACCCATGTTGCTCTTGACATGCCGTGATAGTTGCTAAAAAGGATCCGCAGAGAAACCGAGAGCGTGTGGCAAAAGTTCACTCCACTCGTGTTCATTTATTTGGAATGCCAGAGGAAGATGTTATCCAAATATACTGTTTGCTGAACCACATTTTTTTTTTCGATATGGAAACAACTTGGCTGTGTCGATTCTTTAATATGCGCATTGTTAGATCACCCGCAGGACTTTTGCACTTTATTGGGATTGTGGTTTCACTCTAATATGTGTAAATAAATCTTGATTTCATGGTAGAGGAACATTTTACATTGCCCCGAAAGGTAGCAGCTGCAGCGAGAGGAGTTAAAAGGGTACGATACGGTTAAGAAATAATTCAGATGTGACCTTTAGAAAGAGCTGGTTTAGGGAACGAGAGAGTGAGCGAGGGAGGGATGGAGTTTCAGCGGCTGAGTGATCTCCTGAAGGTCAGATCATGCATGGACTGCTGTTATCGAGAACCTCTTTATATAGCTTTCCACACGCCAGTCCCAGCCAGGCCTCAACTCAATTGTGTGAATGTTTGTTGGTCATAAAGTTGAATTGTTCCTCCCCGTAATATTCCGTTTACTAGTCTCACTTTCTCTCGCACATTCACATACAGACAAAGATGTATTAATAAAGGGCATTACGAGTGTGTCTCATGCACGTGGCCCTGTCAATCATCTCAGTATGTTCCTCTGTGAAGAGAATGGTGTGAGTGTACATGTGACCACACAACGGAGATCAGCTGTTACTCTGTTACTCAACTAACTCTCATTCTCTCTGGTGGATCCGGCGACTGCAGCTCCGAGTTTCTGTGATCTTGAATCCTGGACCTGTTAAGTCTTGAAATCTTAGGTGGATACAAACACATTCTTCTAGACTGGTCTATCTGGTTTTCCCTGTTGCTTTTGTGTGAGGAAGTGAAGGCAAGATGTCAGTTTCACGCAGCTGGCTGTTAGGGCTTATCATAGCTCTGCTTTGCACCGGAGCGCAGACCCAAGAAAGCCTCCAAAGTGAGGAAGCCGAGGAGCTGGGAGGTCTGGAGATTTCTGAAGGTGAGAAAGAAGAGGTGGATGACGAGGAGGAAGGTGGAAACGCATCGGAAGAAGCAGCTGATGGGGAAGAAGAGAGAGCTCCTGAGGAAGAGGCGTCTCCAGAAGCTGAGATAACAGAGGAGGAGGAAGCTGAGGAAGATGATGAGATAGGAGGAGAAGAAGATGAACAAGAAGCTGCTGAGGAAGATCATGAGACTGGAGTAGATGAACAAGAAGCAGAGGAAGATGAGAGAGGAGGAGAAGATGAACCAGCAGATGAAGACGATGAGACTGGAGGAGGAGAAGATGAACAAGAAGCTGCTGAGGAAGATCATGAGACTGGAGTAGATGAACAAGAAGCAGAGGAAGATGAGAGAGGAGGAGAAGATGAACCAGCAGATGAAGACGATGAGACCGGAGGAGGAGAAGATGAACAAGAAGCTGCTGAGGAAGACAATGAGACTGGAGAAGATGAACAAGAAACAGAGGAAGATGATAGAGGAGGGGAAGAAGATGAACCAGCAGATGAAGATGATGAGACGGGAGGAGGAGAAGATGAAGAGGAGGAAGAAGCAGATGAAGAGGAGGAGGAGGAAGGAGAGATAGATGAGGAAGGAGATGAAGAGGAGGAGGAGGAGGAAGCAGAAGAGGAGGAGGAGCAGATGGAAGTGGATGTAGAAAGATTAGCAGAAGATGAGAAATCTACACAACAGACAGCAGAGGAAGAAGAGGAAGAGGCAGATGAGGAAACAGCTGCTGATGAAGAGACTGTAGTTGAGGATGATGCTGAAGGTAAAACTGAATAAGCCTTTACACAGAACTAACACTGTAAAAAAATATTGATGGTTTAACTTAAAAAAGTAAGTAACCTCGTTGCCTTAATTTTAAGTTCATTGAACTGGAAAAAGTGAGTTAATACAATGAAGGAGATTAATTTAACCATCAGAAACTCAAAATTATATGTTATCTGAACTAAATAAATTATTTAAGTTGATTTGACAAAAGAAAAATTGTTGTGATTACTACACTGTAAAAAAATATTGTTGGTTTAACTTAAAAAAGTAAGTAACCTGGGTTGCCTTAAAATTTTAAGTTGATTGAACCTTGAAAAAGTGAGTTAACACAATGAAGTAGATTAATTTAACCATCAGAAACTCAAAATTATATGTTATCTGAACTAAATAAATTATTTAAGTTGATTTGACAAAAGAAAAAATGTTGTGATTACTACACTGTAAAAAATATTGTTGGTTTAACTTAAAAAAGTAAGTAACCTGGGTTGCCATAAAATTTTAAGTTGATTGAACTGGAAAAAGTGAGTTAATACAATGAAGAGATTAATTTAACCATCAGAAACTCAAAATAATAAGTTATCTCAACTAAACAAATTATTATAAAGTTGATTTGACAAAAGAAAATATGTTGTGATGACAAATCTTGAAAATATTTTTTACAGTGTGTCATGTGTTCTAACTTACAAAAGCTTATTTTTCTGTGTATTCTTCTAATCTCTGGTTCCTATTGAGCTGCCTTCCAAGGCCATCCTGACTGACCCTGAACCACATAATGACTGATCTGGAACACAGCAGCTCTGTGTCAAACAAATAGCCAGATTCAACTCACTATTGAATTGATTTCAATAGAATTTAACATTAACATGTTGCTAGATTAAAAATGTGATGCTCTAATAGACATAACAAACACGCATAATCTAATTATTCAATTTATAAATCAATGCTTTTCATTATTTCTTTGTTCATACCATCTCCGATGGATTTTCTTCAATAGTTTGTCTCAATGAATAATGAGATTGGTCAAAGGAAGGTAACTTGAAGGTAAAATAATTATTGTGTCTATACATTTTAGGATGGACGTATACCTATAACCCTGCAAGGCCTGATATAGGTAATAGTCATTTTACAAAAAGTCTCATATTACTTTTATGCCTCGTATAGTAAAAATATGTCCAAAAATGTTAAATACAGAAATGGTTCTGTTGACAGTTAAGCAACTACCACTTTGATGCTTTAAAAAGAACACAAAAAAAATGTGTTCAATTCATGGTAAAATTACATGAAATTTACCATTAGATCTATCACAGTTATTTACCGTATTTAGTAGTTCCTGGTTCATTCCATGTTTTATAGGCAATCTCTGTCATGTTTATTCAAATTAGCATAGTCCAGGTGTTAATTGTACTTAATCTGTTTCAAAAAGCCATTTTTAAGTCACAATTAACTATTCTAGATTAAGGCCCACTCCAGTAGGCTTTATAGGGTTGTGTTGTCTGTGTTGGCATTTCACTGGTTTTGGAACACAGCCATTGTTGGCTGTCTAAAGTCCTGTGTATACCCTTCAGTTAGTCTGTGAAGTCACACGTGAGCCCTAAAATAGCTCACTATATCTGACCGGCTACAGCAGCCAAAATATTCCAACCACTTTAAGTCCTTTCTGGTTGAATGCTGTTGACATGTACTTAACAAATGGCATATATGTTACATCGTATCACATGACTGTGTGGCCACCAGTGAAACCTAGGATCGGGCGTTAAGTTATCAAGTTAAAATGTACAAGTACAAAGTACATTTCGGTTTTCGCTGCCATTTGACATAGAACAAAGAAACCATACCTATTGTCTATTAAACCAACTACTGTCTGCATGATTAATATTGTCTTTACTGTAAAAAATAATCGTGATTTTTAACGGTAAATGACTGTAAACATGCACTGTAAAAAAAAATGTTGTTGGTCTAACTTAAAAAAGGACGTGACCTGGCTAAGTTCATTGAAAGGGAAAAATTGAGTTAATACAATGAAGTTGATTGATTTAATCATCAGAAACTTAAAATATTATGTTATCTGAACTACATAAATTATTTAAGTTGATTTGACAAAAGAAATAAGGTTGTGATTACAAATCATGAAAATATTTTTTCAGTGCAAAACTGTTAATTGGTTAACAGAAAGTTTCTGTACTATACGGTAAATAACTGTGATATAATTTTACTGTAAAACATGGTTAAATTTACAGTTTTTGAAAGTGAAAAAAAACAACTCATTGTATAATTTACAATGAAAAAAACGTAAATTGACATTTCCACAATTCCCTGTGTGACACTTCAGATTTTTGTTGAAATAACTAGTGATTAGATCGATTTGATTGATCACGTAACTCTCATCACTGCTGTTGGTTGTCAGTGTATTACAATGGTACAAAACAGATTTAAATATTTCAAAAGGTTGGTAAATCAATATTTTATCAGAAAATGAAATGCAGTTTATCTCTGTAAATTTTTAGTTAGTCTGTAAAACCATTAACACACTCCTACCATATTTTTACAGGTGAAGTTCTGGGAACCACAGCTGCCGTTTTTTTAACGTAAAAATTACGCTTCTATTTTTTACAGTATGGCAGTTTCAATGAATGAAGCAGGACAAATTGCCTGAAGTAATTTCTCAAACAAATAAACAGTGAAATGTTGACTTCAGACAGGAGTTAGAGTTGTTGAACCCAGTTGTACAATGTCTGAAAGGCAAGCAGAGATTTAAGATGAGAGTATGGTGTCGATAGTTTAGAATGACAGGTAGAGATGTGATAGAAGCAATGTAATTTTATGATTTAACTCCGTCGGGTTGTGTGCATATCAAGAATTAGAAAGGACTCAGCACTGAATCTTGCACCCCAGTGATTGCCTGATGTGTCTTGAACACAAATTCTCTCCAGAAACCTGAGAGTTGACTGAACACAACTCTTTCAAGAGCTTGTGACAGAAAGTTGGCAGGACTATTCTGTAGCTTTCAACTGTTACACGGTTAAGTGTTGTTGCTGAGCCTGCTTAAATATGGTGGGGAAGTATTAAGAGATGTAGTGATGTGAGGAAATCGAGTTAGAGAGATCTCTTGTTAAAGATCATGTGATTAGTTTGCATGTGTCTGAAGTGTTGATAATCCTGATTCGGTAGTAAGTGACCTTGGCAGGAGAAACAACAACAGGAGGAGAAGGAGATGAGGGATTTATACTGTACTTGCAGTAATTGCATTAGTCAGCGGTAATGAAGTGTGTGGAGAAAGGGGTGGTCAGAGAAATGCAAGGAAGATCATTAGGGATAGTTACGGGTAAAGGCCCCACTTGCACGGCAAAGTTCCTTTTCGTTATTTGATTAGTTCTTTGCTTAGTTCATATTCAAACTTTGAAATACTTTTACAGTTAGCAAACATCCCAAAGATTCCCACATTGCTTGGAGCGGCATTTAGCTGCGGAGTTTAAGGTGCTGTATGTAATTTTTTGACTGTACTAAAGTATAAAAAATATCTCAATATGTTTGCAGATATTCAGGAAACTTAGTATGCTAAATTTGCATACTCTTTTGTTTGTAAAACAATGCTACAGCCAGTTGTTTTACTTTGAGATGTGTGTTCTGTGTCGGGATTTCTTTTTTTTGTATTGGTCTGTGTGATCCCGCCCACTTCCAATTAACCAAAAAGTTTTTCGACACCACAAGTTGCCAGTTGGCAAAAATACATCATTTTGCAGCCATGGAAGCCGGCAAATGAACTGGGTCAGAGATTGCATATTGTACCCAACCTAAAAAGCCTCGGCATCCATCTAAAAATCTCTATGAATGGCAGCATATTGAAACGTGGATAAATCAACTCATCAACTTGCAGTGTGTAAGTCTTCTCGCCTTCCATGGTCAATTGCACTCGTTCCTGTAGCGTGTCCTTAGATACCCCTTTTCCACCAAGGCAGAGCTGGTGCTGGTTCGCAGCCATAGTTTCAACTCGGCTCTTTGTTTTTAGACCACTACAGCACCAGCTCCGAACCAGTTAAAGTGGTTCTTAAGTAGCACCAAATCATTGCTGGTCTAAAAGAAAGAACCGCTTACATCAACGGATGGGGGCGGGGTTACCGGTAGGGTTGGGTATCGAGAATCGAGTATCGATTGAAACCGGGACTAACTTTTCGTTTTTCCCGGAATCGTTCAAAAGTTAAAATTTCAATTCCTAGTTTCGATATTCACAGTCCGCCGAGCGGAAGAAGAAACCGCTGGACAACACCAACGAAGAAGCGTCTACCGGAAGTGTTGGCATACCCTCGCGAGTCGAACATGAGTAGCTTACGTCGGCGGTCCAAAGTGTGGCTTCACTGTTCTAAAAATTAACGAAATCTCGGCAAAATGCAAAATTTGTGACAAGTATTTGTGACAGAAGGAGTATTTCCTTCAGAAAGGATTATTTCCTTCAGAAAGACCGTTGGTTAGCAAGGTTAGCTAAACTTTTTTGACCCTGCCTCTTAAATGAATCGAAATCGAGAATCGTTAGGAACCGGAATCGAAACAAGGAATCGGAATTGGAATCAGAATCGTTCAAGTTCAATAGATACCCAACCCTAGTTACCGGGACCAACAAGACGAGCAGAAACTTGTGACCGCCATTTTTTAAATAGCAGCTAATCATGCTAATAGCAGATCGATCGTAATCTCTGTTAATGCAAGTTACGGCGAGCCGCAAGAACGTGCTGGATTCCCCGTGTTTTGATACCGATGTAGGTTTGCAAAGCCATGAGCATATAAATAGAAATGCAATGACCGCCATTGTTGATGGAAGGCTTGTTCAAGATGCATCGGAGCGGCGTGGACTGATCGGAGCTGCGGGAGTGTTTGGAAAGCATACGACTCCTGCTTATAGATCACTCTCGCAGTTCTAGATTTGCAGTGCCTAATCCCCACACTTGCGTCACAGATGTATTTAATTAGGGCTGGATCTAAGTAAGGCACAGGATTGGACACCCCTGCTGTAGGCAGCACCATTGCTGGTAGATCCATCTAGTCTGATTTGCTGGTTTTGACACGATAAGAGCTACCCCTTCCTCTAAAGATTCAACTACTAATACTTGTTCATTTAGAGCTGAGCCTAGCGCTGCTCTAACCAGAGTGACTGATACTTTTTCTTTATGGTTAAATGTACCTCTGGTGCCTTACCCATTACTAATGAAGACCTTTGTTAAACCTCATCTTTCCCTTGTGCTGCAGAAACTGCTGAGGAGGAAAATGTAGAGTCAGAAGAGGTGGTCTCCAAGGAGGATGATGAATATAGATCAGGCTCTTTCTGTGGCCTTTGCTCAGTCTGCGAGGTAAACCATGCTTCTACCACACTTCTGCATGACACATGCTTAAAGGGATACTCCACTTTTTTGGAAATAGGCTCATTTTACAACTCCCCCAGAGTTTAACTGTTGAGTTTTACCGTTTTTGAATCCATTCAGCCGTTCTCCGCTTCTGGCGGTACTACTTTTAGCATAGCTTAGCATACATCGTTGAAGTGGACAAGACCATTAGCATTTCTCCAAAAAAAGAAAAAAAAAGAAAAAATATTTTCTGATATTTTTGATATTGATATTTTTCCTATTTAAAACTTGAGTCTTCTATAGTTACATCGTGCACTAAGAACGACGGAAAATGTAAAGTTGCGATTTTCTATGATTTGGCTGGGAAGTATAGTTCCTAGCCATATCGGCCTAGAAAATTGCAACTTTACATTTTTCGTCTGTCTATAGTGCACAATGTAACTACAGAAGAGGCAAGTTTTAAATAGGAAAAATATTGAAACACTTTGGTCATTTTTTTGGAGAAATGCTAATGGTCTTGTCCACTTCAATGATGTATGCTAAGCTATGCTAAAAGTGACTATAAGTGCCAGAACCGGAGAACGGCTGAATGGATTAAAGAACGGTAAAACACAACAGTTAAACTCTGGGGGAGTGGTAAAATGAGCCTATTTCCAAAAAAAGTGGAGTATCCCTTTAAGGACAGATCTGGGCTGCATCTGAAATCACATATTTCCTTACGACATAGTAGGTAAAAAACAGTATGTGACAAAAGAAGTACGTCCGAATTCACAGTACTCGTAAAAGAGTAGGCAAAAAGTACCTGAATGACCTATTCTTCCAAAGAGATTCTGAAGTGTGCATTTCAGTGATGGAGTACTCGAGTCCTTATTCTCTGGACTCGAGACTCCATTCTTTGGACTCATGACTCGACTTGAACTCGTGGACTGATGACTCGTACTTGGACTCAGACTCACATTACAAACCGAACTATTACAGTTGGACCATTTTTCCTGCCGACCAAAATCTGCACTGGCGCGACCACCTAACGTTGTGCAACATCAAATGGCAAATGTAATGAAAGCGAAACTTATGAAACTTATTTTATGCTTCACGAACCTTTATCAGTTTGAACCATCAACAACAGTGCAGCGCGAGCCGATCTTGATCAAGCGACACTACTGAGAGAGATCCAGTAAACAAACTAAGCATTTGAATTCGCCACTGAAGTTATAGGTTTTAAGTCCACAGATCAGCAACATTCACCGTGGTCTCAGCCTCAGACGTCACGCCCATGGAACGTTGGCTAAACGTCTGATGCATATGGTACACTTAACTGGAAACACTTCAGGAATGTCGAAGTCGTCACCTGATTGGTTGAATTTTATCGGATTTCCGGGGGCGTCAGTGTCGCGTTTATTTTCGGTCCGCCGGGAAACAAAGCGCAGATGTGTGATTGCGGAAGAAAAACTGTTGTGTTTATGAGTGACAATCATAGACAGTAAAAGGTGACAATGAGCATTTATCAAGATCAGCTAAACGTAGTTGTATGTCCCCTCCTATCTATTATGGAAGATCAAGTGAAGTGGGGATATCAGCCGTGTTTGTGGGCAAACAGGTCTACGCTGACATCGCAGCTGGCCGATTCAGTATATATAGGGCGCACTGGATTATAAGGCACATAAGATACTGCAGAGTCAAACGTTTGACTGGGTTTGCGTTATGCATCCACTAGATGTGCTAAAGGCTAAAGGGAATAGCGAGTACGCGGCGCCGGAGGTGAGGCGTTTATTTAGTAGGCGTGAGCGCGCTGTGGCGGGGACGTAACTTACATTCGCAGCCTGACTCATGTGAGTATTCAATGTGCGGCGTTGACAAAGCGGGCATAAGATGGACATGAGCGCGAGTTCGTGGGCGAATTTAATAGCGCGGAGCGTTGTTAACGAATTGATCCATAAGGCACTCCAGTAACTGCTGCTGACTGACTTGTTGCACGCCGATCTGTTGTTGTGGGGACATTTCCACGCCCTGAAACGTGACGCTGAACGAAACGAACTGTAATTGGTTGTTTGACATGTCAGTCATTTGGCCTTGGCCAAAGAAAGCTGCTATGAATTCCAGACCTTCAGCCGTCAGTCTGAAGGTCTGGCTACGCGAGACTACATTCACCGTGGATTTAATGTAGTAACTTGTAATCATGGAAGTTTAGCAGAAAAAGTAGCCTACATCACACATCTTTTTTCCAGCACTTCAAAACTCAAAGCAGCCTATTATATTTAAAAAGATATTTTGAATGTGATGACCAAAACATTGTTTGTTCATCCTTCAAAGATTACCCCCATTTATAAACTGAAAGTTTCAAGATGTAGGAAAACTCACACTTATTTAAAACTATTTTTTTTTCTTTTAATAAATAGGAAATTTCTCTGGCATTTCTTTCTTTTTGCTGTCTTGAAAACACCCCTACTAAATAGGTTATAGAAATTTGATATAGAGACATGTAGGCACTGGGGGCTCGAACACGGGACTCGAGACTCGACTCGGACTTGAATTCAGGTAATGGTGACTCGGACTTGGACTCGCACTCGAACACTGGGACTCGAGACTCGACTCGGACTCGACAGTTGGTGACTCGACTTCAACACTGGTGCATTTGATGGGCTCTTTACTACCCCATGAGGCAATTGCGAATGTAATACGTCCAGATTACATTCATTCTACATTCACACCAAATAGGACATCCTTTTTTAGTGGTTGTGAAGTATGTACTCGAGAGTATGCGATTGCGTATGCAGCCCTGGTGTGATCCCTACCTAAATTCCCCCAGTAAAGGGCAGAGATGTAACTTACTCTATCTGTGTCTGGCTCTCTCTTTCCTCTCAGCACTGCAGTACCTGTGACAAATGTCCCTGTGAGGAAGGAGACACATCAGCACACTGCAATCACTGTGAAGTAAGTGTTACTTCTTACTATTATCAAAATCTATATTCATACACACAACCGAACAAAACGTTTAATTTTAACCTTTAAAAAATTCCATGAAGATGTTATCATGCATCAAACTATCCTCTTACATTTAATTTCTCCTTCCACAGGATTGTTCATACTGCTACATTTGTCCGGTGATCTGTGAGACCGTCTGCCAGCCAGGTATGAATGGGATGAACACTCGCGATTAAAGCTAGAGTTTCAACGGTTTATAACATTTCAGTTTATAGTTTATGCTGATCCAAAACCCTTTTAATTATTTAATTATTTTCAGTGTTTTTGGATTATATTTTGAAAATTTGTTTTTAGGAGGAATTCTTGATGTACTGAGCGGATCTCTTTACCAGTAAGGATCTATCTAGACATTACCAGCAGAAAAATCACATTCATATGCAATATTCATTCATACCTGTAATCATTCATATCATTCGTTTTGTGTGTGTTTTGTTTTTGTCCTCATCTTCACGTACAGGACTGTGAACACATTACTCTGAATACGATTGGTGTTGTTAACAGCGCCATCTTTTGGTGAACAGGGGAACTACAGGCTATCATTCACTTAGGCCTGTCTATTTGACTGACCAGATCAGGAGATTTTCACCCTGAGGTCAATAATGGGAGTGGACAACCTGCTGTACCCTAGATATAACTGAGGAACTACCAGGACCCTAATGTTTACCATTTAATGACACTTTAAAGGTGACTTTACATGCTGTGTTAAATGATATAACAATTAAATATGATTAAGTGCAAAGGTTCTTGTATTAAAATTGTACAATGTTACTGTTTTTGACTGTGTTTTTGATCAAATAAATGCAGCCTTGGTGAACAGAAGACTCTTCTTTTATATAGATGTATAAAATCACACTGACCCGATTTGAATGGTATAGAATAATAATAGTGAAAAAGTTCAGGTCAATGTCTATTTTTATAAATATGCGTCAGTTCATCTTAAGTCATTCTGTTTTCAGATTACTCACTCATAAATTGTACCCATTTATTGAGATCAAGACTTGTGTGAATAAAGAGGATAAACACAATATTGAAGAAATAGATACATGCCAAGCAGTATGTCTCAATTAGTAGTGCACATTGTCATATTCGTGTACGTTTTTTACACTGTTTTTCCCTGAGCTTCTAGCCTACTATAAGTGTGTCTATTCAACATGTTTGATCGCTTTTTATTATTTCCTATTAAAGGGAAAGTTCACCCAAAAATTAAATAAATAAATAATTCTTTCATTATTTACTCACCCTCATGTTGTTCCAAACTTGTATGAGTCTGCTGTATAAAAAAGAAGATGTTTTATAGAATAAGGCTGGTAACCAGACAATAGCTGGGTTTCAGTCCCGTGATTATGATTGTAATGGCATGTTATGGCCACAGTGGGGCACTGGAGAGAGGGAAGTGTCAGGATGGCTGAGTAAGAAGAAGAAAAAAGTTATCTGTTTACAGCCTTGTTTCCTTGAACACGGACACACGAAATTCAGATGGAGGGCGGGGAGTGAAGAGCGCAATGGATGAGATGGAGGAAAGTACGTATTGTACTACTTTACTTGCTATTACAAGAGAAAGATATAAACAAAAAAATCAAACATTTGTCCTTATCCCTCTACAGCATAACGTTGCCCTTAGGCAACAGAAAGTTTTCTTAAAGTCCCCGTGAACCGGAAGTTGCAAACGATTTTTCTCCAGTGCTGTGACGTATTTCCAAGTGAAACGGAATATTGAACAGAGGGCAGGGTTTTACTCTAGCGCTCCTCCTCTCCTTCTCTCGCTCATAGCAAACTAACGGTTTGAGGGGAGTGGTGAAGCGTTTCCCCACCCAAACTGTGAAACCTACGTCATCAGAAAAAGACACCGTTCCAGACCGGAAGTAACTTTTCAGATTTTGATTAAAGATTACCAAGGTAAAACATTTTTTAAATATATTTTTACTTGCACGGATTAATTGTTCACCACAAGACTAGTAATATGCGCTAACAAAGTAAATAGGTTCAATTTTGATTTCACGGGGACTTTAACCCTATGTTCAGTCAATTTTTCTTTAAATGATTGCAACCAATTAGAAAGTTTGAAAAAGTATCAAAGAACAGTCCAATAAGGTTTGGGAGTCACCATCAAGCACCATTTGAAGGTGGGAAGTCCTTTTCTGGCACATGGTCACAGGAGCACATGTTGTGAGTTGAAAGCAAGATTATGTGCTTTAGTGATCTTCTTTAAAATGACATTAACTGTATATAAAAAATATGTGTGTCTGTATGAAGGTGTAGAAAAGCCTTCTTGCAGGTTTTATTATGTTTTTTTTATTTGGCATGTTCACAAATTCAGTTTTTCTTTTTGTTGCCTCAAGGCAACGTTGTGCGATAAGGGGTACTTTTCACGGAGGTTTTGAACAATATTTTACAATGGCAAATAATGCGTTACACAAAGGAACACGCAAAGTCACCAAAGTGACACTGTTCCCACAAAGTTGGGAGCATGACATTGTCCAAAATGTCTTGGTATTCTGAAGCATTAGGAGTTGCTTTCACTGGAGCTAAGGGGCCAAACTCAACCCCTGAAAAAACAACCCCGCACCATAATCCCCCCTCCACAAAACTTTACACTTGTCACAATGCAGTCAGGCAAGAACCGTTCTCCTGGCAACCGCCAAACCCAGACTCGTCCATGAGATCGCCAGATAGAGACGCGTGATTTATCACTCAGAGAACCCGTCTCCACTGCTCTAGAGTCCAGTGGCGGCGTGCTTTATACCACTGCACCCAACGGTTTGCATTGCACTTGTTGATGTAAGGCTTGGATGCAGGTGCTCGGCCATGGAAACCCATTCCATGATGCTTGCTACGCACTGGTGTTCAGCTAATCTGAAGGCCACATGAAGTTTGGAGGTCTGTAGCTATTGACACTGGAGAAAGTTGGCGACTTCTGTGCATCTCAGCATGCGCTGACCCCGCTCTGGGTTGCTATTGTTCCCAAAGTGCTTCCACTTTGTTATAATACCACTAACAGTGACCGTGGAACATTTAGTAGTGAGGAAATTTCATAGGTAGCAACCTACCACAGTACCATGCTGAATTCCAGACTGACCCATTCTTTCACAGATGTTTGTTGAATCATCTGCATTCTTACAGTAGCTGCTTTATTTTACAGAACTGTGGCCATGGAAGTGATTGGAACATCTGAATTCAATGATTTGAAGGGGTTTCCCAAAACTTTTGGCAATACAGTTTATATGGGGATGATTAGGATACATAAAGTACATGATGCATGACGACGCACTACATGATACAAACCTATGTCTCTATCAAATCAAATAGATTGATGAGTTTCAAGTGTTTTTCCCTTTGTACTTAAATTATTTCTTGACATTTTTGGAGAAAAAAAAAAGATTTTTGTATTGCTCTCTGAGAGTTGTATAATGACAATTTTCTCTGTGATTCTTTACCATTGTTGCACAACGTTGCCCTCGGGCAACAAAAAAATATTTTGGGGTGGGGGGGTCAGGGGAGGGAAATTTTTCAATAAATCAATAAAATGTTCCTAAATGAGCCAAGAAATTTTTTCAACTGAATTGAGATTTTCCTGCCATCGGCGCAATAGATATCAGCAACTACCTCGTCTTACAGACATACTTTGACTTTACAAAGTTCGGAAACTGGTACGTTACACAAACATCGCCACTTGAGTTGTATTAACTCACTTTTGATGAAGTGATCACTGCACACACAGGCATTTTCCCATTCGGCTCACCCCGAACGCAGACATAGGTTTGCAAGCCGTTTTTCCTGAGTTTTTCAGACAATTTCTTGCATCTTGCGAGCTCCTCCTCCTGATGTCTATACGGTAATGTCTCTATTGTGCGACGGAAAGTTGCGTAGTGATGACGCAATCGTTAGATTATTTTTCACTTAAACGGCATCTACAGGGCCGCCATAACGTCAGATACAAAGTAACGGAGCGTTTTATACATTGTTGTGTTTCTTTAGAAATAAATAATGGACAAGTTGAGTCTTTGAACACCTCCTCAGATATAAAGTTATTTGCAGTCAAAGTGACGCCAAAATGAATGGGAGTCAATGGGACGCTAACAACAGGTGAAGTTCTGCTACAATGGCGGCTCCCGCAAGGCGACACCCTTGGGCATGACCTTAAACAGGCCTTTCATACTTGAAAACCCTCCAATGTGAAAGACTCACTGCTAGTCATATAGCAAACACTTGTTTGCAGTTGTTGCAAGGGTGGAACAACCAGATAATAGGTTTTGGGGACTCGAGCACTGACTCGAGTACTGCACTTAGAGGATATCTGTGTTTATCTCTGCTCAGGTGATGTGTATATCATTTTTTTTTTTTTTGTATCTTACTGCCATATCATTCACAAGAATTAGCCCTTAGAATTTTTCTCCCTTTATCTCTTCTTGTGTCTTCACCGCAGTCTGTCTTGTCTTATCACACTCTTCTCTTACAGCAGTGCAGGTTCTCAAACTTTTGACACCAAGTACCACCTTAGAAAATATTTGGCTCTCCAAATACCACCATAATGACCAATGTGAAAATACAGTATTGTAGTAGGCATAACTATTCAGTAGGCTAATACACAGCTCAAAAATGAGGCAGTTAAATTTCTAATAAGAAAATGTATTGTCAGCCACTTTAAACATTGTAAAAACACAGTTTAAACATTAACACTGCACTGTTCTGCTTACATACAGGTAAATAAAAACTTAAATAATGATTAAATTCAAATGGATTGCACTTAAAAGTGAAACTACAGAACCTACTGTAGTTACTATACCTACTTTAGCTAAGTAAAAATAACTACTGTAGTATACTTAATAAATAATAATAATAATAACACAGTCTGTGTATTCACATTTAACATTTTTAAGCGTATATGTAAAATATTTTTCAAGGCGATCATTATTTACAAATTGTCACTTTATTGTTTCCATGGTGACGCATCATTGCTTGTCAAGTGACAACGCAGCTGAATGACTATGATCTGCTTTTGTTTAATTATTTTATTTTTTTATTATTTTAATTAATTTTTTCAAAATATTCACAAATTTGCTAGCTATGGTATGAAATATTAGATGATTGTCAAATATATGCAAGTGGAAGTGTTATGACATAACACTTCCACTTGCATATTTGTTCCGTTATAACGATCGCGTTAGTTTATAAGTATTGTTAAATTAGTGTTCATCAACGAGTTATGTAACGTTATGGTCTTTCAAAAAATTCAAGTTAATAATAATAGCCTATAATAACAATTTACTAAAATTTTTTAAAGCTTGTCATGTGGTGCCCCCCTGGTGGTTGTGAATGGTTGGTGTCCCTGGTCACTGACCTAGTGCCCTCATGGGTGATCTGGCTCTGGTCTAACAGCATTCAGCACATTTTTCGGATCATGTATATTCCACATACAGACGAGCCTCTATTAAATCAGTGCAATCAGTACAATTATGTAACAACATAGCATTTTTCAGTCTACATTCCCTTGTGACTGTAATATTTTCCCGAAGCTGCTAAGAATTTTGACAAAAATATCTTTTGAACTTTATCGGTCACAGCAATCTCTCACAAGTGCGAAATCTTTTCATCACGTGCTCTCACAGCTGACGTTTCATCACCTGCAGGTATTGTTCAGTTGATATGAACGATTTATGGTACTGCCCGTGCCCCGTGGGTGCCCGACTGCCCGCATCCGATACCGAAAGCATGTAAGCTATGTCTTTCCTTATTGATATCGCAAGTGCAAATGAGCGATTCCACCGAAAGGGTGACATTTCTGTCCCCAGGACATTATAATTACATAATAAATTAACTCTTAAATATATTTTATTAT